TACTGTAATCCGAAACTGCTGAAACGTCAGCATGGGTACTTCCAATTGTGAATCAAGGCAGACCGAATCATGGCCAAAAGCCCAATGTGAACCCGACCCAGGTACGTGAGGGCAGAGGGCGCAAGCACCCAGCCAAAAAAAATGGGGTGCACTCGCGAGCAGAGATAAGGGGCTCCACCGTGGGGGCTTATACCAAATTTGGCAGGGTCTTACATGTGATGTTATCGACATATGTACCAATTTTCAAGCCTGCCTGAGCGGTGGAGCCCTTGGTAGGAAAGGCAAGCCTGGTCAACGCAGCGTTGACCCAGCTATTGCACCATTTTCCGACCAGCAAACAAACCCGTCAGATAGCAAGGAAACATGGCGGAAACTTGCCGAGGGCTTATGGATACCTAAAGGAGCACACTGGAACATGTGGGCAGTTGTCTTATAGCAGTTTGCCACACCTGCGTTTTTGCTTGCGGAGCCCTTTTGGCTGGGAAATCGCGGGTGCTTGCGCCCTCTGCGTGAGGGGATTCGATTTAGGCGCAGGCTGGCAGCGGCACTGTGTGATCCTGGATCCATGGTGTTCGTCGATAAAGACGAGGGTGGTCTTTGAGACATCGATTCTTCACGTGGGCCACCATGTCATGTTGCATTCATGACGGAACTCACGACTGCATTGCTGCCAGTGCAACCCTAACTTCGCCGAAGCATCTGGGACAGGGAGGAAGCTGAACCCTAGCGCTTGCGGTCGTCCCTCTGACGCGAGCAGTGCCACAGCTATACTATACCGTATACGGTACTAGACCGCTGTCAGAAAATGAGAACTGACAGTGAAGGCAGAGAGGGTGGTCGAACTTGGAGTCTGGTGTCTTTGGATCTTTGACTCTGAGTAGAAGACGTTCCCAAGAATCTGCTTGTGCTGCGCTGCGCCCGAACAAAAGGGGGCTCGGACAGGGAGTCAAGCAGAGGGTGCGAAGGGTCCCATCTGGTCTGGTAAGAACCGATAGAATATTCATTTGACTGGCAGGGCTTTGGTCACGTCGCTGCTGCAAGATTTGGACCGAGAAAACGGATTTCACTTGACTCAGGAGAACACAATTGCTACAGCTTAGGACTGGTGGGCCTGAGTTGAATAAGGACGCTACCGAGTCAGCTACAATCAAGTAAAGGGCGGTGTGATTTTGAAGCAGTTCCCTCTCGTGTTGAGAACTGACTACGGGGACAGGGACAGGAATGATGTTGCTTCCACTGATCGTCATGAGTACCTACAATGACATGTGTCGATGGATATTGTGATTGTCAAATGTACAGAGAGATCTATCCGAAATTAGAGCAACCTTCCTCGCCGCAGAAAAGCCCCTTCAGTATATTTATATTCTCAAAGCAGCACACGGTCGAGTCTATCAGATTGAGCAACCTCAGGGGCGACCAGTTTGGTAGACTTTGCACTGCTGTTACTGACAGGTTGTGCAGCTCCCGTATCGCTGCACATTTGTCACATCTGAGCTCTGTTCAGTCATTGCTAGTCTTTCAATCTCCAAGGCATGGTTTTGAGCGAGGCCCTCCTTTGGTGTGCTCTGCAAATGTCTAAATCTTAGCTTCTATGTATGCTCCTCGCAGTGGATATGTCCCACATTGCAAAATTGAAGGAACAAAACCAATGACAAGATACGGTACAATCATCAAGAACGACTTGCAAACTTCAATGCTGAGCTCTGGTATGTATATGCTGGGTGGACAGTCTCGATTGAAGTATTTTCTGAGACACCTGAAGGTTCTGCACCAGGTTAGCCTCTTGTCATGGACGCTGCGGTCGTGACACCCCCAGGGGAGCCTGTTCCAGAAGGCGGGACGGTGGCCAAGAAGGCCTCAAAAAAACCAAAATGTGAGGATTTCAATCTTGGCGTTCGGCAGACTTCCAGGGATCATCCAATTCTTCCCTCAGTCCTGCATCACTGGCTATCAGGCTTGCATCAATCTTGCAGGCTTGGGGCGATTCTTTGAAAATCAGCGGTTGAGCAGCTTTGTATCCAGGAGCTCGGACTCGGTAAGCCAGCAGGAAAGACAGGCTAGCCTTTCTCCGGCATACATTTCAGAAGTCCATGTACAAATGAGCCCCCAAAGGCTCTGATCCAACTCATGTGTTTTCTTCCAGATACCAAGTTTACGCAGCAAGAGCTGCCGGCGTGCAAACCGCTCCTCACCCCGAAGTGGGTCATCTTTTCCTTCTTCATCGTGGGCGTTGTCTTCATCCCCATTGGCGCGGCCGCCCTGGTCGCCTCCAGAGGAGTGAGTTACCCCTTCTTGCTTGTTGACAAGTTTTGATCGGTCAGTTCCGAGGTGCTTTTCATTAGGTGAGGGTCCGCTGAGCGTCGATTCACAAATTTCTGCTGGGAAGAAGGGCCTACCGGGCTCGTCTGTTTGGTTGTCTGTCACTTGGTCAAAGCCCGCATACAGCTTTGCCGGATTCTGATTTTATTTGGATCCTAGCGATGGGCTTCCGATGTGGAGTAGTTCAGTTCATTGACTTGGCCGTATGATGGGTTCAGACAGTTGCGGTGCAACTATTACATTCGAAACCCTTGGGCCTGTTTTGGCAGATACGACAGGGTCGACCACGACGGAGTCTGTCATGCTCTTTTGTTCTTTCAGCAGATGATGCCAGCAGTATCAAGCCATCCAGCCATGGCGGGCAGGTCTCAAGAATAGCCTTCAGAGTTTCTCATGGATTTTAATCCTTGTTTTTGCAGGTCGTGGAGATTGTTCAGCGGTATGACGATGCATGCTTATCAACGCTGTTGAACAACACCGCTAAAGAAGCATATGTCCAGGACGTCAACACAAACAAGGCTTGCAGCCTGACTATTACGGTGAGTTTGACGCTCATTTTTTTTGGCGTACCTTGAGGATTCAGATCCTTAGAATACAGACAAGTGCACTTCATATCTGCCTGCAAGTTCCCCTCAATACGCACTGCATTACTGGCCGTTGAAAAGATTGCCCTTGGTAGGCACTGTCCAGCTTGGCACTTCGCTTTGAGCATGGTTGTCTTGATGGCTGTGCTGACCGTTCGGATTGACTTTTGCAGGTCAACAAGGACATGGACGCCCCAGTGTATGTTTACTACGAGCTGGATAACTTCTATCAGAACCACAGAAGGTAAGCTCTTCTTATGTGGATCATGGGCCTCACAGCACTCGACTTCCAAGCAGACGTGCATTCAGGAAACGCTGCTCATAGAACGGACATTGTCTAAGTTGCCACGGCAAGGGTATTGGCGAAGAAGATTCCTTCCATGCCTTTGGCAGGCTCGTTTTGGTTCCGTTTCTGTTTCCGCTCATCCCGCTGGCCTCTGATCACAGGTACGTGAAGAGCCGCAGCGACACGCAGCTGCGCGGGGACAACCCGAGCCAGTCGTCCATTGACTCGTCGTGCAAGCCCGAGGCGTTCCTGCGCGGAAACACGAGCTTCGAGATCAACCCGTGCGGCCTCATTGCGTGGAGCTACTTCAACGGTGAGAAGCGACCAGCGAAGAGATATTGCTGCTGAGTCGGCAAATGAGGCCCTTTTGCGGTTCTGCCTCCGGGCGAATCTTGAAGAGCTTGGCAAGGCACCGCATGTTTATGCTTTCTGCTATTTCCACGTCCCATTGGCCTTTGACGTTTAGACGGATTCCGTTCTTGTCTTAGCTTCCGCTTCTTCAATTTTGGATGCAAACATTCCAGTAGCCAGATAAGGGAGGTCGCTGGGAGTGTCCATGCATCAAGCCTCGCTGCACGAGGTGCGGCTGCATTGTTTCTGTTCATCTATCATCACCAGCTCACAAGCTCCATTATCGCCAGTCACGACGTTGCGGGCGTCCTTTGCCATTCCCTCTCAGCGGATGCCGTTTCAAAGAGTGCACCATGTTCCGTGCACCTTTTAGTACCTCTGCATGCGCTCTTCTCATAAGAGCATAGAGACGCGTTTGTCCTACTTCTCTGCCAATTTCATTCGCTCATTCTGCCCTCATGACCTTTTTCTCTTTTCTCCTTATTTGATCATGACGAAGCCTGATGGATATCACCACTTGCGCACCACTGCGCATTACGTTGTAGATATTTCCGCCAATCAAAAGGAAATCTGTGCAAAAAGAATCAATGTTTGCTCCTTACGGAAGCAAGTTTTGCCACGACCACTGTCGTTCTTGACCACTTCTCCATTTCTCTGCTGTCCCCAGACACATACGCTATGGCGGTGAATGGGGCTAACGTGCCCATTACCCAGACCGGCATTGCTTGGAAGAGCGACCGGGAAGACAAGTTTGGCGCCTATCAGCCCCAGAATTTCAACACTGTCCCAGAGCTCCGGGGAGGCGCCCCAATTGGAGGCGTCGATAACTCCACCAACATTGTGAGCGCAAATTACTCCCCTTGCGGCTGACGTGGGCATGTGGAGAATCGCAGAAAGCTTGACTTGATGGGCCGACTACATTCGTTTACTACCGGATTTTGGTCAATAGTGCAGTCGGGTTGATTTTCAATTCCTTATCGTGAGCGTTGCACTTGCGTTCGGCGATCTGAGAATCAGCTTCAAGTACTGCATTTTCGTTTGCTTTCTGCATCTGCTTCAAAGGGCACCATGCTCTGGAAGGTTCGCTCTCTGTAGAGCTTGGAGTACTATTCGCCATAAGATGCCCAGTATGCGAATCTATCAGGCCCCTTCTGGGGGCGACTGACTTACGACATTTTGAAGCAGCCCTTTGGACATCATGTTTGCTGATCTGCAAAGAGTCTAGGCAAGGTTCCTTTCCACGAATGCTTCAAGAACACGTTAATCCGAAAACGCGATGACCTGCAGACTTTCAACGCACCTGAGGCATGCGCTTTTTCATCCGCTACAGCTGTTTGCGGCGGATGTGCCACCCTCCCTCTCGACCCTCCGGTTCATGTTGTCCGACGAGCCAACTTGCTTCGTTCTGTGGTCCAGGAAGGTTTTCTTGGCTGGCGTTAGCTTTCGACGGTGTTCAACTTTTCACGAAGCGCAGTTCAAGAAGCGAGATCAGCGGTTGAAGCTCCGCCGCTAGCGCAGACCCCTGGTGGAATCTTGACAAGTTTCGTTCTTTTCGCAGGTGAACCAGGATGAGCACTTCATCGTGTGGATGCGGGTGGCGGCGCTGCCCCACTTCCGCAAGCTTTGGGGCAAGATCGGGCAGTCCCTCAAGAAGGGTGACGTCATTACCGTCGACCTGCAGAATCTGTACAACACCTACAGCTTCGACGGTCAGAAGAAGCTGGTGGGCTCATCTCACTCCTTCCGCGCTTGATTCTTTCGCTCTACCTTTGGTCCCTTTCTCTCTTGTTCTTTCCCGTTTTAGTCCGCCCCCTCGAAATCTTTCCGGTCCAGTCCTTTTCCCTTGTGCCCTGTCGCTCGGAAAAACACCGCTTCAACTCCCGTCCGCTTGAGACATTTACCTGCTAATTAGTGTTTGCTCAAGTTGGCTTTCGATCCAGAACTTCTGCTACAATCAGCGCGTGTGCTCTGTCGGCCTTGGCTGTCTCTAAGGAGGCCATGTGTTGAGCACTTAAAGCCAAGATGGCAGCCTGATTGGGTCGCAGACCCACTGGCAACAGAGCAGTCAAAGCATTTTGGAACTTTCAATTCAGTTCAGGAGGTTACTAGATCAGCTTCATTCGAGTTTGGTTGACAGTTCTGACCAATGGCAGATTCGGTAAGACTCCCTCAAACACTACGTCCCGAAGTTCAGCCTGTAAATGTCGTTGCTAGCTGAACTTTTTGATGCTGACCATTTGTGATTCCGGTGCAGGTGCTGAGCACCACGTCGTGGCTGGGCGGCAAGAACGACTTCCTCGGGATTGCGTACCTGACCGTGGGCAGCTTGAGCTTCTTCTTGTGCGTCGTCTTCCTGCTGGTGCACCTCAAAAACCCGCGGGACTTGGGCGACACGCGCTACCTGTCCTGGAATAGGAAGAACTTGGGGCAGGCGTCGGTCCGGAATTGACAAGGCAACAGCCGCTTTCCAGATTGAGTAAGGGGTCCTGCCCTTACCCTTCAAAGATTTTCTATTGTATCTTAATGGTTACATCTATCGTATATTCTGATTTGTGTGCGGCGGGCCTTTGTCCGATTTAACCAGCTGCCTCACATTCAGCTCATTATTGGGCTGCCTGTACCGTACGGTACTTGTTGAACCGGCTCGTCAACTGCATCTCAAGCGCGATCTGAGCGACTGCTGCGCCTGGCACTTTCATATACGATATCATCGTATGCCCTACACTAAAGCAATTACATTTTTCTGACACGGAGAGGCTTGCCATGATTCGTCAACGGGCCCGCAGACAGTGCAGTGCAACTTAGCCTCGCAGCTGGGCGGCACTGTGACTTTGACGTCAATGACCAACGGTCAGGACGGTTCGTTATTAACGGCACATATGAGGCCTGTATATATATGCGATAGCTACATGCGGGGCGCCGGTGCACGCCTGTCCGCGGCACATGCAATTGAGACAGCCGACTTGCAACATGCTTGATCATCATTGCCACCAGCGTCTAAATAGACATATCATGAGCCCAGCATATGATATGTAAGTTCCGACGTGATGAAGTTTCGCAATTATGCTTGAATGGCATGATGTCTGACAGTGGGCCGGGCCTAGTGGCAGCCCTAGAGATTCGCACGTACTGATGTTGTCCACATGTATGATATTTTCTCGTCCACGTGTACGCCTGGCACGCTGCATACCAGCCTGTACGTACGGCACTGAGTGCGGACGGTACGCGGTATGGTGTTAGTATGCGGCATCATCATATATGCAGGCACACACAACATTCTAATTTCTGCGCAGCTATAGACACACCGTCGAGTTTGAATTTGCCGCGCGGCAGCCTGCCATGCATATATATACGTCACCGGGTGTACACAATCATCTGATCGGTTGGCTCTGAGCCCGCGCATACAAAGTACTTCTGGCACACGTATTATATACAAGACACTTTCACAATACCTGAAGCATAAGAAAGGTCCAACAGTGGCTGGCTGTCGCCACCTGCACGTACCTGCCTATAGGCAGTCAATCACCCTAACGTCATGCATAAGAATCTTTACATCTTCGGTGGAACCTGTACATACCTTTTGTATATCCCAAGTCAGGTCTGCCGAGAGCCTAGCTATTTAAGGTTGCCAACCAGACACCAGGAATGTCGACTACGTCAGCTAGACCTATACAAAGACGGCAAGGGACCCTTATGAAGTGCACTGATGACCCGTCCCTGCCCATTCCCGTCAGCCACAGAATACTTACAGCGACTTGCTTGAGGAGCCAATGGACCTAAAGAAATGTACATACAATTGGAATGCGGCTAAGGTTGCGTAAGCAGCTAGCGAATGTGCACAATACCCCTGCACCTTCTTGTTCAATATTCTGAGGCAGCACTAAGTGCTGTGTTTTCGTCGGTCCGCGTTTGTGATAGCCCCCTGGCGTATGGTCAGTGAAGGTCAGATTAAGCGAGCTTTGGTACTGCCCAGTCGCATCTGTTCTCAATGCCCAGGTTGTTCGTGCCGCGCACAATACGGAACCATCCGCCCTCACCCCTGCAAAGCAAAGCTCACCCTCGTCAGTCGGCCCCCCAGAATGAGGGACGTCTTGCTGCCTTCAAAATGGGCAGAAACCCGTCTCCAGACCATGCAAAGTAACCCAGCAATCGACGCTTCGATGCCCAAAGACGCCAAAGGTGCACGCAACTTTTACCCGACCTTTTACAGGAACCGAAGAGCTGCTGGGTGCAGCTTCGCGACTTGGCAAACCATGCAGGGGACGAAAGCTCGTCCTGAATGTCTTCCACGCACAGAGTCCGGTGAAGCCCGCAGGGAACATCTCGAATCTGGATGAAGGCAAGACAACCTGCTGCGATGTCTACGAAGCACAGGAGACGGCGCCGTACCAGTAGGTGCCCCACGAGTTGCGCCCGATCCAGTACTTGACGCCGTTCTCCTCCCCGAAGCCAGCAATAGAAATGTCGTGGTCTTCCTCGGTGCAGCCGGTGGTGTCGTTGAAGATGCCGCCCGAGTACGCCTCGAACTCGGGCGTCACGCACATGCCGCAGGCCATCGGGCCGCGCGCAGTAATCTAGAGGATGTGGCAATAGGTCAATGCTAGCTTAAAACTGAGAAGCAATGATTTAAAGATTCCTGTTGCCCGTGCTTCGAATGCTCAAATTGATCGAAGAGCTGGTGGGGGACTTCATTGCAACTCACTGGCTTAGGAGCAAGAGTTGAAGAAATCGATACGGAGGAACGGTCAATTGGCGCTCACTACAATGGGCACAGTGTCTCGAGCTGCGGGGCAGCGAAAGCATGGTGAGGCTTGTGCAATAACGGGTCTAGCTAGTTTTCGGGGCTATGACAACAAGGGCTTTCGAAGCCCTGTTTTTGCGGGCAGCTTGTCCCCGGAGACAAGCTGTCAGGCTCCTCTTTCGAGCTTGGCACTGAACCGAACCCAGCTTGCAAGTGGGTAGTCAAGTACGTGCCTAACGGCGATTTTGTCTGGCTTACCTCAGCGAGCATCGCCTCTTCTCCGCTAACAATGCCGAACTCACTAACGGTCCATTTCTGGTACTTCTGCACAAAAAAGGAAAGAGGTGTGGACGTTAGCAAAGTTTCCGGTTGATGCCGAAGACTCTTCCGTACCAGCACACAGCCGTGGGCTTCATGATTACTGGACCAGAATAACAAAAACCCTCATTACCCACAGACTGCTTCGAAAATCTGGTAGTGTCGTCTCCAACTATGCAGACCACAGCCTGGTATTTCACGAGAGTCGCGAAGAGCTCGGGCGCAAAGAAAGCAGGAAAACTCAGAACCTTGCAATGCCGAAGTAGTCAACGTACAGCGCCTTTGCACTGCGTCCAAACCGTTTGCCTGTCATTCTACGGTCAGCCAAATATCGCCTGTCCAAACCACGAAAATCCCTCTGGTCATTCTGGCCCGGGTTTCCAAAGAGGAGAAGAACCGCAAGCACCCTGTTTTCGTTTCCACTTCTCAATCCAAAGATTGATTTCGAGCCTTACCTCGACGGCCCAGCATCCTTTCTCGGGGCTGCAGTTCTCGCACTGGTGAAGGGCGCTGCAGCTCAGATCCTTGGCCTGCGAGACCAAAGCGGAAGAAGACACTCAGAGACAGCACGATTGTGTGCAAAAGCCGCACAATATATGTGTGTCGACAATCAAACTGGGCTACATTATCTTAGACAACTCCAGGTCGTGCTAGCCCATTGGCTTTATCAAATATTTGGTTTTGAGGATTTAGGTTCCGCTCTAGCGTGCTGCAGAGTGGCCGATTCCACAGCGGTCGTAGTACGAACAGTCCACCAAAAAGCATTTTCCGGGCCCCAGATGATTGTCGACACACATGATTAAGCCTGGATCGTTGCAATGAAAACAACTCAAGGCGCAGCGAAACCCCTGGTACCTCTGACGAAAGTAGAGCTGAGTAAAGTAGACAAGACTGACCTGGTAATTCTGGCAGGTCTCGTCAGAGAGGCCGTTCTTCGCAATCTGCAGGCAATCAAATGGAGCCGCTTAGGCAACTGCGCATGTTATAAATACACGAATTCCTCGGGGAAGCGCGAAGCCAAAGGGCAATAAATTTAGTGCTATCTCTTGCAAATATCTGTTAGTGCCCGTAAAAAGAAGGACGAGTTGAACTATGCTGATTCAGCAGTCCGTCAAGGCTACGGTGAATCGTCCGTTCATGTAGTGCCAACTTAGAAGCGGCTGTTTGAAAGGATGTCCTCTACACTTCTCGTCAACTGTCTGGCTCCACATCCATGCTAGCCCCCTGAAAAACTTTAGCTCGTGTCCGCTCTGTTTCTCCGATCTCCAGCTATGTTCAAGGCGTGCAACCATCCTTCCGCTCCGGACCTTGGGCTCTCTTTTCAGTCAATTGCTGGCTCATTCAATCCTTATTATAGACGTGGCTGGCTTCCGAAACCAAGTCTCTATCTCGGGTCCGCTCCTCACCGGGACTCCTCGACATAGTTTTTCAAAATTGTGCTCTTGTCAACTGGACAAGCCAACTCACCCACGCGTAAGCAGCCGTCGGGCTTCCGCCGTTGCACCCTTTGGTGTCATCGTCGGTCACGCAGTTGACCAGCACCTGTGGACAGAAGCAACGGCAATGTCAGGCCTGTCTTTTGAAAAGTGAAACTTGAGCGTCAAAGAACGTCAACACGGCCTGGCAGAGGTGGACGTATTCCTAAAATTAAGTGCGTGCAAATGGCCTGTTGGTCTGCGAGTGTCTGCCTGATACAAATATAACTCAAAACAGAAGCGTCAGCCGCTGCGACTGGCAATCTTCTTGCAGCCTGTAACGTCAACCGTATGGCGTATCAGAAAGCCAGTAATTAGAACCAATCCGGTCGCTGGCCCTTCCGGTTCTCCTCAACCGCTTCAATTGTTGAGCGGGAAGAATCAGACTCGCTGAAGCAAAGCAACCTGACACTTGACTGGATCCAAGGACATTGTTTACAAGTCCAACTTCAGGATCTGTCGCTGACCTGGGGCGACAGCTGGACCTCAGGCCAGGCCCCCTTGCGGTGCAGCGCGATGCGGTCGCTGAGCGCGCTTGACGTGCCGTGCGCCCAGCAGGAGCCGCAGTACGAGGGGATGTGCTGGTTGCGGTTGGCGGTTGCGTAGTTGACGCCGCTCAGGTTGCGGATGTCGTATGACGTGGGGATGTCCTCCGGCTTGAGGTAGGTCTGAGGGAGGGGGGACGTCACCAGCGAAACCTGAAGAAGGCCAACGAGATTGCCTTAGACGTGTTCGTTCACTACAGGAGTGAGGTCTGAAAGATCTCTTGGAAACATGTACGAGTGGCGGATCGGGTGACCAACCATCTTTGAAGAAAAACTTTTCCTTGTATTTTTCCAGGATATAGAGAAGGCTTTCTGTGCAGGCACTAAAAGAGGCTACTGTCGCCCAGAGATAAACTAGTAGTACAGGGTGAAAGGCCCGATGCATCACTCTGGCCGAACTCCAAATGCAAGTCAACGTATGCAATTTACGGTCGCATGTTGAAGTCAGTCACGAAGCTGCACGAAGACACAATGCCAGCAAACAAGTCAAAATCGTTAGCAGCATAGGAATTTGCCACATAAATGTATCCACAATGCGGCCGACCAACTTTCGCTAATCCCGCTTGTAGCAAAGACCCACCCTGCAAACCATAGCAAACACCTGTCCTTTCACCAATCCTGTCAGCTCGTAACACGTGTTTCTAATTCCCTGTCAATTCGCTTTTCCGAGCACATTGACTGGTTGCCCTACTCACCACCGGCCCGTTCCCTCGCCGAATCCCGGGCCGCCTCTTGTCATGATACACCATCTTCTTCTCAGCAACTTCCACAGCCGGCTCCTTTTCAAAAACGCTTGCGATAACCTTGGGCTCCGTCGCTTCCGCTTTTCCTAGGCCCAGGCCCCCAGCCTGGATCGGTTCGAAAGAAGCAGCTTGTCCTTCCGTCTTGTGAGAGCTCGGACTGAGCTCAGTCGGTTCGCGGATTGCGGGGATGCCGTTGGCGGCAGGCACGCCCCAGTTGCACGACTTTTCGATGCCCAGGTTGCTGTGGCCCTGACGGATTCTGAAGAAACCTTGGTCGCCCCTGGAAGAAAAAAGGATGAGTAACTTGGTTTCGCCCGCAGAAGCCTGGTTTGGCTTCACTAAATACTTGACTTGAATTCAAAGGGGACTACCGTTTTCAGGAAGAAAAGGCCAGAAAATCCGCTGCAGTCTTTTGCAGGTGGTTCTGGCAGAAGAAGCTCCATCTTCCAAACCGTGCACAGCGTTTACAAACAGTACACAGCCCTTTGGCCCGCTTCATCCATGAGCTTCGACCACAAGGGCGTCTTTCTTCAAGCAAGCCTTCGAAAGCGATGTAACAGAGTGTCCTTCGCCAATGACACACTACAAGCTCCTGGGAAACTTCTGGGCCTGCCCATCTTCTAAAAAGAATCTCGTTCGAGAGGAGCGTTCATCCTGATCGCATCGAACCAGGTGTCCATGATAGAACTTCCACTATGTTCCTAGGAGTCTTACCAACCTCCAAAAGAAAATTCAATCCCTCACAGTAAAAAGGCTTAAGCCTCGATTCGTTTATTGTAACACCAAACCTAGTCGGACGCCCGATGCTTACCAGTACGTTCCCCAGGAGTTCCTGCCAATCCAGTAAGGCACGCCCGATTCCTCATCCACGCCCCAGCCCACGAGAGACAGCTCGTGATTGGGCACCGTAAAGAGGCTGAATTGGGAGAAGATCCCCTTGGGATTGTCGAAGAAGAACTGCTCGAACTTGTCGGTCACGTGAATCCCGCACGCGATCGGTCCGCGCTGGAACATCTCGGCCTTGATCTTGTCGACCAGCGACACCCATGCGCCGCTCAGGTCGCGGCTGGGCCCTGGAATAGAGACCATAGCAAGAAGCTCAGCGGCTTTCCGAGGATGGAAACTTGCCCTCAAAAAGTGTCTTGGTATTGTGTTAAATCGTCCAAAAGACAGCGAGAACTCAAAAGGAACTACGTAAATGACTCTCGCAAACTTCCTGTGCTCTGCGGGGAATCAATGGCCAGCACATCGAAGCGGCAGCTTCGATGAACAGCAACGATCTCTGTGCCTTCAATCTGGCCAAACAAACAAAGTAGAAAACACCCAACAGCGCCGGATCCACATTTGCCGCTCCAAAATAGCTGTCGCAACCTGAGCCGCTCTGCTCAACTGCACTGCCCCTTTCCGATACTGACTACCTAACAAACTCTTCAATATTTTACCAGGCCAAGACTCAAATGCCCTCTGCCAAATTAATGAAGACGAAAGTTTGTCCTTGAGCAAGAGACTCACCTGTGCCGACCAGCCCATACTCCTGCAGGGTGTACTTGGTGTAATTAACCACCGGTGCGCACGTTCCGGGGAGGAAGCTCGCGGGCGGGTTGCCTGGGTCGCACGTCTCGCAGACGCCATACGGCCTGCAAACCCCGTCAATCGCCTCGTAGTTCTGGCAGGTCTCGTCAGGAAGGCCGTGCTCGTGCATGTACTCGTAAACGGCCAGGGGGTTACCACCATGGCATGAACCACCCCCCCGGCAGTTGATCAGAACCTGGAAGGGAGGAGGAGATGAGTTATCTAAAAACCTCAAAAGCTTGAGACACCAAAGACAGACTCAAGGCCATCCGTGAAGAAAAGTGCTGGTGAGCAAAGACTGGACCAGCAAGGGCGCTTGAGGCAGAAACCTGGAGTCCATCTTAGGGCAACTGCTCACAGCACATGGTGCATTCAAATGAGTTGAGAGACTTGTGTATTGTGTGTTCAGGCAGCTTTGCCAGCTCGCAGGCAGGGTTCATTTGTCAATAAGTTCAATTTGCAACCCTGAAGATGGTAACTGCAGAAAGGTTTACTTGTGCTCACCTGGGCGGACAGCATCACCTCCGGGAAGGCCGCGTTGTTTGCAATGCGGATCCGATCGCTCATCGCTGATGTTGTGCCAAAGGCCCAGCAAGAGCCACTGGAGGGACCGAAACGAAATACTTGAGTAACAAAACAAGGTGCTTGGAGCCTGACTTGCCTCTAGCCAGGACAGTTCAATTGAATACAACATTGTATTACAAGATCTGCCCATCTAGGCACAAGATTCCCAATGTCAACCATTTGGCCTTTACTTTCATATTCTCGCGATACAAGAGATGGACTTGGTGGAGAAATGAGTTCCGGCATGCGAGGCCTATCTGTCGAGAATACTCATTGATACCCAAGTTTTCTTGATAATCTGAGAGGGAGCCAACTCCCTTTCAGTAGCTGAAAGAGAATCTGCTCACAAACGACACCCGTATACCATGCAGCTAAAATTGATGCTATTTCCGAAAAGGTTTATTGAGCTCACCAGTATTGGGGAATGTGCTGATTCTTGGTAGCAGTGAGATAGTTCGTTCCATTGACGTTCTGCAGCACAGAAACAGGGTTTATTACCAAAGCTAGGAGAACTGATTCTTGCAAGAACCAATAGTGAACTCCTCAAAAGAAAGGTGCCTTCTCAAATTAGTGTACATGTAAACGCATTCTACAAGACAAAAGTTGGTAGATTTTGCAAGCAATCCGAAATCCTCAACCCATAGATGCAGACACCTGCTGACTCCTTTAAATTAACGCAAATACGACAACATGAGGAGCACAAGCGACGAACACCATACAGAGAAGAGTGTCTCTCACCCCCCAGAAGAAATCACTTGGCAGGTCCTTCACAAGCATGAGCTCATGAGGTGCAGGGCTCTTCTGGACCCCCTGGAGTGCCCCAGACTTAGTGAACTTCGCATCCGGCACACGGCACGTCTTGAACAGCCTCGTACTGCCAAACCCTTTATCCTTACGTCCAAGCAGCTTCTCAAAAGTCGAAAGCACATCAGCATGAGCCAGCGAGAAACAGCTCAGCATCAGCAGTGCCAATAGCAGCAGCAGGAGAGGCCTTCCATGAGCCATTGAGGCAGAGTTTGTCAAGAATCTTGGACGTAGTCCTGAATCCTCCTGATTCGCCTGTAGACTACCCAGCCCCGTGACAGGGTCAAGGACCCAAGGAAAAATTCCTGCAAGCTTTGAACTTGCAGAGCTCTGGACAGAGACGAAATTGAAAGGTGACCAGCACGACGAATGCTCACAACAATGCTCACGGATGTGTCATGCCACTTGGGGGGTATCGCAAATTACCGTATCGGGTCCACTCGAGACAGCAAGAGATACTGAATCGGGCAGGGGGCGAAGGGCGGCCGCATTTCTCGTTTAAGGTATGCTGACGTAGGCAGCGACCTTCACTTCGCTGATGTCACTGGGCCCCTGCCATTTTGCGTCATGCGCTGAGTCGACCGTGACTCGGACAACTGCATGGCAGCCAAGCACTCAAGCCTGCACTGCAAGCTAGCATAGGAAGGACATTCGTAGGGCTTTCGTTTCTTTCTTTTTCAAGCAAAGCGAGAGGTAAAAGGGGGCAGCAGGGCGCAGCTTTGGGGGCGCGTCCCTGCGGCGTTTCTTTGCAAGAAACACAGCACATGAATAGGAAGAAGAGGTAGAAAGGTCGTAGCGAAGAGGAGAAAGCTACTCTTTTTGAAGAGGCGAAGAGTTGCGAAGACGCACTGAGAGCGCGAAGCTCAACAGCGCACAGCTCGACAGCTGCGCTCAGTTGAAGTTAGTATATATTAGGGTTTATGACGTCAGGATTTTATAACCCTAAGTTTTGTACGAAAGTATCGTAGTCGAATCAACTCGGGGCTTAGGATGACGTATGTCTTCGCTTTTCGGAATTATGACGTCAGCATTTGACAGGTTTTGGAGGCACTATAGCAATCAACTGGAGCCTTGAACGAGGGGAGCAATGCTTGCTCAATGCTTGTCGATGGTGGCAGTTCTCACAAGCTTTGATTGGCGGCTTTCTGCCATGTGTTCCACGTGTGCTCAACGAACTGTGACGCAGCGTCCAAAAGCACACCCCGGGTTCAATTGCCCCGGGCCCAAGCCTCGCCCCCGGGCACTCGGTGTACACATGTGTGCGTTACTGTACGCTCCGGCGGTCATTCGAACAAGAATTGTGTCCTAGCGAAACTTGAAAGGCGTCCGACGGAGGTCGATGAATTTTGCGCGGGTCTGTGTAGAAGTTGTACAAATCACAGGTGGGTCCCACTCACAGCCAAACGATAAAGGAGGAAAAGGAGATAAACGGGGAGAAAGAGAGAAATAGAGAAATAGAATATGAAAAGAATTTATCAGTGTGTTCATATATTCAAGGTTATACGATCGTACCTCATATGGGTTAAGTAAGCCTCCATAACCGTCCGATATTTTTATGCAAGTCATTTGAGCCGTTCGATGAAGCTATATTCAAGAGTGACGACTAAATGACGTTGCATCAATTTTAAATTGAAGCGATCGCGACCCCTCTATATAAGTGACACGCGGCCCAATCAAAATGGAGGAATTTTGGCCATGCGGCATTCTGAGTGGGACCAACCAACGCTGCCAGCATTGCACTGGCAGATTGCAATGGCATTGCTTCACTTCAGTGTCATTTAGCATTGCTCTTCCCTATGATTAATGACTGACGATATTGAGAAGCTTTGATTTGGGACCTGCAAGCTGGCCGAGAAGATTGAGAACCCAACGGAGTGTGGCTACAATTGCATCAATGACAAGTTTTGGCAAGTACCTTCGCAGTGTGATAAGGTGTTCCAATTAGACGCAGGCTTACAAACAATCTACAGCAAATGTGGGTGCCTTAGTCCACATGGGCCAAGCTCATGTTACATAAAGAGCTGACCTTGTTCCGCTGCTCTTGAACATGTCGCTGGGATATGCAGAGAAGCTCTCATACAGAGATGCATCATTTCTTGGCAAGCTTGGCGCCGCAGAAAAATTCGATGCACAGGACGAAGTCGAGGCCAAGGTGAGGACAGAAATGATTGGGCAGGCACAAGAAGACTTGTATGACGCTTTTCAATATGGTGGTGAAAAGCAGTAAGTGTGGATTTGTCCGTTTGCATCAGTCGCTTACTTTTCAAATCAAGCATCTGGATTATTGGGTTGATGCCACTGCGTTTGAAAGGCAATGCTTTGACTTTCATTCTGCTCTGGCATAATATTCAGGTTGTTTGTAGTCTTCTATCAAATTGAAGTATTTGCAGAGTATGCCAGCTGACAGTGATATGGCGCTTATCAGCAAACAATTTTCAACGATTTCAAAAATGAAAGTAAAACGAATTGCTCTTGGACTGTTTGCTTCTACAGCACAATCAGCGTTTCACCGCAGTCATGTTACTCCATGTTATCTTATGATGCTCGATCATTTCTAGAAGTCCAGGACAATCAAGCCCACCTCACCATAAGTGGAAGAAGACCATCTATCTGCTTTCGTTTTTGCAGGTGAAGGAGCTTGCGGAGCTTATCCGGAATGTAAGCTGGTCACTTTTTCGGCGGAAGATTTTGTTAGCACTAAGTGTCATCCTGTGCTGACCACAAACTGTCTCCTTTACTCTTAAGGACAGCTTGTGGATCAGAGAAGTTTCAGGCGTGGATCAGACGAAAGACCTTCTCGTTTGGGTGCTGCATGTTGTAATTGCTTGAGGATCCCCCTAAAGAGGCTCTGCCTGGAGTATTGGAGTATATCCCAATCGAGAACTCTTCGTTCACAAAGTGACTGTTGCTTCCCCTGGTGTCCGTTTACGCATGTTCAAAATCGTTGCTGACATTTTAAATCTTTCTCAAAACGGCCAACGAGACAAAAGTTTATGGAGGGCATCCAGTAGGTTCGTAGACCAGCCATGTCCTTCTAAAGGCGGTGATTCCGATCTGCTTGCTTGCAGAGTAAACACATGGTGGTGTACACTGGGGCCGGCATCTCGACATCATGCGGAATACCCGACTTCCGCGGACCAAATGGCATCTGGACCCTCCAAGTGGGTCAACTTTCTAAAAAGCATCCTCTCTTCGGTTTGCAATCATGAGTCATCAGTTCATCAGGGAAAGGCGCAGGTCTTCCTTGTACCATGTCTCCTCAAGTTGACCTTATTGTACGAAGTTCGATCTGATGGGGTGCCAATCACAAAATAAAAACCAACGACTCGCTTCCTGTCACTGAGTTTGGACTCGGACAAACGATCCTCAAGTGCGTTGCTTGCAAATCATACATCGCAATTGGGCTTCGCTCGTGATATTTAGCTTTGCTCTCTCTTTTCACATGTGCAGTCGACCGGGAAGCCCATTCCCCAGGCCACGTGTTCCTTTGCCCAGGCACGCCCCAGCTACACGCACATGGCCCTCAAAGCCCTTGTGGACGCCGGCAAAGTCCACTACATTGTCAGCCAGGTTAGGAGCTCGATGACACTTGGGCCTGGATTACCCTGCGCAAAACCTTATGGCGCTTGATTGCTAATAGGTGATGCTTGGTGTGTCAGCAGGACAACGAGTTATCTTTAGCGAATTTACAGGGGCTCTTTCTGTCTCTCGCTTTGAGACTTCGGTCTTTCGACTTGTTAGTCTGTACCAAGGCCGAAGTTGCCCTTGCACTGATAGTGAATCCGAGGGTAAGTGTTTCATTGTGGAGCTTTCGAACCCCAATCACCAACCCCTGAACATGAGAGGGTTCCAGAAATCGCAGACCTTCGTTAGATTATCTGTCGACTTGGCTGTGTTCCATGGGGCTGTTCTGTGTCCGTGGGCTTACCTAACTCTTCACTGTCAGCTACTTTCAAGCTGGCCGAGACCTCACTCCTGCTGTCGCCAACCCTGCAGAACGTGGACTGCCTGCACCTTCGCTCGGGGATCCCCCGGCGCCAGCTGGCAGAGCTTCACGGCAACTGCTTCCGGGAGGTCTGCCCCAAGTGCGGCGCAGAGTGAGTCTCGGGCTTCCCGACTCGTCTGACTCATTTGTTCTTTGGATCCGTAGCCCTTTCCGTAAATGAACGGCTCCATTTATGGCAGCCTTTACGTGGACGCTTTCTGCTACCTTGCTTTCAGTAAGTTGTGTAAGTTTTGAAGCTCATCGGCGTCCACGCTTGAAGACGTTTGCTTCGCTTTCAGAAACCGTAAGAAGTAACAGCCCGTCCACAATTCTTGTGCCGATCTTTCAGATACGTCCGCGACTTTGAGCTCGAGACCGTGGGGCTCAAGTCCACTGGCCGCCGGTGCTCGGTTGCCGGCTGTGAGGGCCGTCTAAAAGATAGCGTGCTCGACTGGGAGGACGCCCTCCCGGTTGACGAAGTAGCCGTGGCCGACCGCCACTCCAAAGAGGCCGATCTCGCGCTGTGCCTGGGAACCAGGTGCGCTACAATCCGCAAGCCGACCTCTTCGCCTTTTGTTGCTGTTCTTGGAGCCGTTTTCTGGTAAAGGAAGGCCTTTTTTTGCTGCTTTCCGTGGAGCCGTTTTCTGGTAAACGAAGGTTCTTTTTGTTGCTCTTCCTTGGTGCCGCATTATGTTAAAGGAAGGTTGTTTCTTCGTTGCTCTTCCTTGGAGCGATTTCTGGTAGAGGAAGGTTGAGAATGAGGAGCGGGGAAGGTAGGGGAGGTTCGGGAGCAGTCGCCGTGCTTTTCGGCCGTGCGGAAATGATGACCTAGGAATACCCCGGCAGTCGTTCCTGCGGACTACTCGGTCAGTATGTCGTCATGAGCCGTCTGACGTAAGATGCTCATACCGGATTTTCATGACCCTCGCACTCTTCCCCAGCTTGCAGATCGTCCCAGCTCGCAACATGCCGTTCAAATGCATTCCGGGGGGCGGGAAAGTGGTCATCGTCAACCTTCAGGCTACCCCCCGGGACAAGAAGGCTGCGCTCGTGATCCACGCTAAAGCAGACGAGGTGAACGGAATGATTGGAGTTTCTCCCCTTTCGAAGCAAACAGTGTTAAAAAGCAGAGTTGCTTTCTGTCTCGCTTGGGAAACGCACGCTGCTAGCTGCTGTATCTTCGTCCAATCTGTAATGTGCACTCGGATTAAAACGCCAAATCCTGCTTGTTGCCCAAGGTCTGGCGGAAATAACGGCTCTCACTTCACCGTATCGAAGCCCATTGCAACACAGATTGCAGATTTTTTGCCTCGGCACGGCAGGACTGGACAGCGAGTCTTATATGCATCTCGTCTGCACCATCTTCAGGAGAAACAGTAAAAGACGACGCCGTTTGCGGGTCAACTATTCGATGATATACGTAAGGGTACGCAGGAGTTCGATCTGCATCAAGAAAGCTGTTCTCTGCGTGCAGGTTATGAGGGGTGTCATGCGGACACTGAATCTCGACGTTCGGCCTTACGTGCGAATAGACCGGCTGGTCGTTGCGCACAGTCTCAAGCATTCGCGTGAGGACCTTTTCCTTTGTCTCGTCTGCTCCAACGAATGAAGACCGCCCCGCAGGCATTAAAGACTCGACTTGCCACGCAAAACGTCGGGCGCTCAAACCCTCTCAAGCTGATATTGTCAGAGGCAGAGAACGCGCACTCCCGCTCACTTGAGCCGAGATGTAAGGGAAGCTTGGTAGATGTCCCTATGGTTCGTTCTGAGTAGGGCGCGACATTACCCCTTGTTGTGAGAGCTTCAGTTGAAGTTCACAACGCACCGCATAGCATGTCAGGCTGCAACGACTGGGTGACAGTTGTACTTCATTCTCGGCATCAAGTTGCTGGAGTTTAACTAGGACTGCTCTAGATTTCAGACAATCTTTGAGATCGGGCTTTTGTGATCGCAGCGACGGGATCCAATCGCAGATGGGTTTTATCGCTGCGCAGCTCGCACGGGCCGAAAGGGCCCCTCCAGTTTGTCAAGCACGCGAAGGTAGGCCTTTATAAGTTGCGCGGCATGCTGCAAGCGCGCAGGAAAATCTTTCCTACAGACTCGAAGCCTCCAAAGAGCAAGTCAAATATATGGTGAGGGCTGTCTGATAAGCTTGCAAGTACGCCGGTGACTCGTTTTGAGACCTTCGCCTAAGGTAACGAACTTGGCTTCTCTTGCTCATGACTAGCTGGTGGCTGTTGAAAGACAGCTGGCTACTGACCTCTTTTTAAAACTCCCGAGAACGATGGCAACTCCGGGCTTCCTCTCTGTCAGACGTCTTAAGCAAATTTTTGCACCTGGACGTGTGGACCTCCAGCACGTCGCACGAGCTCTGGATCGAGTCGAGGTGAAAGGCAAACCTTCATGCCATAGTCCTTTTGCTCACTCTGACGTCAGCGGATGCGGAAGAAGAGCACGCTTTGAAGTCTCGATGCAGGTGACCTTTCTTTCCGCCGAACACCGAGTCGAGCTACTGACGGGGCCAAAGTTTGAGCTCAAAGGGTGAGCGCCGATGCCCTCACGCCTTCTCTCCGTTCACGTCTTTCTGTTCTTTCTGAAACTGGGCTCACTAGAAACTGGACACTGTTTTCAGCGCGCCATTGCGCCACGATGAGCCGTTGTCAATCTTGGTGGAGAGAGTGTATTTTTTATCCCTATGTTTGCACTCATCCAGATTGGAGAGCCCACTTCATGCTAAACCGCCCTTCAACACTCGGCTCAGTAGATGATCGTCGGGAGCTTCAATTTCTCATGTGCTGCGTTGATTCACTTTATCCCTTTCCCTGCCGTAAACGAGACTTTCTCGGTACTCACAAGAGCTGGTTGTTTACGCACTAGGATAAAGTCGGCAGCCGCATAATTTACAGAACCTTGCCCGAAATGGTTGTACTCTACTTTTGCACTTTCGACCAAAAGAAATCTTTTTGAGAGCTGATGTTCTGCCCTTTGAGAAGACGGTCTCAAAAAGATAGAAAGCGGCGGGAATGATCCGAATAGAGATGTTTACTGCAGGTCCGACAAGAGCGACGCCGCGTTTGAGGACCTGTTAGTGGACGTGGAGTTTGTGGAAGGCACAGCGGCGAGGCACGTGACTCTGGACTACCGGCTGCACTTGGACCCCGTAAGCGGACGCTTCTCGATTGAAATGGCTGTTACAGTTGAGACTCTCTTATCAAAATTCCGCTTGAGACCCATCAATCGGACCTCCAGCTGACCTCACGCTGCAAAAATTCTCGATCGGGTTGCACGGAACTTGATGCCCCTCAGGTCGGGCACTTCGCGACCCGACCCGTCTTTGCCCGAGACCCCGACCGACTTCGGCACCTTTAGCAGCTGCTAAATCTGGGCAGTGGAACCAGTAGGACATTTGCCCGAGCCTGATCAGGCTCCGGTCGTCTTGGTTGGACCCTGTTCGCGCTCAAGTGTAACAACCCTTCTGATGCACCCAGCCGCTGATAGGCAAAAGACGCGGTTTGCCTTTAGGGGACAGCAGAACTATTCGTTGCCTGTCTGAGATACTGAACGTGCGCTTAGGATCGCTCTACTCATCGTGCACGAAGGCCACGACAAAGTGCAGGCAAGCGCTGCTCTCGTTTCTTGCCTGACGCCCCTGGAATCCATGCGCTGTACAGGATTCCGAGAGCACGGAACAGATAAACACGTCCGAGGACCTCCGGACGATGGTCGAGGAAGCGTCCGAAACCGTGCTCGTGACATCCGTACGCCAAGACAGGGGCGCTTCGTTAGGGATCCAGTGGCAAACGGAGTACGCAATCATTACTGACGTCGTAGATCATAGGTCGGGTTCAGACGCCCGTTTGGGAAGCGCTGGTTCGAGTGCGCGCATAGCTAGAGGTACTGGAAGCGAGGAAGTTGCTGCCGCTCGAGTCGACTGTGATCTGATTGGTAAGGTCGAAGGTGGCAGGAAGACGGATGCGGTATGCGAGTCTGCAGAGGCGAAAACGGGTGGGGAACGCATTGGCACTGCTGCGGCATCCAAGCGTCTGGGAGCAGATTCAAAACGAAAACATGACGAACTAAATCGAATTCGAATTCCTGCTTAGGTATAGAGCGTATCCACCCTAACCCTTAGTTGCTTTCAAGATGTGAGGCTCCTTCATACAACATGAGCTCAACGGATGGTAATGATCATCGTCTGCATGATGGCAGGGTGACCGCACTAGCAAGTTAAGGACAGGGCGGCCGTTCAAAGCTGCCGCACGTGTCGACAGCGCCTGGCAGGAGGCCGGCCACATTCAGCTCAAGAAGTTTGCAGGCAGCTACGTAATTGTTAGTACAACTTCAATCGGCCGGATCCAGGATGACTCAACTAAGGACTGAGAGGACGAGCCTGCCTTGACGACATGCATACTCACATCGGCCTTGCATATATATGGTCTGCTTCAAGCTCAAGCCGCATTGTACACCGTCGCGCGTCACAGTCACTGACATTTTCTTGCTAGCTGATTCCAACCGGAGTTGGGGCGCACCGTGCGCACGTGGCTGGCACGTCGCCGTCTGCTTAATTACATGCGCACGCACGCGATGCATCATGGTGTGCATGACCCGGCCGCGCCGCGCTCTGACAGTATGCTGGGTCCAGCCGCGCAAGCATGCAAGCACGGCGCGCGGCGCTGCCACCGTCATAATCGGCCACTGATGCCAGGAGGCGGGGATCGACTCGAGGCATCAATAAAATCATGCAATCATTCAATGGCCCTGCGGGCCGGACTCGAAACTCGACATGCAGAATTTCTCTGTATTGGACCTCTTGTCCGCGATTTGCATGTCATAATGGTGACAACTGATATTAATTGCGCGCGCCGCTACGAGGAACTATCTGCATTACTGGCTTGACAATCCCGTTCGCAACATGAGAAATCTTTAGAACTCGCTTGTACTTTTGAATGACCGATCTCCGAGCGACTTCATTTATTTCTCCTCAGAAAGCACGATCATCGGCCTGACTGTAGTCTTCGAATAAGCACGGCTGTCAGCGTGACAAGCTTCTCATACTAGCAGCTCATGAATGAGGTTATAGTGCTATCGCTGATTACGTTTCTAAAACTCGGTAGGGTCCATCCGACATCGATCTTTGCTGGCTCCTTTCAGCTGTTCCTGCGACAGGGACACAGGAACGCACTTCGTCAAAACCCGAGCGACTAGACCGTTCTTTCAAAGTCCAGGTTCGAATAGAATTAGCAAGTGATTTGCTCGTGAGTTGCATGGCTGTCCTCGGAGATTGACTCGAAGGCCGCCCTCCAAACAATACTCCAGTTCGTCCATCTGAAGAAGCCCCTTTTCGGTCCAACGGAAGACGAGCACCGAGCACGGTGGGGAGCATCAATGCAACCGAAGATAATTTGGAGAACTTAGGACGCACTCCGTCAGAGGATAACATGAAAGACCACCGAGAACATGGAGAAAGTTGTTTCCAAGAGGAGGTCGGCCGAAGATTCAAGGTACAGAAGAGCTGTGCCGCGAGCAATTTCTCACCTGCCGCTTCCTCTTTTCTTCCAGGACCTGCTCAATCGGCGGCCTCCCTGTAACCTGCATCCTGTACTTGGCCCAGACATCATACACCGCGTCTGCTGCCTTCAACACGGCCTTGTTCTTCGTGATTGCGTACACCCAGCCAAGACCGACAGCCTCGTAGAACTTTCGAAAGGCCTGCAAGGCAAAGCGGTTGCTCAGTTGTGCAGGCGATACAAGGGCCGAAGCCTGGACAACATTAAACCTGTGAAAGACGGAATCACTTGCCACGGTCTGGAACGCTTTGTATCTTTGCGATGCAGACCGTTTTACTTTGGTCAACGAGTCCCAAGTAGCCTTCAGAAAGAGTGTTCAGGTCCAAGCTCGAGCGGTTCTGGTCCACTAATCTTTTACAGGAATCAGTAAATGATCAGTGTATTCCCGAAGTAGCACACAGATTTGATTTGCGCCAGCTTGCCATAGGTTAAAATGTACCAAGCATGTGCGTCGAGCTCCACGTGATCAATTGAAACCAGCGTTCAAAAACTGCGGAGAAGGACGGTCGACATCAGATTTAAAAGGTGATAAACCTTGCTCGAAATTGCTCCCAATCCCCATTAGTTCACATGTCGTGTACAGAAAGTCAAGTTCGTAAGTGCGCCAGGACAAGCAAGTGCGGCTGTATGTAGGCTGCGACCTGTCAACACCGACAACGAGTCCACAAGTGGCAAGTGACGGACATTGCATTCACTAACAAGATCAAGAAACATCCGACAAAGCCAAGACCTACGAGGAGTTCATGGCTGGCCCATACCTCAACGTTTGTGACTACTGTCCCATCCCTCTGGATTCCGTGTATCCTGCCCATGGCTGCCTCGAAATCAATGTTGGCGTTCTCTGACGGGTCATAGCTGTCTGATGCAATGTCCACAAAGTTGATCTTGCCGCTCCCGGCATCCCGCTTCCGCAACATGTCAACCTGCAAGGAGCGACGGTTCTGTCAGGGAACAGTTTCAGCTTTTCCAATTCATACATTTTCAAGTTCTTTAAGATATCTTGTGGTGGTAGGAAAAGTGGTGTGCGCTCAATGGAACGTCCTCATACATTAGTCAATCTCATGATCGTCCACCCGACAAGGATGTCCCCCGCATCTAGATGCTAGCGTTCCAGGAACTCAACCAGTAGCCTTCGTTACTTCGTTCAGACGCTCGGCCCTTTCGAAAAACAGGTAGAGCAGTTTTCGCCCTGGAGAATTAATGCAAGGCCAGTTTGGAAAGCAACGCCAGAACACCTCACAAGGGGCCTCTTTCATGGCTGCCCTTGATCACGAAGGGCGGGGTAACAGTAAGCTACCTGAGACTACAGCCATTCTACTCTATGGATGTGGTCAAGCCCAATGACCAATGATACTTTCCGCTGAGTTCCCTGTTCCAAGTGAGGGTCTCGTGTGCTCACTTCACGCATGCACAATGGGCATTCTCCATCATAAAGCATCTTGATTTCCCATTTTTCTTCCACCGGGAGCGGCGCGCTCGCCACCTCAGCATTGTCCCTCGCCACCGTCTGGGCTTCTGCTGAAGCTCGGGCGCTGAAGCCCGCCCGTTGTGAATCTCCACCAATGAGCTCCGATCTCTCCCTAAGCCCCGCCAATGGATACAAGGGCCCCCAATCTAGTTTCTCGCTCCTCGGAGTTGAGTTTCTACCTACGTTTATACTTTTTGCCGCGTTTGGTTCTGCTCTTGATGATCTTGGTTGCTTCTGTAAGAGCGTTGCAGCATTATGGCCATACAGTCTTCGAACACCTGACCTGGCAGTCAAAGACCCCGACCCATGTTTCTGCAGCAAGCTGAAGCTCCGCGCCAACTGCTGAGATACCCTCCCGCTCATCGCCTGGCTACCCATTGGATTGCTCCGCAGATGGAAAGCGGCTGATAGTAATAGTCCTAGTCAAAGTAAAAGATTGTGCGTGGAGGACTAAAAGTTTGTCACTGTCAGAAGAAACTGTGCGCAAGCTTGTCACGAAGCTCGAGCAAACCCTAAAATCAGCACTTCCACCCCGTTTGGAATCTGAAGCCGATAAGTTTTGACGTGGCTTGATCCTGACCTCTGGATCACTCATCGGACCGCACATCTTCCTTTCCAAGGCATACACAATCTAGACAGGGGTCAATTCAAAAGTTAGGGTTCGTAGATCTGTGGACCGTCATTTGGGACAGAATCAAAGCATGGTGGCAAAATCATCTGCATGAACGATGCAGGTTCAAGCATAGGCGCCAGGTTGTGAAGTCCATCAGATTCATAGGTACCTAGTTGCACTTTGAATCCCGGGAAAGCCAGCACGTTACGCTTTCATGAATGGGACTCTTGGCAGGGCAGTGAGCCTCCGGCCTCCAATGGAGAGGACCGCCAGCGCAACCAATGTGCTCGTGCCAAGACCAAACGCCCAAGATACGCTGGATGCTGCAGGAGCGCAAGTGAAGACTCCCGTCCACACACCCAACGCAATTGAGAAGCAGCTCGACAACTGGCCGGCTTTCGTGAGGGCTGTGGAAGAGAGCTTTGATGAGTGCGCATCGTGCAATGCAGGGAGCTACCTGGAGGACTACCAAGTGCTGGGGGCTTTGCAGCTGGTGAGCGGTGCCAGCTTGCATGCTGCCGTGATGAAGTGTGCTTTGGGAGAATTCATGCAGGATTGAGCCTTTTTAGCCTAATCTTAAGGCCATCATGCAGTGTCTGTAGGCAATGTGGTTTGCTGACTTTGAGCTGGGGGCCTTCAGGCTGGAGGCGTCGTAGTGCAGAATGCTGTGGCATGACTCAAAACAATTCAGAGGGAGCTTCTCCTTGTAGAGAAGCACGGTCGGTCTTGAACACCTGGCAATTGGCGAAGATGTAAATCTGAGCAAGTCAGACCAGTCTTTACTTTGAATTGTTCCCTTGCTTCAAACCTCAGGGAGTCTGTGAATTGTGTAATACAATGCTTGCAGAGAGTTGCGATGGTAGAGTTGGTCCTGTCACCCGCACATCAAACAACTTCTGGCCTCCTATCTTCTAAAAACCTTGTGTCATGCTTGACAAGCACTGTCCTTCCTTAGACTCAACCATTATCCCAGCCTGTCTGACTCCCTGACGTGTCGCACAAGTCGCCGTCCACGCTGCAAGTGTGCAGCCTGCAGCATCCCAAGGAGCCACAAAGTTTATGCAGAGCTCACTTTTCTGCACTGGCTGGATTGGCCCTAGCTAGCACTAGCCCCACCAATCGCCGCATTATCGCAGGTGTATGATAAGCTTGCGGGAAGCGGTGACTCACGATTTGGCCGCATCTGCCTCTTCCGGCCCAGCCCCCAGGACCTCGAGGCCGGAGCTCGGGAACAGAAGACCTTCGACCGGCGCCGGAACCTGAAACGGAAACACTTTCAAGAGCTCGCGCGAGCCGTCTACGCCAGGGTCCTCGTATTCCGGGGGCGTCGAATCTGTCTCTTTGCGGCGGGGGGGAGCTTCATAGCAAAGTTCTTTATGAAGGCACCATTAATCCGGCAGGCCAACAATGTGGTGACAAATACCATAATGGTGGGGCTAGTGGGGCCGGTAGCGGGCGTGGTTCTAGCTGTCAAACTATGACAGGGAGTGTATTTGCTTGCCTGAAGTCCCTGCACGAAGACGAATGCTGTTCAGCAGGGGTTACCTCCTAGTTGAGCAGAAGGGGCCTCGGCAAGAGGCTGTCTTGTGAACGAAGGGCCTTCGAAAAGAGCGCTGGAGGGAATAGACGAGATAGTCTAGATTTGCGAATGCAGGTGTAGTAACTGAGCTTTCTAGCTACATGAGCGTATGTCTGTGCACTCGTTTCATCAGGTGCTAAATTGGCAAGTGTGACAGTAGCTACTTAGAATCAAGGGTTCGGGAGACTGGCTGGAAAAGAGTTCGGTGGCCGCAGCGAGATCATGCTTTGATTGGACGGTTTGAAAGCTGAATTTTTCTGTACAATTCTACTAGAACGTGAACATCCGAAGCAAGACTTGTAGCAAGTCTTCTGTTCAATCAGACGCGCAATCAGGTGCCAGCTGGCTGACCGTCCTAGCTGGTATATCAAGTCGGTCCATTCATATTCAATCGAAGAACGAGACGAGCACAATTCACTTCCTGCTTAAATACTCATGATCAAATCTTGCAAGAACATGAGCCGCGGCCTACATGATGCAAGCTAGCATACGCACTGATGATCACATGCAATGGTCCGATCGACCGTTGCAATGATCTGTCTAAGATTGATGCGGTGATTCTATATAGCATCATGGTCATGGGCCGGTGGCGGCCCTGAGCGGGCTAGTGCAAATGCACTAACAAGTCAGTCAGTGCCGGGCCCGTTCAGCGGCACCGCGGCCGCGCCTCGTATATAAGTAAGTTATGGTCGGATGTTACCGTATATACCACTTTCAAAACGTATTAAGCTACAGCGCTGCCATAATTCGAATGGTGAATAAGCGGAAGAGTACAGTAGTATGCGCACAGAAGATGAACTTCGGAAGCATATGTATGCGTCATCGTGAGGTTCCTATATGACGGCCCTAAAACAGGTTGCAACAAGCGCATCAGGACTGTTCAGACTGATATTCGATGTCTCCCGGATGCATAGGAAGTTTCTGCTGTGCGCATGGTGATCGCCTGGCGCCGTCGGGCTCGGATCATATCAGACCTTTCTCCATCACCCAGACAGCAGACTGATAGCTCCTTTCTTCAGGTTAAAGACGCAGAAAATCATTCCATCTCCTCTATCCTCACTGCCACATCTTGAAGATAGCGTCTTAAAGCGCTTTGTGCTTTTGTTTGCGGCTTTGGCTGCACCGGCTTCGTCGGAAGGCCTTCTTTTGCATCGGAGCTAGGCTCCTCGGCTTGTTGTGATTCATTCGCTGCGAGCTCCTTCTGTGCGTTGCGGACAAGCTGTCGAAGGTGCTGCAAACATTTGGCATATGAGAACAAATTACCTCATAGACTTGTATCCGCTTTGGAAAATGAAAAGGCTTCGTAGACGTACTCAGCGAGGTATCATCAGCTTGCCTAAGCACGTCTCTTCTAAATTGGATTGGAAAGCCATTGCTGCTCAACATATGCGTCCGTTTACAACCCGCCCTCGACTATTCTGGAAATACTATGCCAGTCCCGCTGGCCATCCTTTCAACATGTGCGACTTTGCAAGACGCCCGACACAAAGAAGGATCACACGAGCCAGCACGTAGAAAACTCTGTCCTTCGACGTTCAGCTGGGCACGAGACACTTTCCTCGAGCATGAAAAAGCCCAGGAGTGAAGTTTCCCACGGTCGCTCGTAAACGTGAGGTCGAATTGGACAGTTTTGCCAACAGCTTAAGATGCAACGCTGGCAAGCAGAATCGGAACACGAAGAAGTATGTTCCCACCTGCCCATCGATCACGTCACTCAGCGAGTAAACCTCGTCAGCTGTGTCCGGGTCGTTTCTCAACAGTCCTGATGCCCAAACGGCTGCCCTGCTCCCGCACTCCGAACTCCCGTCAGTCAGATCGTCTTCTGGAGAAGACAAAGCCTGCAAGAGCGGCAAGAGAGTGCTCCCGTTTCTAACAGCTGATCGCATCAGACAAGAGAGGCCCGTCTCTGCTTGTTCGCCAGAGGGTTGAATGGAATCATTTCCGGCCTAAGTGGACACCCAAAAGCCCATTCCATGAAGAGAGGTAGCCCCCGCTCAAACGAATCGTTTTTAAGTTGGGGCTTGCGGTGTGCCCATGCTAACGAAATGGTTAGCACCAACACTGTCGAGATCGGAAGGCAAGGACCGTTAAAAGAAGCTAGGAGGTGTTAAGCGGAAGGATGCTGAACCGTCCACAACATGCGTACCCACTTTGTGTTCAGAAATCAAGACTGGGTACTTGTATTCGATACTCGACTCCGCAACCTGTCGAGCTTGAGTCGACTAACACTGAGGCTTGAGGAGCACCTGATTGATCTATATAGGCCTTACTTAAAAAACACGACCTAGGTCATATGCAAAAGCTGATGGCACAAACGTTTGGAAACCGTTCACAGAAACCCTTCAGCTGCTTCCACAATGGGCACGATTTCTGTGGACATCGAAAAAATCTCTTGGTAAAGGGCCTCGAAACGTGAAGCAAGCGTACCGAACTGCTGGAGCTTGGCGGTCCTGCTTGTATTGTCCCGTCCTTTGCTGCTCGTATGATTTCGTACACCTCCTCAACGTCCATATCGTGTTCACGGAAGAGCTTCGCGACGAAAGCATACTGTCGCTTCCGGCCGTTCTTTGCATCGATGCCGAGACCCTGCAAAAATGAGGTAGGGAGTCAGTGGAGATTTGTCATGAAGGGCATTCCCCCCAATCGGTACCGACATCATTGTTAGTGAAAAGGCTTTGGCTTCCGAAGAGGTACAACAGGCTGTCAAGTTACACATGCTAGCAGACACTTGGAGGCTGCGGGCCCTCTCGCAGGAGGTTCCCAAAAAGTCAAGGTGTTCGACTATGAAACAGCGGTAGACTGCAGGGGGCTGATCCTAACATGTCATTCCGGAGATTTGTTCCCATTGTTTACTTGCCTGGTCATGGGACTACGGGTTTTTACACACAAAGCGGGTCTTGTTTTCCGCAAATGGCTCGAGGTGTTGTTTTGCTCGAGTTCCCCTGTTCGTTCGGAAATTTTCCGGGGGGTAGCTTCCGTAAACAAAAGTAGTCTCCTTGCAACCGTCAAAAATGGTTATTGCAACACCATCTTCTTCACCGCGCTCTACACCGTGGTGAAGATTCGATCATCTCGGTGTTTTCGCTGACGTATGATCGTACTGTGTAAAAATACACCCACAGTGTTTTCGTAGCAGGTACCGCTGCGACCCCTGCTGTACCGTCGCTGAAAATCAAAACTACACCTGCTCTGTTTGAAGAGACCCTTTGTTGAACACTATATCCCCTTGAACACATTGAATTCTCACCTTTGCAAGGGTGACTGCTTCCAGCATCTCCGCAGGCATGCCACTGACACTGCAGCAGAAGCAGCCTGTACTTTAGAAGGGCATCTGTACGAAGTACTGCTGGCGAACATCCAACGTTATTTCGCTTCAACAAATTCATGGGCTTTTGATGGGCATGTTCGAAAGAACGCAGCTTTGTGTTTACAGCACCAGTGCATCCTACGTCAATGATGATCCCCCAGTTTGTGGTGGTAGTGTAGTGAATGCCCTCGATTATCAAGCCATGGATTCTATTGACCAATTGAAAGATGTGCATGCCTCTATGATATGTTGAGCTCGTCCAGGCCCCGAATAAGTATGACAGCTTTACAGGAATGTGGCGCTGTATGGGGCCAAGTGTGCCATACAGCGCGCTAGCCATACCTGACAACCTGTTTCAGGTTCTTTGGAGACAAATCTGCCAGGTCATAGGCCAATTCAAGCGCTGTAGAAGCCTCCCTCTTGCGCTGGTTCTTGCTCTTCCCTGTAACTTCTTCTTCTTGTTCTTCGCCAACCCAACCTGGTTCCTTCAGCGTACCAAGTTGTCCCAACCCATTTTTTAATTTTCTTAGACCCACCCTGGTGCCGGCAGCGGCAGCTACTCCCCTTCTTCCATTGAGCCTCCCATCCTCCCAACTTTGACCAAAGTGTTGAGCGCACCAGGTTCCAGCTGGCAGCGCATCCACTTTACCTACTGGCGTCGCACAACCTTGAGGAAACACTGAGCTGGGCCACTCATGTAAACAGCAGGAGAAGAATTTAAAATGAGTACTCAGAACTGGCAAATGTGATCTCGTTGAAAATGAAGTTCGCAATTGCCAACAGCTTTGAAGCTTCACGCAAGTCCTTTGCGTGCATGCCATTAGAAGACGAGCGATCATTACACATCAACACCGAGGCTGTACGCGCTAAGCTGTTGATGTAATCAACACGAAAATTCACTCTTCAGACCCTCACAATCACGTTCACGATCAATCTCCCAACTTAAATTAACTTCTCCGCCTTTCAAGTTCTGTGCATTGCGCTTCGCTGGACATCCAAGCCCATCAGCTGTGAGCTGCACCACTGCCAGCATCATGATCTGCTCAGATCGGCTTGAACTTTGCATTGAAAAAGTGGAACCATTACCGAGCTAACACCGGATCAGAAAGTGATCCGGAGCCACGGGTTCCACGTGAAGACTTTGCCATCTTGGTCGAATAAAGAGCATCCACGTGCAGTAATTGCAATCATTCTGGACAAGTGGCTTGCTTCAGAGGTGAGATGTCGAGATTCTGGCGGTAATGGTTGGTTTTCTGGTGTCAAACACCAACGAAAATGGGCCTCCGGAAGGGAAAAAGTGCCTGCACAAGAACAGTCGCTGTCAAGTGTCGTTCTCATTCTGTTGCAACTTGCCAACTGCATGGCCATGGCCCTTGGCATGGGTGGCACGGGTCTTTCAGAAAGCATCCTTCACACGGAAGGCGTTGAGAGGGAGGCGATCTAGCCAGCATTGAGGAGGGCAAGGGACGAATAATATTTTGGCAGGTCTCCGGCGGGTGATTATTTGAGTGAGTAGGCACAAAGTAAGACGTTCTTGATCAGTTATGCATGCACTTTGAGTCACTGGACGAGCTCTAAACAAGGCCACAATGTTCATCAAGTCGGCCCTCGTGGTGGCACTTGCGGCAAGCTTTGGAAACTACCTGCAGGTGAGTTTCAGATCCATGATTGCTTCATGGGTAAGATCTGTGTCCAGCTGACTTGAAACTTGCAAAAAGTGTATGTAAAGTAATTCGGATTCTGCTTCCTTCTTGCTGCAGTTCAACTCCCGGATTAGGCAGGGTCATGCTGCAGATTCTTTCAGGTTTCCAGGTATAGTACGCTAACATGGTCCTCAGCAAGCAAATCATCTTAAATAAGTAGCTGCTAATCAAGGTGCATTCGTCTGATGCAGGGTTATGACTCTGGTTGCATTGCTGGTGAGTGTGCGGCGTAATGCTTATGATGCTTTTTCTTGCCTGATCCTAATTACCACCAGAGGAACATGTTGAGGTGATCGTGAGATACATCTTTCTGTCTGCTTGAGAATTTGTCGAGGTTCAGAGCGTTGTCCTTGGCAGTGTCACTCAATCCACTCCAAGATTAGGCTATCTGCTAAGAAGAACGTGTTTGCATCAACTGTTGCACTGACACGTTCCTTCAGCTTAAGATCAGGCACTCTGCTGAAACCGGCTTTGCACTCTTGCATTGACAAGTGCCTGATCCCTGATTCTCTGCTTGCTGAGGTACTGCTGGCACTCTTCTCATTCATAGATTTTGTCCTTCTTTACTTGCTCCAGGTGCCCTTCTATACATTCAGCCGGCCTTGCACTTAGAGGACAATCCAAGCCTTGCTGGGGCCATAGTCTCGGCCACTCTTGTAGGCGGGGTGGTGTCCACACTCTTTGCGGGACCTTCTTCTGATAAGTTCGGGCGGAAGAGGCTTCTGCAAGTGTGTGCTGCAGGTATGCCCTTGATCATATATGCTCATTTGCGAGTTGAATGAAAGAAGACAAAACCTTCTGAAGTTCATTTTTGAGTGCTCCTTGTTGCATCATGCTGAGTGATGAGCTGACTAGCTCGAACTCGCAAAACCAGTGTCTCATATTATGAAACCAATCTGACGACCGGCAGAACGGCTGCAATGAGCTGACTCGTTTTTGTTTTCCTTGCAGTCTACTTTCTTGGGGCTTGTGTCTCGGGTTGGTCGCCCAATGTTTGGGTCCTCATAGCAGGCCGAGCAATCATTGGTCTTGCTATTGGGATTGTGGCAAGCATTGTAGGCGTTTACGTGGCCGAGTGCGCCTCAGGTGCGCTTCAATTTCCCACTCATTGACTACTTGATGCAACCGCACTCATTGTCATCAGGCAGTTCTGCTGCCTTCTGCCCCAATATCACCTTTCCGCAAACACGTGTGGTGTCTTGTGATCTTCCATCTGGAGTTTTGTAGACAAAGCTGCACTCAGCATCCATTCTCTTGCACTCTCCACTTCCCTGAGCTGACATTGTCATCATTTTTATGCAGCTTCCGAAAGGGGCCGTCTCACGACTTTTGGCCAGCTTATGGGTAGGTCTTTGTTGAATTTAATTCAATTTGCAATCTACTTGGGGCTGTCGACTCTCAAAACTGGCCACAACAAGCTGTGTAGCACTCAAAACTGTCACTGGTTATCTCTATCACATCTCTTCTATTTGTTCATGTCCAATCTTAGCCTTTGGCAATAGTTAGCAGGTATTTTAGCTGTAACAATGGCAGATACAGGTGATCTGCGACCAGCTTCGCTTATTATGGTAATATTTTTCACCTGCATACCTCCCTTGTGCCTGGTGTATTTAGCTCGCACTTAAGGAAGGATGTTTGTGCTTGCAGGCAGCACAGGCATGGTGCTCAGCCAATGTGTCACGTTCTACTTCTCCCTGGCTCCTTTAACTGACGTGAAGTGGCGTCTCATGCTGGGCTTCAGTGCGGTTCCGGCATCCTTCTTCTTTGCTCTGGCTTATCTTCTACCTGAGAGCCCTCGCTGGCTTGCTTCGAAGGTGAGGACCTCAGCTGCTCCTCCCCAAATAGGCTCTTGACTTTGAATGGCAGTTCGAACATAGGGACTTGCTGGTGCAGATTCTCACAAGTAACTTGTTGTTGCCAATCAATTAGATGACACGAGAAATTGGATTTGTACCTTCTCTTGCACAAGTTGAGGCTCGTAACTCTTTGTTACTTTTCATACCCTGTCTCTTAGAGCGCGTGGCATGAGACTAACCATTCAGCTCGCCATGCCTCCTTACCTTGAGACTTGCTGTTTGCGTTTGCAAATCCTGTCATCTCTGGTTGGGTTCCATCGTGCTCCTGCTGGTGTGTTCAGGGACGCCTCATTGAGGCCCGCCACATCTTCCAGCATCTCCGTGGCCGGGAGGACGTCAGCGACGAGCTCGGTCTCGTCATTGAAAACATGGAGGTCGGGCCCAGCCCCCTGGAAGAGTGGCTCATCAAACCAGAGGACGTCAAGCCGTCCGGCCTCGCCACGCCCATGACCCCCGGCAGCGGAACCACCAAATCTCTCGGCGTGTCTATCCCTCTGGTCGATGAAGAAGTCGCCGCCATCCAGGCCCTCGAGGAGGCGCGAGCGCGCGCCGCGTTTCTGGCCATCGCAGAAGGCAGAGAGCTGTCGTACCGCGCGCCCTTGGAAGCCGTGTTCGAAGACATCGAGAAGGGAGTGGCGGCGGGCCAGCACACCGAGGCGACGTCGGTGCCGGCGACCCCCATCTTCGAGCAGACGACGATCCTGTCGGTGGACTGGTCCGCCGTGCAGGGGTCACCGCATGGGACGCCTCAACGAACGCCAAGACGTCAATCAGGTGAGGAACCAACTTCAGCCCGTTGGCTCATCCCTGCTGATGCTAGTTCTAGTCGGAGCGCTAGCGTTTTTTATCTAGTGTGGGGCCCTCGGTGCCCGGTGAACTTGTTACTTTGAAACCATCGAAAAACGCATGAGTCTGGCCAAATGGAGAATAGAGAGTACTTGCGCACCTTAGAGCAGCTTTATTGCGTTTTCGATGACTAATCTGCACATTAAGTGAAAGTGTGTTTGAAACCGCCGAAGCCGATAGAGCATGGAGCTTTATTCCACTGGTTTTGGTGACCAGCTGCAAGCGAGACAAGTACAGATGCAACGAGATTTGCTGCAGCACCTTTCAAGGTAAATTGCGCATGCTGGCCGGAAGCATTAGCACTGCTCTGTTCCGTGTTGACTTTTTTTAACGTTGCTTGCAGCCGCAAACGTGTTTGGTTCGGAGCCAGAAGACTGGAAGGAGGGGCGGTCTCATCTCAGCCATGCTCATAGCGGCATGTCCTCAGAGAGCGCTCGCCAGCCCGGCGTTGCAGGCCGCCTTCAGCGCCTCCTAAGCGATTCGGACCGCCACACCGCAAAGTGAGTACTATTGTGAGACGTAAGCGACCGTGTCTCTCGGAACTCTGTTTGTTCTGCCCCCTACGAGGCAAGTCCATAGGCGGTATTTTGAAATTCTTGAATTTCCAGCTTCCGACCTAGCTACTTCTTTGTCTAATGTTTTAAAGGCGCTTCCTCTGACTGTGAGTCGTTTTGTAATCACTCGATGTTAGAGCCTAACCTTCATTAACATCTTCGTTTGGCAGTTACGGTCTGGGTTCGACGCTCATCCTTTCCCTTGGAACAAGCAACCTGGGTTCTTGTAACATCGTACCAAAAGAGATTCATTTATTTCGTGGCAGCTGGGCCAGCGGCGAACTAGACGAGGCCGACATCTTCAACCAGGAGGAGCGGCTGACCGCCTCCAGGCGCTTCCGCGACTCTCCCGCCGACTCCGGCCGAGACACGCCTCAGAAGATCACGCCCCAAAAGTCCGGAAAAGAGACGCCAGGCCTCCCGCGGCCGGAGAAGAAGCCGCTGTCTCGACAGGACAGCGCGCGAGATGCGCCCGACGCGCCCGCGCCCGCAGCGCGCCAGCTGTCGGAGCTGCTGCAGGCCAAGTCGCAGGCCGTGCGGGGTGACGTGGCGGACAAGCTCAACAAGCTGCCAACCGTCGTGGTGCACCAGGTAGGCAGCATCACAACGTTCAACACTTTGTGTTCTTGTCTGCGCCCATAGACCTGCGAAAGAGATGAGAGTTAGCGCTCTTTCTGCGTATGTGAATCTCCATAAGCTTCGGCGCTTGGCGTCGGTCTTGCTGTGCACAGGTTGGTGCAAGCGTTCAACATCCGGTTCGTTTCATCATGCAACTTTCGACACAAGTCGCACCGTGAAAATCCCGTGCTCATCGACTATTATTGGAGAGGGGTGGCAGCTGGACTTTTAACGATGCTTCTTCTTGGGTCGTTGGAACATCGATTTTCCAGAGCGTTCCGAAACCTTGTTGTAATTCATCAATGCACAACGTTGGGCGCTTCAAAGGGAGGCATGCTGGTCCTTCCCTCAATCCCACAGCGACTTGCCGTCTCGCTCCTGGTTATAAGCTTCCTAGCTTTTCCTTTCTTGCTGACCATTTCCTTCTTCTTCCCCGCCTTCGCAGGTTCCCAGCTACTCCGACCTGGCCGTCGAGCAAGACGTCTCCGCCGAGGACCTCAAACCCCCCCTCTCCGAAGCCCCCCCCGACGACGAGTTCCACTGCAAGGAGTGCGAGACCGGCGCGGCGCACCACCACGGGCTGGACACCGCGACCGACGACACCCCGCTTCTCCCCGACCTCAAAACCGGCCAGAATATCGAGGTTGTCGAAGCCATAGCGGTCGGTGAGAATACGCTCGTGCTCGGAGTGGATTCACACGACCAGGAGGTGCTGCTGCAGAAGCTGGGCCCGACCGCGGCGGCCGCGGTTCCGGCGGAAGTGCTGGACACGGAGCCGGACCTGGGGACGGACCTGTTCGAGCCCGGGGTGCAGCGCGCGCTGCTCGTCGGCGTCGGCCTGCAGGCGTTCCAGCAGGTGCGTGGCGGCTCCTCAAGTGCTCGTTCGCCACGTGCGTTCGTGTGATTTACTTTTGAGATGTATTGTGCGGAGCTTCTTTGACCTTAGGGAAGGTTGCGTATTCCCAGAGGGGCCTTCTAGCCATCTGTGGATTCACTTCTTTACGAAGCTAGTTCAAGGGGTACATGAGAGAATATTATGGCAGTCGCTGCCTAAGGAGCATTTTCCAGATGACGTCCGGCTTCACATGCGGCCGTAGTCCGGTCTATGAAGGACTTTATCAAGCCTCTGGATACAAGGGCTAAGAAGGACCGTTTCAAGTTTCTGAAAACAATCATCCTGCAAATCCTTACACAGCCACCCTAGACAAAACATCAAACGCCCGATTCACTCAGCGCTGAAACCGCCGAATGACCCCCTACCGCCCGCTTCGTGCGCAGCTGTGCGGCATCAACGCCGTGCTGTACTTCACGCCCACCATCCTCAAGGACGCGGGCGTGGGCGCCTTCTTCGAGCACGCGCTCGGCGTCGGCCCCGAGTCCGCGTCCATCCTCGCCACGGGCCTCACCTACGTCGTCATGATCCCCGCCATTCTGCGCGCCATGGTGCTCATGGACAGCTCCGGCCGGCGGACCCTGCTCCTGGGCACTATCCCCGTGCTTACAATCTCCGTTGCCGTGCTGGCGGTCTCGACCGGGCTGCTCCCGGCGGGGAACCTCCGGGCGGGGCTGGCGGTGTGCAGCATCGCGGTATACTGCTGCGCGTTTGTTATGGGGTTGGGGCCGGTGCCTACGACGCTGTGCTCAGGTGAGTGGAAGCGAGCGAGGGGGTTGTTCTGCGGGTAACGAGGTCGTTGTGTTCGGCTGGCTGGATTTGTTCCTTTGATGCCAGGCTGGCTCGTTGCTCGTTGGCGTGGCAGCCTTTGGGTCTGTTTGCCTAAAGCAATCCCCACAAAGATACACAGGAGGATCGAGAAGACACATTAGCTGCGCAACGTGGTGGGAATGCAAACACTGATATGTCTACTACGCTTCGTGTGCAGAGACGTGGCTTCACATTAAGATTTGAGGATTGGAGAGAAGTTAACGGGCCACCCTCGAGTTGCCCACAAAATCGAGACACGCTGACGGCTGACCCGGTGCCCTGATTCCTTCTTTTCCTTGGAGAATCAAGTGATGCATTTTCGATCCTCTTTACGCAGAGATCTTCCCCACCCGCGTCCGTGGCGTCTGCATCGGCATCTCCATCGCTGCTCAGTGGTTCTTCAACTTCGTCGTCAGCCAGTCCTTCCCTATCCTGAAAGTGGCCATCGGCCTACCGTCCGTCTTCGGCATCTATTCTGCCATCTGCGCAAGTAAGGCCAACTTGGTGTTTGCAAGCGCTCGATTGCTGTGCTGGGCGGTTCAGATTGGAATTTCATTGCATTGTCGTAATAGTGGTGTTTTGCATCCTGTCCGTTGTGGGGTTCATCTGCAATGCTTGGCTGCTCCGCAAGCAAACGAGGTGGCGATAGGTCTTCGTTGGATTGCAAAATGTTGTCCAATTTTGGCCAATTGGTCGGAGAAGGAGTCTTCAATCAAGATTTCCAGATGTAGGTCCCGAGGGGCCTGTGAGCTTGTTCAAGAAGGACTGGGCCAATTGTGCTTGTTGCCATGCAGCGGCGTATGCCTTCGTCTACGTGCTGGTGCCGGAGACCAAGGGGCTGTCGATGGAGGCCGTTTGCGAGTATTTCTCCAAAGCTGCCAAGGGCGAGTTGAAGGGCCGGAAGCAGGCAGTGCACAAGTCGGGGGACCTGGTGACGCCGTTGCTGCAATAGCCCGGCCAACTCCAGGCCCGCTATCCTAAATGGCTTGCAATCGAGGACAGTGCACTCCGGTGCCGTTTAGACAATAAGAAAAGCTCTACAGATAATCTTAACAGCATCATATTGCTATGTTTCGCGGCCCGATTTGCAGGTAAACACGCAATAGTAGGAAGGCAAATTGCAAGTGCTAGCGCAAGCTTCTTCTCTAAACTTGGTATGTCTCCTCCAGGTTGCTCTTGTATAGACTGATAGGTACAGTACGGCATTATAGGTACGGTACGGCATAAAGCCAAGTTGTTCGCAAAAAAATGCTGCACATAGATAGACTCGTTCTTGGCATTTTCAGGGGTCCGACAGCCATCGGCACTTGAGAAAATGTAATTTCAGTTGCTTGGCAGGGCTCTCGCATGCGACAGCGTTTTGTAGTACATATTACTTTTTTCAATCCTGTATTTTGATGGATCAGAGATCGGTTCATGGTAAGCTTCTCGATTGCTGCATGTGCCAGCATGCACCTATCTAGCTGAGTCTAGCTTTGCATGGACGTGTTTTGACACGGAAGCGTACAGAGCTTATCGGTTACATTAGTACCCATCTCAAATGCATATATCGCATCGCTGCATGATGGTAACGTTTCCAATTTATTAACGCCCTTAGCCGCCATGTGGCCCGGCGTGGAGCACGGTTTCCGGCGCGGCTGGGAATTTGTTTTTTGACTCCGCAACTTGCTACGGCTACGAGTCATGTCCAACAAGGTATGCAAACCCTAATGATGCGGGCACCTTAATTCACATGATGTTCCACGTGTTTTGGCTAGCACAAGCTAGCTCTATACAGCGTAACGTTTCGCACAACGTGCACTGGAAGTGACTTTGCGCACACATGTGCGGAGAAATCCAAGGACACCGCCACTGGCCGCGCACCTGGCACCCGGTTACGAATTGTGTAATTGGGGGGGGGGAGCTTGGGTTGCTTCAGGTACAGCACTCTTGCGACCAGGTTCGCAACAGTTAAATATTACGCAGTATCAATCAACTAGCTCCGTGAATGCACTTTGATCATGCCCGTACATATTTGAGCCTCTCGAAACGTCGAACTGTCATGAGGTGAAGATAGCAGGCCAAGCCGCACAACCACAGGAGTTTTGTGCAACTTGATTAAGAACTTCACAGGTGCGACGTTGAAAATGCAGGGATCTGAAGCTCGTAACTATGATACATCAAGGCTTACACGAGTTGGCCGGCAAGGGCACAGGTAGCATGCGGACCACATGTAGTGCAGAATACCGCCAACCGCTGTTCACAGAATAGAAAGAGGGACTTGAAAGTCGCATAGAGCGTACGGCGCAGTCAATGATGCTAGATCTGATCAGACAATCTGTTACACAACCTACTCCTTGGAGGGCCCCCAGATTCCTTGTCGGATTTCGTCATCAATCTGCTCTAGGACTTGAGGGTGGGACTTGAAGTACTCGTCAGCCGTGAGGGTCTTGAGGGCAGCCTGCATTGAGACAGATATCCCGTTTTCACCTTAGGAATCTGGATGGTAAAGCAAAGAGGGGAAACCGCAAAAAGAAGGGGGAGGGGAAAGCGAAAGAAGCAATAAACCACAAGACACAAACTTGAATTTATCAATTAAAACAGAGCCCTTTAGCAATTGCTTTCATTTGCAGCAACATCCAACAGGACAGATTTACAATTTACGGCACCGCCTGCTGTCATGTATGTAACGATTGATTGTGGGGCTCCTTTCAAAAGTGCTTCCCTTTATAGGTTCTTACAATTCGGCAAAGAATAGCAGCATCCACAGTGATCCTTGCACTGGCGCGCCTTCTCTGCAAAAAGAACCATCCATTTCATTCGACCGACTTCACACAACGAAACTTCAAATGAGTCATCGGTCCCGAATGATAGTCCATCAGTATCCACTGGAACATTTGTCACCTTTTGCTTCTCGAGCTCCTTTGCTTCAGCTTCCAACTTGGCGGCTTCCACTTTAGCCTCCTTTGCTGCTTCAGCAGCCTTCGTCACCTGGAATCATGCAAGGCGAACTACTAACAATCAGGAGCAGTTTGTTGCAAGTTACCTTAACACAAAGTACAGATGAACTGCACCTTCCCGCTGCTGGCCCTACTTTTATCCAGAACGTCGGGCAATCAGATGCCGAAACAGATCCAATCCATACTGGACAGACAATCTGGTAGCAAGGACCGTATACTGAGACAGATGAGGTCTTCCAAAAAGAGGACACAGGTTTGGATGGCAGAGCTTCGTTGAAGACCAGCGCAGAAAGTTTTCCAGACACCTGACAAAGCTTGTTTCTGAGTAAATAGCTTAGCAGCATTTAGCAACCTAATCAACAAAAGGCAGATGCGTTACACAGAGTGCTCTTGGGCAAGCCTCTTGTAACAAATTTGAGCTCCACATCGCTGATCAGAGCAACCATCTTTTGATGGGCAACTGAGGAAAACTTGTCAACCACATGATCAACACAACAACAAAAAGCCACACTCAAGGAATCATACCATCTCCTTGTAGTCCTGCTCAAACTTGGGCGAGAGCGTTTCCTTGTACTCGCCAATCTTGACATCTGCAAAGAATCATGCTCGTAAGTCAGCTCATACCATGATAAACCGGGACTAGGAAATGCATCGCGCTCCACCTGGCAAGCTTGAGACAAGCGAACAATATGCTGAACCTAGATAATTTCTATATGCAAGACGAAAAAAATGGAAGGGCACGTTGTCAAACAACAGGCTACAGCAGAGTAGCAGCTCACCCTCATATGCGGCCTTGAACTCATCAATCATCACGGGGTTCAGCTCCGCCTTGTAGTAGTTCCAATCAATGTTGACTGGTTTCTGAAGAAAGTGAGAAGGACACTGGTTAAACGTCTGGCGATAGACAAAAACAACCAAGCACTTATCTGCAGGGAACCAAGTCCCGAGCAAGGCACACCTCTTTAGAGTGGCTTAGCGCGCCGGATTAATAACATTTAGCAGCAGGGTATTATGCTTGACGTCATTCCAAACTGAAGGTTGATTTCAGTGTGGAAGCCCCTTCTTTGTAATTCCTAGATGCCTGAGGCACACATTCCAGGAGCTTGACTTGACCACCAAGAAGACAATAAAATTCTACCCGGAGGTGCGCAGAAAATAAGGCGGGCCCGCAGGTACGCAGAAAAACTGCAAGATTTTGGGCTCTACTTGTTTTTCAGAAAGCACACCCGTGATCACACGAAATCCGTTCACAGTGGGTCAGGATGCAGCGACCCAAGAGAGTATTGAATTAGAGCCAGGCAATATGCGCAGATTGCTGACCGTAAGCAGTCCACATTGACTGTGAAGTCAAGTAGCACCTGATCAGATTAAGTACGTAACACAACTTCCCAAAGTAGGAGAACAAGCCTGGCAGCCAGAGCAATCCACCTCGAATGCTGCCAGGATCAACATGCATCTTCGAATACACCCTTGCAATTCTCAACTGTGCCAATCTTTTGTTGAGCGAAGGCCAGAACTTCCCTGACTGATTCCACTGCTCTCAAGGTTGCATCAATGCTTGTGAATTGAGCAACATTGACTGCATTGCAAGCCAGACAAACGGTTTCTTTGTCCAAAGATTAACCACTTTGGGACCACATTTGGCACGCCAGCACTACAGAAAGGACCAACAAGTCCTCCTTGCAATGCATGTGGTAATGATGACATCAACAGGTGGGCCACTGCTTTCAAAACCATTGGAAGATAGAGACGCACTTACCCCCTACGTGACTGATCGAAACAATCAAACCCTAGGCCAAGCAGTAACAGAGCACTGCTTGAAATTGGCATACATAAGTCTGTAGCCAAACTTCATATTGTTCCATGAGATCCTCTTTGATCCATTCAAAAATCTCACCAGGACAGCCTAGAAATAAGAGAAACAAAATAAAAGAAGATCTCCACAGCTCTTCTTTTAGTGAGGTTGTCGGCTTGAACGCAGTGTGATCTGCCCGGAACTCACCCTTTTCCTGAAGAGATCAAGCTGCGTCCGGGTCTCGTCAATTGTTCTCCTGAGCGTCAACAACTCTTTCCTGCCATCATCCGACTTCACAAGCCTTTCCAAAAGCCCCCAGTCAATGCCCCTGACGGTCTTGACCGCCTTCTCTGCGGCCGCCTTGGCACTCATGACTGCTGGGATTAACGGCTGACCAGCACAGGCTGCGAGAGTGCGGGCAGATATCGACCAACACCTCAAAAGACAGGGTGGCCTTATTGACACGTCAGCTTAGCACCAAGCAACCATATACATGCAGATTCCAGGCAATATTGTATCCGAAAACTGCCCAAAAACTGCTTGGCCACCCTGGCCCTTACGTCAGCCTGGCGCCCTCCGTCCCCAGCTGAGCTGCCGCAGTGCGCCTAGCTTTGTTCAATGGCTCCTGCGTGGTGACTGCTTCAATTTCTGAAAGTACTACCTATTCTCCGTTTTCCTCGGGCTGCTTTGTCTCTCTCATTGGCGTCCCCCACTTCAGAACAAGAAGTTTCGAATGTTATCGTCGTCGAACTCATACCTACTCACTAAGATTATAGTCTGATCGATCTACGGAGCTTTCGAAGGGTTCAGCTTTTAGGTCTCTTGCAGTGTAGAGCCCAAATCCAGCATCGGCGATTCTCAAGCACTGCGAAAACGATCGACGGTCCGAGACGAGCAAAAGCCTTAGGGGAGCGTTCTCTTGCTGAGCTCCTAATCATTGGCGTTCAGGAACCCGCACCAGCGCCACAAAGAAAATTAGGGTTTGGAACAGCTGGCTGCTGCACGATATTCTCAAATGGTTGACCAACTTTAAGGCAGCAAATCCAGAATCTGACAACGAAAGGCTCAGAGTCAAAGCCCGAATCTTATGTCAGTATTGAGCGCGGCGGCTCTGCCAAGAATGAATGCAGCTTGGAGGCTTCATTCTTGCGCTACAACATTGTAAGCAAAGGGCAAAGAAATCCGTGCACATTGCACAAGCTTCGCCTCTGATGATTTGACTGGAGGCCTTCCCCGGCCTAAGACCTCGACGCTTCAGGATGAAGAGAGCAGGCTTATGGAAGGTTGCAGAGAGATGAAGAGAAGCTTCAAGGTGCACGAGAACCTTGGAAGTCACATGGACGACACGTTGCTTAATGAGAGGGAAAGCAGAATTGATTGGTGACTTCTGCATAGGATCAGGCTCTGCTTTGGGGCGAGTCTTTGCGGGGCCATCGTCCGACTCGACACCTGCTGCAAAACCAGCAATCAAGGGTTGGCTAGAAAAACAGAGGCTACAGAACGTTTGCTGAGAAAAGGAGGCGCCAACCTAAGTAGGGGGCAGAAATGGATAGCCCTGAGAGGGCCCGCTCTGTCACCCCCTCAAGGGAACACAATTACAGTCCGACAAGACCACGGTCAACCAGTCCAATCCCTGCTCAGAGGAGTAGACTGAAGTCTACTTTTGGAGCCCAGGTTGGATTCCATCTTTAAATTCCAGTAGCATTCTGGCTTAGAGTCCCTGCACGTGCCTGGGGAAACTATGTCTAGTCCACTATCTGACCGTCTTTCTTTGGTAGGCAACCTGCGGGGTTCTTCGAAAGATTCGATTCAGAATGAGGGAACGAATGCAGTAAAACTTCTGTACAAGCCACTTCTGCATACTCTTTACATCTTTTAGGGTCAGAAAAAGTTTAGTCATAACCTCCCAATCTCAAGGGCAGCCAATCAGCATTCGCAATTGGCTAGGGCAGGACCAACAGGGCACGCTTGGGTTCCAGGGTCTTCAAATTGTGTATAAGGTGTTCATCAGGTGGCAGTCGGGGCGCGAGTTTCCTACATACATCTTAAGAGGGCGCCATCTGCTTCGTCATGCTTTGACTCTTGATCAGGATCTTGGCATAAGCTGGACGGGCCAATGTTCCAGCTTGCTGAGGGGACGATCAGCTTATATCAGTTTGATTGAGCTTAGGCTGCTGAAAGTCCCTGGATTCAAAGAGCCTGCATGGATGGAGCATTCACCAATAACCAGCAGTAGGCGAAGCGAGCACGTAAAGTATTCAGGTTGAAAGGACGATCACAGTGTTTGAAGTCTTGTAGGCCAAAGGATCTCGAAAAAACCACGATTCTGATGAAGTGGCACTGCCCATCAGGGTGCGCCTCACGTAACCACAGAACCACCACGGGTTTGTCAGCTTTTAGCTGTAAGAGCAAGTTTTAGTTGTTATCCATCACCAACGGTGATGATGTTCAATAGGGAGCGTGAAGTTAGTCGCTACCTGAACTCGTCTGTGCCTATTATTGCAGCCGGTGTCGACCAGAGTGAACGCCCCCACTTTCGTCTTTGGAAGCTCAGACCGAGCTGCGGCAGCAAAGGTGAGCGCGTTGATCTTCATCCTTATCTAGTTAGATCGTAGTTGAGGAGGCACTCGACTCTACGAATCAGAACATTTTTCTGAGAAGAACAAAGTACATATTAGTGCTCCGCGAGTATGATCAGCTCTCGTCCCGTTGCCATCGAGTAGCTTGAGGTAAGTCGGCGACGTTCTCGTAGCTCGCCCCTGAATCATCCTGACGTTGTCCCTCTGCCAAGAGCCTCCCACGACCTCCCACACCCTCTTTGTTCTTGTGCTGACGCCCTCTGTCTCCTCCGGACTTCCTCGCAGGTAGATTGAACTTATCAAAACATCTATTCAACATAGCTCGTCAAACGTGGACTTTGGTCTTCCCTCAGGTATTCAATTGCATCCATCGAAGACTCCAGCATTTTCGTCCAAACGACTGAGAAAGATGAAAACTCATACGCACTCCTCTTAACTACGTCTTACCGTTTGTTCCAGGTGTTCATCGACTCGGACCACTCCAAGACGTCCGTCGGTCTCAACAGCCCGGGTCCTGTGTACGAGGTCAAGTCGTCGCTGGGCCGACAGCTGGAGTCCAATAAGGAGTCGCCCACTTACGTCAGCTTCGGGAGTGCCAAGAGGTTTGGAAAGGCAAGAGAGGTGAAGCTACTCCCTTCAAGGGCCAGAGAAATGTCTTCTTGTGCAGCGACGGGGCTTCTTCACCCTGGCCGAAATGGGTCGGGGAGAAAGCGAGGAAGCAAGCTCGTTCAGGAGCTCAGAAGCAGATTGCTTAGCTTAAAGATTGTTTGCGCAGCCGGGATCAAGCCAAAGCTAGCGCAGCCTTCGTGACGACAGTTGCGGGAGCACAACCGGTACGACAGAAGTAGATGTACTGTATATGACCGGGAGAACGAAAGGTCAGAACAAGAGACTGTAGCTAAAGCAAAAGCACTGGAAAGCGAAGCAGGGGATGCTTTTGATTGTGTTTCTTGACAGCTTGCAGAAAAGAGCAGCAAAGCCCTCTGCTGGTCGCCCTAGGCGGCCCACGGCGCAGCTCTTTCAGGTCTTCGGACGGCGACCTTGCGCAATCCGCGTTCGGACACCCGCTCGCTTTGTGCCACATTGACCGTTTGGTTCTGTATCGCTGAATCTGCTAAAAAGTCCACTGTTCCGGTATGAGAACAGCGAAGTGTCAACAACAAGTCTCCTCCTCTCCACGCGAAAGAAAGAAAAGCCTGGTCGCACCGAGGCGTTCTGCCCGCATCCCCAACCGCATATATCGACTTTCCGTTTGTTTTCTGATGCAGCCTCGCACCGCGGGGGATGTCCCCGGGCCCGGTCAGTACCAGGGATCTTCGTCGATCGGCCCCCAGGTCGACTCCCGGTTGAGGTCCCCCGAGTCGGTCGGCTTCGGGAGCAGCACACGCGACAACCAGGCCAAGGTCTTCATGGGACCCGACTTCTCCAAGGTGCGCGCTCGAGCTCCGCAAATGCTAACGTCAGACTCTGACGTCAGCTGCTGCAACAGAAGCATGTCGTCAGGCATGAGATTTCCTGATTCAGCAGCTTCAGCTTCAGCGGTCGAGACGCGTTCTTGCTCGTTCCTCTTTCTAAGTCGGTCCCTTCTGCCAACGTCATGTCTTGTGCGTCCGTGACGTCATATCGGGGGAAATGGGGAGAACGGGGGGGAGTGCAAAGCATTTCTCGAAAATGATACGGATGCTAGCGCAATGTACCCACGACGTGTTCAAAATCTCAAGGTCCATTTGCGCCGCTGACACGTGGCACGTTGTACATTTCAAGTTGCTGACGCGTGGCACGCTGTGTGTGGGCAGTCGTTCTTTGGGCAGGACTCCCCCGGCCCCAGCAGCTACAGCGCCATGTCCAGCATCGGGAGTCAGCCGCTATCAGACCACAAAAGCCCGCCCGGCTGGAAATTCGGCACCGCCGGTAGATTCAAGGTCAGCAGCGCCGCTCATTTCGTCTCGTAAAATGGCACTTCGTTGAGATGGCTTCGAGCTCATTCATGAACCAAAAGTCCATTTGGACATCTGAGCCCGAACTTGTCTGAGGATCGAACTTGTCAAGAAGGCATCCGTTGTCGAATCCGTTAGTATGTCACGAGCGAAGCTTTCGGAGTCACCATTTGTAACATCTTCTGTATCACGAAATCATTCTCCGTTGCTAGCTTCAAATGTTGGACCTTTCACTTTCGTTCGTACGGCTCCGCTTCGCTTTTTAAGTTGTCCTGCCGACCGCACCGGCTCGCATACTGCTCTTTCTTCAATAGCTCCTAAAATCACACGCTCCTTTTCGCTTTTTCGTAATGCTTCTCAGGAACCTTCCAAAACCTCACAACTTCATCCCTGCAATATCAAACCCCATTCCCTCGTTGTATCCCACTTCCCCTCCTCGTAAGAGCTTTCACACCGCTCTTTTCCCCTCACAGTACGAGTTCGTAGAGCGCGCTGCGAAGACGCCCGGCGCGGGGCAGTACAACTCGATCGGGTCGGTAGGGAAGCAGCCCCAGACGCAAAAGCAGAACGTGCCCGCCTTCAGCTTCGGAAGCTCGCAGCGGGACCAAAGGGCGAAAGTGAGTGGGCGCTTTGGTAATCTGGGGATCTGACGGGCGACTTGACAACTGGAGCATCCAGTTTTGAGGTCGCCGGCGATTTGGGGCCCCCACGGTTTCCACCAAGTGCGCAGGTCTTGGGAACGGATCGGCTGGGTGCAAGACAATGTTGCGGCGAGGGCTTGTTACCGCCATCGAACGTAGCATCTTGACACGTGATATGTTCAGTTCGAGGTATTTGAAGCGCGTTCGACGTATCTGACTCTTCGTGTTTGCTTGCAGATGTTCATCTCGACGGAGCATGAAAAGAGCCAGTACGGCACGTGCAGCCCGGGGCCGGCGTCGAACAATCCCAAGTCTTCACTGGTGAGCCCAGGTTTCTTGTTTGTCTGAAGAAGGGTTTTTGAGTCTCTCCTTCCTGTCGGGCTCTACTCCTTTCCGTCCTGCGTAACCGGTGGCACAAGCCTGTGACAACGCACGGCGGACGGTAACGCGTTTGCCCCTCAGGAGTCTCCTGTAATGCTGCTTGTAATCTCAAGACTGTGTAGGACTTACCCCAATCAAACTTGCGGCTGTGAGGTTCCTTCCCTCTTCAAACCGTTCTACGTGTTCCGGTTGCGGGCAAGCTGTACCAAATACCACTCTGTCGGAGTATGCAAAAATGGTTTTTCAATTTGTCCAATCAACAAAAATCTCAAATCGCCTCGAACCCAGCGACGAAAGAGGACCAACGATAACTAGATACGGGTTGCTACGGAATCTCGTCTCGTAAAAGACGAGCAACTTTTGCAAGGTCAATGTATCCAACGGCTGGCCTGACCATATTCTCAAGATGGTCAGATTGATGGAATAAGCAAGCCAAGTGCTGGTTGTTTGCAACCGGCCGAGTTTTTCCTTCGGCGCCGTCAGTGCACCAGAGCAGACTTTACAGAACGATTCTGGACTCTCGCTTTGCAGGGCTTCCAGATCAATTCACGAGCGCGGAACGCGTCCGCCGTGGGTTTCGGCAAAGCGAAGAGACTGGTGTACATGCCGACAGACACTCCAGGCCCGGGCCAATACGATACGTAGATAGCACGTGCGAGCGTACTCAAGAGTATGTCTCGTCGAAAGGACCGCGGGATCAGCGCATTGCAAAGGACTGAAGCGAAGAGTGGGAATGTTTCCGGGTAGAGAGTAATGTCGGACAGTAGATTCGTAGGGATATTTATCGCACGCGATGGGTCTGAGCGGAATGATAATTGCTTGGATTAAAAATGTGAAGTGAAAGGATACATTTGGCCAGACAGCAAAGACGAGTGATTGCCTGTTGTATCAAGGGCGGCCCTCGACCGACATCTTCCCACCCTTATGACATAAGTCGAGGTATATCGATGCATGTCTTGTTATATAAGACGATAACGCGACCTCGGAGCATGAACATATGACTACTGCATGGGATTACCGATGCAAAGCATCACACTGCAGTGTGATGAAACAACCGTATGTGAAAGTTTCATGAAACAACCGCGTATGTGAAAGTTTCTGATTGTGCGATTGCCGCCGGATGCAAGGCCCATGCGTGAGTGTCACCATCAGCGCATCATTGTTGAATTAAGCGCGAATTGCCAGCACTGACTACTGAGCTCTGCACATGGTGAACCGTCAGGATAATATTGACATGCCAATCAGTCGATCGCCATGGCATCTGCACAATCGGTGACCGTGGTTCGTTCCTCTCGAGCGACTGCTAGCTCGGACTTGATCACTATATCGCAATCTGATGCGGCCATTAAGCTGTCACTGTTTGGCCAATCAACAGCTGCCGCCCTAGATTAGAATGAAAATTAGAATGAAAACTCCATGCAGAGATAGGCCTTCAATCCTCATGAGTTATACATGATCCCATCCATCAGTATATACTCGTGACGGCCTCGCGGCAGATATCCTTGAGGGGCGCCGACCGGCAATACTGCATGCATGCCATGATGGCCCAGCGCGCCGGTGCGTCGGAAGCTACACTAAGACGCCGCGGGCTGCCCATTTGCGCTAAAGGCACTGTGCAATGTTTTCGCGACCATATATTGAAGACGTTCATATAGTGACTTTTCAAGATCGAATAATTGGCTTGCGCTCTCAGATCATCGACTTGGCATGCTTGGCCAACTTGCAAACTTCCAGCCTGGCGCTCAATGCTTGCACATGTGCGCTTTACAGCGGAAAGTCGCCGCAATCGGTTTTCCGTCTTGACGGTAAAACCGCCGCGCCAGATTTGAAGTCATACAGAACCCGAAGATGCAACGACGTGTGACATACAGAACAAACAAACGGTGCTCCACTTCTGACAGCTCAGGTATGTTTCCGTTTGGTCCGAGACTTTCCTTTTCTCACCGCTTTTGTGCCGCCATCATTACCGGTGTCCGTCTGCGAATCTCCCCGTCCTATAAAGGAAAGACCAAACAGAACCGGAACAGTAACACCTATTGTCACAAAGGGCGCGAGTCGAAGGAGCACGCTTGGATCATGGGCAAATGCTTGCTCGGCTCCGGCAAACAGTCGTCCACTCCATGTATCTTTCCACCGGCAATCTGGAAAGGCCCCATGAAGTTTGCTCAGATTCTCGGTGAGAAGCAGACGAGTTCTGCTGAGAAGTTTGGTTAGTCTCAATCCTAGCGAAGAAGTCGCTCAGAAGGCTTGGTTGACAGATGCCGCAAGGAGATCCGCCTTAAGGTTTGTAGAAAAGGATTTGAACCAAAACGTCGTCGCCCTTTTAAAGGGTCAAACCTCGGAGGGGCAACGGGGGCTGACAACAAATCAACGCGAAGAAAATCTCTCACTCCACGTCTCTTCCCTGACTTATCCAATGTGAAGAGAAATCTTGTCTTGCTTTGGTCCAGGCAGCTGGGATAGGGGGACTTGTTTCTTCGAAACAGAAATGCAGGGGATTGGTGCCACGCTACATGCGAGCTACGGCGACAATCACAGCATAACATGAGAGTGTTTACAAACTGATTAAGCCGAATCAAGCGACACCTACCTGGGACGATGTTTGTGCAAATAAACGCCGGCGCGCCCTGAGCTCGGTGAGCTTTCACTATGTCGGTCAGACGGGGGATCCCCCGGGCGGGGTGAAGCAGCTGGTGGGTCAGCTTCTCACACTGCACAGTTAAAAAAGTCAGCAAGCATCAGTCATGTGGAATGAGAGAGGGGTCTTTGCATGATAACGTCTGGACCATGGGTGGTTCGAAATAACCATGGTCTACCTACCGGCTCGGCATGCGTGTGCGAATATATGAGTTGGAAGTTGAGGCCCCAGTTCAACTGCTCTGTCCATTGGAATCACGTACCGAGGTGTTCGACAATCAACCATATCATGGGCGCTATTTTAGAAACTCCGTGTAAAGCCGCGTCTAAGAGAAGTTCCTGAGATCTCGAGAAAACACCCAGGCACGCTGCTGAACAGATTATTCAGCAGTCGAGGGTTACCGTTATAGAAAAAAATGCCTGTTAACGCAGTTGCTACATTCCCCTCCTCTTAACAAGGCCGGCAGGATTTCGTCATACGACCAGTTCAGCTTGTCCACTCGCCTTATCGTGTGACTGTGATGAAGCCGTCTTTAATGATGATGGACCAATCTGGAACTGCGAAGTGCGAAACACACCTGAAACGTCAGTACGATTCTCGTCAGACTTTAAGACTAGACGAATGCAAGCCAGCACGTACCGCGGAGAAGAGGCTCTCTTCAACATGGGCGTCCCTTGCGTAAACCGGCACCTCGTCTGGCGCATAGTAGGGCAGCCCCAGCCAATCCTCTTTCCTGCAGATCAAGTGCAAGACGTCTGGTTTTGGTTTCAAATCTCGGTCTTTATGACCGACATATTCAGAGTCAGGAAGTTGTAGCGAACATGAACCGCTGCTTGAAGGTATAGATACTCACAGAGTGCCCGAAATGTGTGCCTGCAATCAGCGGACGCTTTTGTGTCGCTTCAATCGAATGTTCTGGTCACAATGGGAGCTGCCCCAGATGCACTGCTTTGCATCAAAATACCCAGCGATGAAAAAGAAGGACAGAAAGGCATCGGCTGAGTGGCGCAGGATACAAAAGGAATGCCTCAGGCACCCCGTTGGGCTATATGGTCTAGCAAGTGATGGACTTAATAACTCTTAAGCTTTGGCTCCAAGGGTCAATTTTGCAACTCTGAAAACAGATCCCAGAATCGATTTCATCCCGTAAAAGAATTGACCCTTGTCTTTGGTTGTAGGCACGCCCTCTCAAACAGAACAACCGGCGAATGCATAAAGTAAAACCAAGTGAAAGCTCACCTGACCAGCCTTGCAACCACGGATGAATTGCATACAGCCTCTAGAAGGTCGCTGGCATAATGCTGGCTCTTCACATAGGGTATATGCACCCGCTTCCCGCCCACCATATCTTGAACATGACCTTGGTGCAACAGCTGTCAAGGACGAAGGGAGGGGAGTGTATCTTGCCATTTGCGTACAGGACAAAATTCAGCGATCCTTGTTAAAGTACTTGCTTACGATGATGTCCGCTGCCAGATGTTAGGTGACATTCAGTCTCCCTTTCACTTGAGACCTGCTTGCAGACATCGTCTTTCATTCCTTTTTAGACTCAGGGCTAGTAGAAGCAATCATGGTGCTGTTAGAAGCGCGCCTCCTTCTTCCCAGAGCACTATGTAGCAAGATTGCTGAGTACTCTCGGTCAGAGAGTGAAGGACCAAAACAAAACTGAGGGGAGGCCATTGATCACAGCAGCTAGAAAATAGCAGACTCACCTCGGGGCTGGGGTTCTCAAGTGCATAAGCTATGAAGCTGGCAATCTCCATGCAGGCTGCACAGATGATACAGATTGATCACATTCTACACAGAGTGAGAGAGCGCTTGTTACAGGTGAATGGCCAGTACATTGGGGCAAAAGATACATTTCACAAAACTTTTTGAATTAGCCAAGCTCTGGTGGACCAGCGAGACAGTGCGCCCTGTGTTGACCAATAAATAGCAGGAGTGCACACGATGTGCAGTTCCGAGCAATGGGGCAACACAGAATGCTCATTGTTTAGGACCATTAGATTGTCTGCTTTTTAGCAGATGAAGCGAACAGGCAGCTTTAACATCTTCCCATCTCCGAAATTGCACAAAAGTTTGAGTCCAAGATGCTTGTTGCCATCACTCACCACTGCAAGCTGCATGCTTGTTGTCGAGCAGAAGGGGCTTAGTACCCACATTAGGAGTGCCCTGGCAGCTGTTTGAAAGCACAAAATTGAGAACAAGGAACAGGAGTGCTGGCACACAACGATTGTGGTCCATGGCTTCTTCAAATGACCACAGCACTCCTCTAATTCCTGTCAGGTCTCAATGCGCTCTCCTCGACCAGATGCAGGGAATTGAACTGCCTGCAGCCAGAGGGAATTGAATCTGGACTTGTTAGTTGCAGCCATTGCAGCGTAGCTGCAGAGACCCACTTCGCCGCCATCTAGTTCTTTTCCTTCGGGGTAACGGCTTGTTTGCCGCCGTTGCCGCAAGGTATTTCAAGCAACGGCTCCCGCGGACATCAATCGTGGCACTTCCCGTCAGTCCAGGGATCCCTTCCGGACGGCCATCGATCTCGAGCTCGTGGATTGTTCAGTGTTGACACCCACCGCGATTGCCCATTGACCTCAGAGGATCCATGTATGTTGGTATACAGGATACACTTGCAGTCAACTGGCTGGCAAGATACGTGTGTGGCCACATGTTATAATTGGAGAGATGATGCCAAGAAGCCAAACGTCATGCAGCCCAGAAAGCTAGAGTACTAGCTAGCAGTGAGCAGCGTCTCAGGAACATGTGCAATGATGTTCTCTTTTCAAACGCCGTAGCCACATGAGCCATAGGCTTCCATGGCATACATGGGAATTGTTTGGGTTTTGAACGCCTAACTACCTTACCAAATCAAGTTGCTTATGCTGATGATCCCATATATAGTTCCAGAATGTCAGACTTGCGGCCGCTCGATATCTCAATGTCGGCACTCAAATTCCAATGCCATGTATTGCATGCATCACAGTGCACAATCAGTGGGCTCATCCTTTTGACCAAGTTCCCGCTCCCCAAAGCGCGGCGATCAGGCTCTCGCAGAAGAAGTTCCATTACTACTGATTATTCTCGCTCATGAACATGAGTTCGGCTAGAGCTTGACCCAGTCACTGGTGACAGTGGTGGCTGGGATGCTGTGTAGCTTGGATCGAGTTCGACATGAGGCTAGTGCAGCATATGCACAAATTTCCGGATACCAAAAGGAATTGAAGCGAAGGGATTGGCGGCGGTACGGCCATCAATTAGCACAATAACGGGCAGGAGAGGAATGCAGGGCCTCGCGCTGTTGTTGAAATTGAGCAGCAAGCACTTGACCATCATGTCTTGCTCCAATCCTGAATTCGGAGGCGAACCAACCAATTGCCAAAGGCTCTACCAGAATCTCCACGGGTCCTTCCAGGGGGGCACGTAATCCTTTGTAGGCGGCAGTAAACGGAAGGACTCTACTGCTTGTCGGAAGACAGGCTCGAGCTGCGGATACGAAAGGGCGTACAGTGATTTTTGGGAGGAACGGACCAAGCCTTCTCCACTAAACGCTTCACATGGACCGACTGTCAAAGTCGTCAGGTTGTGGCAAAGCTCAGCATCCGATTCCTTCCAGTACAAGGCAGTCCAGCATATAGGCCTCACTCAGACCATTTATTGAAATACTTGCTGCTTCGACAAAGAAAAAGCTGAAAGCATGAGATGCCATGAGATGTTGATTAGAGTCTCACGTCTTCCCAGTAGACGTCGGGCGTGGAGATGTTCAAAGTGTAAAGATACCCTGCACAAAGTGATACGGGACTGTCAAAACGTTTCAATAGGGTTCAAAGAAAGCACGGACGACCCCATGTAAGTCCTGCCTCTTTAAGATGCGGCTAGTTTCAGCGAATGCGTCTTGAAAACGATGCCTGCTCCGGTGTGAAGTCACTGACGAGGGATTGCAGAACTTACCCTCCCGTTCCGCCGTCACAGCGTATGAATGGCGGAAGGTATCTGATCTTTTCTCAATGGTCGTTGGAGATCGTTGTTGTATGTGTTCGTAGAAGAAGTAAGGGACGCCATCGATCTGATAAACTCAAAAAGCAAGGTGTCAAGTCACATTCGCGACCCCCGTTCTATACTGAGCCTTCGTGTTTGGTCACGCACACTTCACATCTCATCCACCTTCTAGAAAGGACACTATATCCAGGCCAGAAGCATTTTGAGGCGAACCACTACATTGTGCTCCTGGACGATCCCAGGAAATCATACCATGTCGTTTCCCTGCTGGAATATTCCTTGACTTCCGCTTTACTACCGCTGAAGGACTCCGCTTTACTCCGCTGAACCTGTGACACGATTCCGTTAACCTGCCAGCATTTTCACACTACGCACAGAGCAGGACAAAGACCTTACCGTCTTGGTTCTCGTCTCTTCTATCTCAGACTCCGCCGTCCGCTGACCCTGCGACATTCTCCTCGAGGAGCGGTCCTGGATGAAACAAGAGTCTCAGAAGCGATGACTGGATAACTCGTTGCACAAGTCTGAAGAGATGAAACGTTTGCAGTCCTGAGTTTGTACAGCTCTCTTTCTCCACAGAAACATGCTGATGTGCTCGAGGGCTCGTCTTGCACGCTTTCGGGTGCTCCTGAGTGTCTTTGAGTTAAGTCTCTAAGGGCAGGCAACCACCAAGGATGAGCCGCTCATACTGCGGATCTGGTCTGCCTGACCTGATGCTGACGTCACAGATACGCTAGGGTCTCGTACTGCAGCCTGAAAGTTTTTGGGGGCCTTCTGCATACCTGAGTAGGAAACTGTCATCATAATTATCATCTCGATCTCCGGTCGAGACTCACCATTAGAACCGAGTTTGCCACGGCCGTTGCTTTCCAACCCGTGGGGTCCGTCCCCTTAAGGAAGATCTCACTGGGGGGCCCGACGCTGACTGTGCAGGTGACACTTTTGGTGAAGTCTATCCGCTCACTCACGATGCGTTGGCGGGCGTCCGAAGAGATGGGCGCAGCGGAGGAGTACCGCTCAGGTGCGCGCGTCTCTACCCTGCGCACAGAAAAACAGGAGGGACAGTCAAGAAGCAAATGATCTGACCTTGTTCGACAAAGGGCACGCTGTGGATTTTCAAGGATGCTTTTCGTTAAAGGGGCGTCGGGCAACGAGAGTCACAGTAGCCGTGCTGGGAAGGTCTTCAGGTAACGGTGATCTCAGTGAGCAGATCGATCCAGCTTCAAAGATTGATCCAGCCTCAAAGACAGGCACGGTTGGGCCCATAGATATCGAGGGCAAGTGAGTATCGGTTGAGGGCCCTGTGCACATCTGTGTGGAAGATATTTACACTAATCACGATTGCACCAACCATTTGCTAGCACTGCAGTTATTTGTTGTGTGGAAGAGAGAGCACAAACGAAAGCAAAGGGTCACCTATCAAAGTCACCTGGACACATATCACCACCTTTAGCGGTCCTTCTGCACAAAGTCCAGCCTCAATGTATCAAAGATTGAGGCAACGTCTCACCATGGCAATGTTTCCCTTTTCTTTGCAGTCTCCAAAGGGTACTTGAATTGATACGCGTTCAGATCGTCCTTCAACACACCAAATCTGTAGGTGTCTTCAACAACGGTTGTGGAAATTGGGGGGGACTCCCCAAGGCCAAACACGTTCTTAGGTGCTGCAGGGTGCAAACAAGAAGAAACTGGCTCAATGTTCTGCGCAATATTTGGGATTATCTCGCTTGACTGATCGAGGTGAGGTAAAAACAATCACTGGAGCAAAAAGCCAGTTGCCGCCTGATGCACCTCTGCAAGAATGTGCTGAAAGGTCTCTTAACGAGTCAGCTTTCAGAGAAAGCTCAACGTCGATCCACAGAGGAAAGCTTGTTCTCGTCAAAAGATAGACTGGATTGTCTAGAAAGCCAGAGCCACCTTGCCCCTCCAGCTTCTGCCAATTTCTCCTCACCCTCAACAATTGGCGCATCTTCCGAGCGGGCCACGCGCGGCAGCGTTGTGCCTGCCACAAGCGCTGCAGCCCCTGCTAGAAGCACATCCCTTCTGCCGGCCTTCTGATGACCTTCTGCTTTTGCCTGCTCATCCTGCTTACAACAGCGGGCAGCTCCATCCGCTACTCTTTTGCCCCGGGTCTCTCCTGTATTTGAAAAGGAAGTCACATATTTTCGGTCATTGACTCACTGCTCTCTTAATGGAGGGACACATTTGAACCCTGTGGAGCACCCTGTTAATAATCTTTGCAAGAAGAGGAGATTCCACCTTCACTACCTCAACACTTCATAGGACCAGGCTTTATGACCCTCTGCTCCTTGTCTGGCCTGGCCAGCACTGTCTGAAGAGATACTTTTTCCAAAATCAATTCATACGGTGAAGATGCAATGCTGGATGTTTTGAGTCATCTCCAACCTTGGACAATGTGGTGCGCACTTTCATTTTGATGGTGGCGGTGGTGCTACCCAAACTACCACCCTTGTTCTGGATAATCGCAACCTTCAATGCAGCACACCTCGCGCCGAAGAAAGGCAACAAGCAGCACGCACAGATTGCCATTTCATCATCGTTCTGTCCTACCTTTATGCAGATATTGGCCTGGGCGGGTTGCCACCAACTTTGTCCTCTGACATTCCCTCCAGGAAGCAGCTCTGGTGGTAGTTAGACCAGACGGGGTCGCGAAGCCCTGCAGCTTAACAGCATGAGCCGCCATTGCATCCCCCTGTCGTCTTCACGTTCTCACGCCAGCCTTGAACTTGAAGTTGAAGCCTTCGATGCCATGCAAGTGAGCATCCCATTGACAAGAACCATGCAGCTCGCCTCGGCACGAGTTCCCAGCCGCTTATGCCTGACAGAAGCCAGGCAATATCATATGGCTATCAGATTTTCACCACTTATTCGGAACTTTGTTTTCAGAGTCAAATCTCCGTTAAACCGCAACAGTCAACGTTGCCGATGATGAAGCTGATCGTGGTTATTTGAGATCCGAATTACCTGGATTTTGAAATCAATCTCCAATTTTTTGGTTTGTTTCTTAGGTGTTGGAACCTGGGGCACAACTTCCAATGGCACAACTAAGTTAGTGCAGACGATACAACTTTTGAGGAAACAGGAGGTGCTGGGAGGTGCTAGCTAAGCTTAGAGTTAGACAGCCCTGACGAAAAGCAGCAGATTGTTCAATAAGGGGCCTTCCCCTTCAAATTCATTGCTGGCTCAGTGGGAAAGAACGGGGGAATGACGGGCATTAAGTGCCTATACATTCAGACTGATTGGCGCCGCTTCTGGAGCTGAATGAAGGAAGTGAGGAATTCTACTGCAGACAGTGTTAGTTGACTTTCTGAGTTGGACGGATTGCCGCTCTCCACAAGTTGTTTGTGTTGCTGCATCTCTGCCTTGAAGACTTTGATTGCTTTCCTCACAATTGATCATACTGCCCCTTGACTCAGTGTCGCTAAGAGTGCCAGAGTGGCGATGCCCCCAGTTGAGCTTTCAAAATTTTAGATGCATTGCTGTCCTCTGAAACTGGTCAGAATACAGATAACTGTCAATTTGTACAAAAGGGTGACCCATAGAATCTGTCTGGCAGAGACTTTTGTTGGTTCTCCAAGCTTTCCACCAAAAGATGACCTTGTTCAGTAGCAAAGGCTTAAGGACCTTAGTAAGCTTCTTCAATGGCACCCCCAGCTAGTTATTTAGAGATAGAGACCACGAGGACTGCCGCCATGGTTGACGGCAGGCTTGAGATAGCAGAAGAGGATGAAGCAGAACAGGGAATTGCACAGCCCACAGACGAAGACAGCGCTGGGGTGTACACTGTGGAGGATGCCATTGAAGCTTCTGGTAAGCCCCAGCTAATGTCTCTGCAGACCCAACAATAATCTGAGGATCCTGGATAAAGTGAGAGATGTGACAAGGTTCCACCCCGGCTGGTTGTGTGAGCAGCCTTAGAGTGCCTTGACTTGCAGCAGGAACTCTGAACTGCGGGAGTGAGATGATAATATGTTCAGGTTTCAGAAAATCGCTACAGATCTTATGTTTGATTAGACTCACTGTACCTAGACACCTGAGCTCGCTTCAGCTGACCGATGGGAAAAGGGGCACTTTGCATTGCACGAATCTGGTCAGCTATTTCTGCTTGATCATCAGCCCTTCACAAACCTGGACTCAAGACTCTGGCGTGTACTGATGTAGAGTCCGCGTGTGCAGGCTTTGGACCATTCCATACTATGTTGCTTCTGTATACTGGCACAGCATGGCTGGCAGATGCGTGCGAGATGATCCTCCTATCATACGTGGGACCTGCTGTGAGCTATACAAACCATGTCTTTATGCTCTTGTACCAGTCCACCTGACTGGCTCAGGGGCAGCTTGTTACCTGACGCACCACAAGCGTTGCTGTACAGATTACTCTATGTTTGCCTCGCGCAGACTCGGTCAATATGATCACGTTGCCAGTTGTTTCTTAGCCTGAGGAGAAGTCAATCTTCTTAGACAGCTTCCATAAAAGAGGACTGCTGACTCTCTGCAAATATCAGTGGGTTTTACTGCTGTGAAAATTTCCCTTCCGCGTTTTTACTTTAGGCTGGGTCAATCTCATCGGGCTTGAACAAAAGCATGTTAACATTCACAAGTGGTACATGTCCTGCAGGCTCGGTGCGAATGGCACTTAAGCCCTGCTCAAGAAGGGGCCATATCAAGCGCAGTATTCCTAGGCGTCTTCCTGTGAGTGATCAAGAGGAGCTCCAGCAGTTACTTCGAGAACGTTCTGACCATGGTGGTAGAGGATCCAGCCACTGCTTTTGCCAGTTATGGCACATTCTGGCGCAAATATTTCTAGTCGTGACAGACATCCATGATGAGAGTGGAGCTTTCTTCCCGAACATCTCAAACTGCCAAATTGTTCAGCTTTCGAGGTGGGATCCGTGTCCTTGTGCCTGACAGGAAGAGACGATGCTAATCCTCTTGCTTACAGGGGATCGAACTGCTGGGGCATCGTCTCTGATGAATGGGGGCGGCGAGTTGGCTTCTTCGCGACCGCTGTATTCACTCTCGTATTTGGGCTCCTTAGGTGAGTACGAGTCAATTGTTCCCAACTCGTCTATCCGAATCACGAAATCACAAAAAAGGTCAGGAAGCTTTTCATAGTTTTCCAATGTTCGATATCTTGTTGAGTTGCATCTTGCGAATGCAAGGCAACCTTCCGTCCTTTCCTTTGATGGAAGGATCCAATTTTGTCCAGATCGGAAGTTTGCGAGAGTATTAGAATGAACCAACCCGTTCAATCACGCTTTTAAGCTCGGTGTCGAAGATTTCACATCTATTTGCAGTGCCGTTTCGCCCGCCTACTGGTTCCTACTGGTGTCCCGGGCGTTGGTAGGGTTTGGATTGGGGGGCGGGAGTGTAATCTTTTCTCTCTTCATGGAATTCATTCCGTCGTCAAGAAGGGGCTTCTGGCTAGTGTGTGTCGAATTCTTCTGGACGGTGAGTGGCCTTTCCTATTCAAATGAGGATCGCATCGTGTTCTGCATCCTATGAAGTACAGATTGCCGCGTTCCACATTTCTGACTCAGCAACTAGGTTCATCTCAGCGGAGCAACATTTCGTATATTTGTTCGTTGTTCCCGGATTCACCGACTGTCTCCGTTGTTCTTATCGTCCTACTAATCCCCTTTGACGTACAGAAGTTGACAGTCCTCGAGTGGTCCCTCGTACGTTACTTCGTTCGACTTGTAGTCATGCTCGCAGCTCCCGTCTTGTCTGCAGATTGGCTCGGTTGCGCAGGCTCTGCTGGCGTGGATCGTCATGCCCACCCTCCAATGGAGGTGAGTACGAGGTCTTTATTGTTTGGTTACCCTTTTCCACTTGAGTTCGACGGACGCTCAGAACCCACGAGCGCTGCGATTCTCAATCCTCTGTTCGATGGAAAGTTGACTACTCCGACCATTTTAGTTGTCCGGAGTAGTCAAACGGCCTAAGAGCTGCAAGCATGATTGAGAGATTGAATCAGAAGGACAAGGGCAGCAGAACACGCGCGACGGTTTTTTCATGCTCTGTGCATCGGAAGTCCCAAGTTGCAACAAAGTGAGACTGACTTTGGCTGACCAACAGGGTTTTGGAGGCGAAACTGAGGTCCAAAGGTTGCATCTCGCACAGCGACACTTGGTCAAGGCCATTCTGGTCACTGATTCATCTCATTTACGCGTTCTGTTAATCGAAGAGGGGACAAGTGTGATGATCCGATATGCAAAAATGTATCAGAGTTGGAGATGTTGCCAGTCTCCTGATCCGCCTTCCCGACAGCTCTTTATATCAGGGAGCTTGGCCCCTAATCTCGGACACACGTAAGCCGACACTTTCGGAATCCGCGGTTGTCCTGCTTGCATCGACAAAAGATTATGCATATTCTTACTTGCCATCACGATGCAATTGCCTGAATGTTTCGTACAGCTAGGCAAGTCAATTTTTGGACTATCACGGCCGTTTCAGGACTCACAAGTCTACTTTCCCCCTCAGCATGTTGACACCTGTCCCCTCGTGTACAGGTGGCTGGTTGCATTCTCTGCCACCCCATTTCTTCTCCTCCTCATCTTTTATCCAGTGCTCCCTGAGTCGCCCCGCTATTTGATGGTAAGCCAGTCGTTTATCTGTCACAATTGTGGCCCCACCAGCAGCTTCTTGGTGGTTATTGGGATGCCCTCATGGCTGCTGCAAACATGCTCCTTGCGCTCTTCTTGCGGTATGACCTTGTTCCATTCAGATGTTTGTTTGAACGGATGCATTAAGTCTAAGCGCAACAATTTTGACGTAGGGTGCTAAGCTACTCACCTTCTTTTAGGCCCAAGTCGGCTCGAGAAAGCGACCGCCGAGGACTCAGCAACGAAATGAATCTGGAGGAGACGTTCATTCATGAGATTGTTTGATAAGCCGCAACCCAGAGGAACCTTCTTGACGAAACATTCAAGCCTCTTCATTTGGCTTCCCGTTATCTCGAAAGAACCGATGGTGATTTTTTCAACATCCAGGTCAAGGGACGAGAAAAGTCGTCACTTGCTGTGTTGCAACGGATGGCGGTTAGAAATAGAAAGAGCCTGCCTCCTGGCCGGCTTGTTCACAGCCATCCTAAGGACCGGCCTTCCCCCGAGCACCCGACGGAGGTGCCCGGTACAGTGCCCCAGTCCGTCTTTGAAAGTGAGGAATCACCCTTTGAAAAGCATGCGTGTCCTCCTTCAAAAGCTGTTGCTCTCCGGACTGGAAATCTGGTAAATGCGTTTTCTTTGTGCTTGTTGCGAATCGCTGACAAGAAGCAATGGCTTCTATGAGCAGGGGCAAGTAGTCAAGCAGATTGCATGCACGACTGACTATGTTGATTTTGCGTCGTTTCCGAGCTCGCCCAGTCAGCGCTGCCCGCAAGAGGAACCTCTTCGGTTCTTGTCAACCTTGTTGCCTCCACTCTTCTGTACGTTTCGCTTCAGTCCTTCACTCTCCCATTTTTGACGAGTTTTTGTTGTGCCTCGGCGCTTCTCAGTCATCGCGCCCCTAGTTACATCCGTTCCCGTATATAAGTTGGTGCATCTCCCGTGCAGGGAATCTATCGCCCCAGAAGCGGAGGGTGAGTGGGTATCAAAAGATTCCGGCCCCTGGGGGACACGAGGATGAGAAGCGGACCACTCAGAAGCGGCCCCTCGCAGACGCAGCGGCGCTGCTAAGGGACCTGTTGAGCCCGTCCCTATGGAGATCCACCGTCATTCTGTGGCTGGTCTTTTTCGCGTGCGCATTCACATACTACGGTGAGCATTTTGCGAGCGGCAATCCGCCTTTTTTGCACCGAGTTCACTTCGGAGTACGGGTACCCGGTTTCTTCGAGTCGTTCAGTTGAAACGTGTGCTGGTACGACACGATCTTTCTGGGCCATCATCACCAGACGGAATCGAGACTTCTATAAAAGATCCGTCTCAAAAACGTTCGAAGGAGAGAGAACCTCTTTCCACTCCTGCAGCGGCAACGGGCATGAAGATTGCAAAGCACGGCTGGGTTTTTCGATTATAGAATTGGCCCCCGTCAACCACCCCGTTGGTTTCGTTGGCCTCAGCCTCCTTCTTGTCCAACTCCAACGTTGCTGACTCGCTCACGAGTATTCACTTTTGCACGTCGTCAGGTCTTGTGCTTTTGACGACCCAGATCGGGTCAAAGCGGCCCGGGTTGAGTGGTACGACTGGGGAGGATTGCGGGCAGGACAGCAAGCAGGTCCAATGCAGCGCAGAGGGCCTACCGATCATGGACAACTCTGCATACCGGGACGTGCTGATTACAAGGTACTTCGTTCGGATTCTGGGCGCCGAAGATGTTGATTACGTGCTTCAGTGCCTGGCATAACATGCGGTTTTGTGTGCCTTTGTTTGGACGACGAGTTACTTCAACAACTGCGAGAATCTCGCATTCCGAGCTTTCATTATTCTTTTATCGCGCGTCTTGTGCAGCTGTGCTGAGTTCCCTGGTACGCTCATTGCCGCGCTGATGATTGACGTCGTGGGACGGAAGAGGTGAGGCTTGCATCTTGCAGCCTTTTCTTGTCGTAACTACCAGAAGCCGCGAGCCTGAATTCAATTCATCTTTTGAAAGCAGTACAGGCTGCTTAGGATGTCTTGTTGGTTTATTACTAGATTGAGAAACTTCCCTCTTCGCCCAGATTGTTGCGGTGATGTTCAGCCCGTCTCAAAGTAGCAATGGTGACAGCAGGGGCATGAAGATGCGTTCCTTCTTGCACGCCCGTTCGAGCTGCGACTCATTGTTGGTGCGCGCACTCCCCTGGTGCTGTCAATGCATCCCATCTTTGTCCGCCCTCTCGTGATGGTCCCTTCAAACCTAGACCCCGGCACACTCGATGCCGAATCCCTCGTCAGATTTGAAATCAATGCTTGAAATTCCAGCGAAGTTCTAGTAAACCTTTAAAAGCCGCTTTTCAACCTGTGTGCATTTGCAGGAGTCTTTTCGGTATGCTGCTGTTCAGCAGTGCCTGCCTGCTGCCGCTCCTCCATACGCTATCGGAGTCCCTGACAACCCTCCTGCTTTTTGGTGAGGCTCGTTGTATGGTTCGAGGCATAGTCTGTTTCAGAATATTTTCCTCTCGAAGTACCGACCTCCCATCATACGTCGCCCGTGGTTCAATTCTCCCGCTCGTCTGCTTTGGTCCAAAGCTGTTGTCAGATTTCGATCTTCATAGCCCCTTTGTCACAAGGCCTTGTCACACGATTTTAGTCCCTCTTGTGCAGTCCCGGCTTTTTGTGCCGAGTCGCTTTATGAGTGCACGCTCGTGTTCAGTACAATACGTCCTTCTTTGAGGAGACGTCTCTCGTCTCCGTAGCGTTTTCCAAGGCAAGCATTCAGGATTTAATGTTACGTGGGGTATAAACCTGAACAACCAAACGTTTTGCAGGCGCACGCGCCGCGATCCAGGGTTCCTTCTCGGTGATTTGGGCCTGTGAGTAATTTGCCGCAATTTTTCGCTCGACCTCACAGTTCATTTCAGACAGGCACGTAGCCTTTCCTTCGCGCTCGGTCTGAGTTGCTGGAAAGCAGCGGAAATGTATGAAACCAGACTATCCGTTAGCAGTGGTCTGCTTTGCGCGCCCAACTTTCATTAGATTGTGTCGGTGTGTCTGCGAAACAGCAGAATTATTGCACCACGCCTGCAAGATTCCATCCTTCCATACGTTTCCCTAATTGCTTTCCTCATTCATAGCCTCCAATCTTTTCTCCTTGATGCTTGTTGATTCAACACGTGTCGTCCGCAGATGGACCTGAGCTGTATCCGACGGCTGTCCGCTCGACTGGGCTTGGGGTGGGGAACGGCTTCGCTAGGTAACGTCGGCCGTCGTGGCACATGAATACTCAATTCACCAGGTCATTAGGATTGTTGTACGGTGCCTTGTAACGAAGTGAACTCGCCACTGACGTATCGTCTTGATAGCGGAATGCGACTGGTTCGCCATGCGCACTTTTCTGGACTTCCTGCCTTTCTAAGAATGTAACTCTGCTGCCATAGCTTCACCGGCAGTTCTGCTGAAACCTATCTGCTCCCCCCCAAATGACGCGTATGAGAACATTCTGAACGACCTAGTACCTTTGATGTCTGATCTTGATATCCTTCTGATTGGTTTCCAATCTGGACGTCGTTGCTACCGCATGAGCTTCTGCTGAGATACTCATTGTGGGACTGGATGCCTTATACAAACTGACCTTTTCCAAAGACTGCGTTTCTGAAGCCTTTTCTGTCCCTTCGCAGATTAGGCGGCTTCGTTTGCCCCTTCGTCGCCGTTGACCTTATTGCTTCCTGCCAACGGGTGAGTGCCTGCGCTTCAGGTGCTTCCAACGTGCTTACTTACGAAAACGTCAGTTTCGCATGCTATCGTACCACGTTTCCAAGCAAGGAAACGAGTGCTTTGGCTGCGGGACGTTGCATATTCCTGCAAGCGTCTTTGGTCGGAGTCTAGCACTACGCTGGCGGTTCCGCAAGGGACGCTAGGCCGAACGCACCCGGTGATAGCCGCACAAATTCAGAGTATGCTGCACGGCGATCCTCAGTTTGAAGTCGACCCAATGTTAAATCTGCGCCGAGAAAACTCTTTGCATTTCGCTCAAAAGAGCCCCGACTCTCCAAGGTCTTCTGCGCCTTTGCATCTGAAGCGATTTCTGAAGTTCGACATATTCCAAGAGTCGGATCGGGCAAATGCTAGGCCTTCCGTAGCGCGACTCCCGCCATGTGCTCATCACCTAAGCAGTTGTGCCTGTTTGTAACCTGTGCGCCCCTCGTCCTTCCGTCAGAGCGGTGGTCGTTCAGTCCGCTGACCGGTACGCTGTCATGATCATTCTGCAGGGTCTCGCTGTGGGGCTCTTCTGTGCGGTGCCACTAATAGCCGCAATCGCGACCTTGTGCTTCCCTAAGGAGACCAAGGTGAGTTGTCGCGGATGCATGAACATCGTGTGTCACTCTTCCCTTGTTTCTTTGGCTGATCAGTTTCTTTACTTTCGAAGCTCTCCAGCCATCGGTTCACTTGGAAGTCAGCGTGGTCTGCATGTGGGTCGACATGAATCCCTACTCTAGAACTCTGACTTCTAACCTGGCTGCTTCGGCTCTTCATATTCTTCACGTTGCAAGAATTACTGGATCCCTTTGCTTTCAACCCTTTGACCGGATCAGTCGTGTTCCTCGGCGATATGTGGATCCTAGAAGTCGTGTTTCCCTTGTGCCTTTTGTATGAACCTCGTCCAATATAGCGGACTTGTTGAGTTACCTTGTTCCGTCCAAGCTCTTTGGCTAAGCCGGCGATCGAACCCCGCTTTTGGGGCTGCCAAAAACTGTCTTTTCTTTCCAACTTGCAGGCTTCTAGATTTGAAGAAAAGGATCTAGATGAGCTTGAGGCGCCACAGCAGTAAAGTAGCGGCTCAAAGCTCATGGAGAGCTGCAATTGGGCCCAGATGGTTGACTCTCAGCCTGCATTCTTATCATGTGTAATGTTATCATTCATTGCTTGCTGCCTCTGTACCATAGGTTGATTCGTGAACTGGTTCTTAAAGGCAGTTTCGTAGGCAGCGGTCTATTGTTTCTTTCCAAACCTTCAAACGGATTGCTTTTCCATTTGGTCCTCAATAGGGGTCAACTTGTAATGCGCACAGCGTTGTGGCAGCTTTAAGCTTCTAGCTAAGGGGCCTGGTCATGGCCCAGTCCGACCTTTGCCCAGATGGCGGGATTTGGATATTAATTATTCGATCCGGATGCAAAACTTGCTTTGTCCATCAATGCAGAGATATTTCACACAAGCCATGTTGTTGAACTGGTGTATATAGTTGCATGGCAATCCGATCTTGCATGCTGGATTTTGGCAGCGCCGTGTCAAAGTTAGTCATGCCAGAATTGCACTGAGTGCGCGGCCGGCAACTCAGTGCATGATCAGACCATACACGCACAACATTGCAATCAGTACGATATGCAGCCCATGGCGCGCATCGGACGGTTCGATGTCGACTACAAGCTCAACGATCTGCTTGGCAGCGGGCATGCAGATGACTACTAAGTATCATATTATCGAACATGTATCCTCGACATGCTCAACGCATTGCAGCTAGATCATGTACGCGGTCGTGTATGTAGCATCGTAATTGCACGTACCCATGCATCCATGAAAGTTTCGTCGGGATCGGAGCTCAAACCTGAAGATGGTTAATTCTAACTTCGGAACTTTCGACCCACATGGCCCCAGATTGATTGAAAGATCACCATGATGCACTTGGTCGATCGGCAAGCTATGTCACTGATGAATTTTGAAGGCTGTAATTCATGCATCTCAATTTTTAGCGGTCTTCAATTGTCTGGGGCAATGAGCCCAACGAGCTTGGCACATGTGGGGCAGGCGTCAGTACAGGGGACAGTAGTTCGGGCAACACGTGTCAAGTTCTGAGTGTCTCCACGTTCCTGGAGGCTTTGGGAAAAGATAATGTTTTGGTTATGAGCTGTGTAAGTAAGCGTGACGAGTCCTTTCCTTTGAAAGATGGAATGTCTCCCAAAGAAGCTGTTGGGCGCCTCGCCCATATTTCAAAAAAACTCCTCTTAGGAGCTGTTGGGCGCCTCGAAATTATAAAGGACAAGACTCGTCGCGCTCAGTTACACTCGAGAAGAGATTGTGATGTTCGCCGGGCCCCATCGTCGGCCACTGCCATTCTCTACGACCAGGTCATGGCGGAGAACTGTTGGAGGACGCGACAACGGATAGTGCTCTTACTTGGTTGCAAGCGTTCAAGCTTTCGATGCTGTCGACTCGCAGCTTCTATTCATGATCCGACACCCGGCCCATATGCTGGCGCCACACGATTAGACCGTAAAGCCGGAGGTCAGATCAAAGGTCTCCTTCCCCTAAATTCGTGGTCAGCTAGTTTTGGGTCGACTCCTTCAGGAGGTACGTGTCCCAACGACGTGCCCAGGGGATGTCGCTGACCTGCAGGCGACCAAGAGAAAAGACGGGTGTTAGGCTCCACTTGAAATGGTGAATGCAGAAGAGGCTATGCATAGGGATTAGGATGCCAGGATTCAGAGCTGGATTGTCACATCTTCCAACAGCGTGTCAGATGCGTATCGTTTTTGAGTCCAGAAGTGGCAGAGGAGGCTGCCGCTTTTCGTTCAATACTTCAAGCAGGTTTAGGATGGTAATCATCGGAAACAGGAAGAGACTGAAACCACGAGAAGGCTAGCTTTCATTTTGCCTCTGAATCCAACCGATCGGACCCGTCCCAGTGTGACAATTACTGTTTCTTGAAATGACCTTCTCTTAGACTGGAGGCCGAGGAGCTTTATTCTGAACAGCTTAAAGAGTGGCTTCGATCAAGTCCCTTGGCCTTCCTGCTATATGATCAGGATTGTTAGATTGGATTCTTTCAGGATTCGCATCAGCTTCTTCGTAAAAGGTTTCTGTCTGCGGAAAACAGGGAAACCGATCCTCATCAAGCATCGGTAGTGCACTCGCAATGGAACTGGATCTAGGACCAACAACGGAACGAGCTACGGTCTTTTCGAGTTGGCTCGGTCTAGGCGCGTAAGAATAGGCGCAAGTTAAAGAGGTTTGCGTTCCATCTTTGTTTCAGAGCTCCAAAACGAAGCTCCAAAACGAAGAATGTCCTCGAATGTCATATGACACAAGATTTGCTTCCGCGCGACCAGACCCAAGTGGTCGGACCGAATGGTTGATCGCTGCGCTATGATCCCGCTATGATTCGAACGTGGAAGAAACGTGCTGACGAGGGCGCACCATCCAGACGACGTCATAGGTGAAAATAATCTCCTCGCCCATTTCCAATGCTTGGGGCATGTCCCCCGGCATCACAAACGTCATCGTCATCGGGTTGCAGGTCGACAGTAGGGGCGCCTCGGCGTTCCAAGGAGCCTCATACTTGTGCTTCGCACTGCGGGAAAACCAGGACACACTATAAACTGTTGTAGGCGCTGGAGTTCCGCACAAGAAACAAGTAATCGTTGTTTCGATAGAGAAGGGTATGCCTCCTGAGGCGTCCGTGAAACGGGCCCACATTTGACATGTCCGCAACATGTTCGACAAGTGACCATTTATCGATTGATATTCTCTTGCCAGATTCGCATTCAAGAAGCTCGAGCAGCAACGGAGAGTATCCGAAACGCGGGTCTTACAAGGCCCAACAATTGTTGACAACACTATTACTTTGCACTAGCGGAACCTCCTTGCAGATTGGAAACAAAGGCGCTCCTAGAGAGCAACGGCTGAGTCCCAACGTCTCGAGAACACGCCAAGGTCACTAGCTGGAAGCAAAGCTTATCGTTACAAAAGTACGGTTAGTTCCCTTCAACCGAAGTATACTTTTAAAACAATGGTTCGATTGTCATTCCAATATCAGGGTCGTGCTTGGTGCAGCAACTTCAAAGCATAGGAGGAACGCGAAATGTTGTTGGTTTCAAAGTAAACCCACCTTAACGGCTCGACCTCAAAGCCGACGATCTGTCCAAGCTCAGCATCGTATGTCTCTTTGTAATATAACACGTAGAAGCGAAGATGGTTGTACAAGAAGAAATGTTCTACACCGGTTGCCTGCAACATCCAAGCACGCAGTCAGACTGCGTCAAACTTCTGCCTGTGGCTTGAGTAGGGTGTAGCCATTTCGGCAAAAGGCTTATGCTAGAGCAAGCGTCAATGATGTGGCCTTCAGTTACCGCACTGGGACGTTTTGACCATCCGACTCAGGTCAAAAGGGCGGCACGAAGCAGACATGTGCCACCTCCAAGGGTTATTGAAAGTGCAAGGACAGGTAACCGCCAGAATTGATGCTACTTGGCCCGTTGGCAAAACTTTGGCAGTCGGACAACAAAACAGAACTGATTCAAGTAAGTGGATTTCCGACCGTAGATGACTCGAACTTCGAAATTCTGAAGTTCAAGGCCAACGCTGCGATTGCAGAATACGAAGATATTACAGAACTGCCACAATCTCAAGACCGGTCTTAGTATTCACAGATGGGCAAGTCAAAGGAGTTAAGCTGCTCACATCAAGAGCTTTGAAGCCGATTGGATAGCCCTGGTCGTAGGCTTTGTAGGGAACACCGTCCTTGGTCAAGACCCTGACTGTTGCAATCGGCAGACCGTCAAGAGTCCTAAAACGGGTGATATAAAAGCAGGGGTAAACACAACAAAGTGCTCGTGTATCCAATCCGAAGGCCCTCAAGCAGATCTTGTACTCGCGAGATCCAAAGTAAGAATTTTTTTAGCCGATTCGCGAAACAGAGTAGGTTTCCAAATGCAAACACACAAAGTCTGGCACCCAGAGTGCGCCGCAAGCTGCGAGGGCTGGAAGAGAGGGCTCCAAAAGCGAAGACTCACATGTGGACTCGGTACTCGGCCTCAATGCGCTCCTTGAAAGCTGTGGCATCAGCTTTGGAAAGGCTGCCAAGTTTGCAGCTGACCAGACACTGCTGTCTCTTCAGCATTGTTTGGGCAGCAAGGAAGTGGAACTGCGCAGCATGGAAGAGGGTTAGACTTTTGAAATTCAATGACAACCAAAAAGATGCGTATAAATCAAAGTCTCTTACCCAAAACACATTCCCTGCTTACGGAGATTCCCTGCTCATTTGTCATCTTGCCTGGAAGTAGGTCGAGCTGTAAGAGCTGCGCTGTCCAGCAAAGCCATATCAGGGCTCAAAACTGCATATTGCGCACTGATTCTCATTCTCTTTGATGAAGCTATACTCAGGGCCCAACACTGCCTATGGCATTCTGAATCCCCATTCTTTTTGCTACAGTCATTCTGAGGGCCCAACACTGCCTATTGCATACAGATTTTCACAACTTGGCCGTCCAGTTTGAAGCAGCTTCTTTACATGTTTCAACCAGGCCCAAGGTCAAAGAAATCCAGAGCAATCTGATTCTTGACCATCATCCATATTTGAACCCACAAACCCCAAATCTAGCTGATCTTCTCATTAAGTATATGGACTGGAGAAACCAAGACGCTCACCTTGTAAGAAGAATTTTGAGGCGCCGAGCTGTCATTCCCTTCTCCATATTTGTGACGTCCTCTGGGGGGCAAAATGGGAGAGAATAGTAATCTTGCTGCACCCGTGTCTTGGCGGACGTCATTTTGGTCACGCTAACCGCAATTTCCTCTTCCTGATAGACACAGGTAAACAGGACGAAGGTTATCATTGTCTTTGGGGAGGAACAACATTCAAGCTGAGGCTACTTGCATTACCAGCTCCCAAAATAAGATGAGCTCAGCATCTTGCAAGCTCTGAAGGGGTCAAGTACTGATCCAAGGGAGCCTACCACACCTTCCAAAGAATCCAACCCCCATTGATAAGCTGTCAACCAGGAGAAGCAGGCGGGCTGGGCACATGGGAACATAGAGAGCGTACTAGCAGGTCACCTTCATGTAGAAGCGAGGAGTTGCCTTGGGATGATAGGAAGCTCTTGATTGCCCCACCATGACGAGAATGGCCACACAAGCCGAAACTACAAACAAAATTCTTATTATGCTTGCCCTTTTCAGCTTGGTTAGCCTGCCCATTAGTGTTCCCATATGCTCTTCACTCAAACTGACCATATTGAAAGTGTGTGGCCAGAGCAGGGCATGTCAAACAATCCTCTGCATGAGCCTGTGTGGCAGTCTGTGTTTGCAAAACGTTCTATAACCAGGCGTCACTGCTGTCTGTCAGCTTTGCTCTTTCAGAATCTGCGAATGTCTAGCGCCAGAGCTAGCCCTTCTAACACAGGGCAATCAGGCTTCAAGCTATTTGGATTATCCTTTAGAACGAACTATGATTCAGCGAATGCATCACCTCTGTCTCCAAATTGCTGATGCTGCTCTCACTAACATTGTTTCGGCCATCCTTTCTCAGCTCTCATCAACTGCGGCTCTATAGAATGTTGTCAGCTGTTGCTGACTTGGAGTTCTTGATCTTGAGTCCGTGTCTTGCTGGTCTTGAGTGTGATCTGCAACCTAAAATAACAATAGAATGCTCGCTACACGATCCCTCATTCAAGATGGATCAAGGGGGCCGCCGAAGGCAAATACAGTGAAGAGAAGCTCTGGAACTTGAAGGCAAGCTGAGAAGCCACTGAGGACAACGACGAGCTTTTCAGCTGGAAAGCCCTGGCGGCATGCACATACAATGACATTATGCGATTCGGGAGACGTCATGTCCGACGTCAGGGTGACTGGCAGGGGGAGTGCTCTCGAGGATTTGACATTGAGTGCGGGCGCGGCCGCGCTATCATTAGCTCCTGCAAGTTCAACCAGCGTCGATGGACGTTCTGATTCTTGAAGTTGAGAAGTGCAAGCTGCAATAGGAAGCCTAAAAGCTCTGGATTGAATTTGCCCTCCATGAAAAGTTCATCTTCTCTAAGTTCTTGTCACACGCAAGTTTGATGTGCTCAAAAGTCTAGGGAAGGCCGGGATACAATGGCCATCTCAAAAGCTTGTTCGATCGTTGCATTTGCCCCCCTCCTCCTGCTTAACCTGTTGGTTGCCCCAACAGCTGCAGTCAAGGTGGCGATCATTGGCAGCGGCGTGGCGGGGAGCTCTGCAGCTTACTTTCTCAACAAAGAAGACCCCACTCATGAGGTCCATGTGTTCGAACAGCACGAGTATGTGGGGGGGCGGGTCAAGGACGTGTATTTGGCGGGTGACCGGTTTGAAGCGGGGGCCACAATTGTGCACAGACTCAACAAGCACATGATGGGCTTTGCAAAGGTGAAGTACTTAGAATTGTCCTGCATTCTCATTGTTAATATTATGTTGCAGAAGGTGTTATCTAGCCACTTTTGCAGGCAGTGTCAAGCTTTCTCAACTTGGACATATTGCGCAAAAAGGATTGGAAGTGATGGTGGTGGTATGATTTTGCACCTCTTTTTCACCAGAATTTGCCGGTGGATTGCACTGCAGGTGTTAGGTTCTCCAAGCTTTGCAGACCATATTGCAGAACCAGAAGTATATTCAAGAGGCCTCAGGTTTCGATGTTTCGGTCTTTGAGCAAGAGCGCCGGCATGCGTTCCTTGTCTTTTGAACACATCGTCCAAGCTTTCTGACCTCTGACTGTGGAGCATGCATTGAAAGCAAGCTGAACACTTGTGAGCTTAGCGGAATATTCGTGCTCGTTGCTAAGCAAAGACTTGGAGAGAAGTTGGCCACACTGCTAGGCGACTACCTCTCAACATCCATGTGCTAACTTTTCGGAGCCTTCCAGAACAATTCTCTCAGAAGGGCACTCTGCTGTCTGATCTGTCAGACTGCAGAGAAGCTGTCCGTTGACGCGGGCAAGTTTTAAGTTCCTGGAGACATCAAAAGGTATTCTTTCTCTCCTTTATGCGGTAAGATCACGGGCGCAATCCACAGGTGTGGAAATTCAAACAAATCTGAACAAAGTGGACTCACCAAGAGTGAGAATGTTAGCACCTGACTTTTCAATCCTTACACATTGAAGCCATCCTTGTTCAACCTTTGAGTCTTGCGGGAATGCTTAAAGCCTTCATCCATAAAACCGTTCTGCAGATGTTGAACCTGACAGAAGCAGAGCCAGTGTACGTTGGCCCGTCTCTCGGAATCTGGAACGGCCATGAGTTCGTGCTTCGATTGGACAGTGTGGTGGGGAGCGGTGCCTGGTGGGCGCGTTTCCTGGACTCGTGGGTCACGCGCATGCGCATGCTCTGGCGCTACGGCCTGTCGCCCATCTGGGAGCAGCAGTATGTCACGGTACGTTCTCGTAAAGGCATCAAGAGAGCCTAAAGATCAAGGATCTCATCGATGCGAACGATCCCATGGTTGAAAGGGGACTTTGCATTCCCCTGTTATCTTACGCTTGGCAGGTGCCTTTTTGGCAGAATCTGACAAATATCCTCCCAAACGTACAAGATTCATGGAAGGGCCACTTAACGCGCATCGGTCTTGCTCCTTACACCTTATGGGCCACTCTCAGTCAGTGGCACAAGTGATGCGAGCCAGGCTGACTACTTTTTACAAGACGATGTTGGCGTATGTTGCCCCGTTGGCCAAGACGATAGCATCAGGTTTCCTCACACTACTCCCACCCTTTAGAACCGGCCTTGGTGATGCCCCCTAGCAATTGCAAATTCCGCGTCGACCGAAACTGCTAGGCTCGCCAGCTTCAAATTTCCATTTCGCGTGCAACTTTGTACAGTACCGCTTCAGCCAAACTCTGAACGAAATCTGTGTTTCCACGTGATCGTTTTAAACCGTTCTTATCGAACTTGAGGATCGTAGATGAGCGCTCCCCCATTTCAGCCAATGCGGAACCTGAAAGTTCTGAGCCATCCCACCTCCCCGCAGGCAATGCTGGCTAATTTCACGACCATTTACGACAAGATCGCTGTCACCCCTTACGCCAGCATGGAGGCGCTGCTGTCAGACATGGGGCTTTACGCCCCGACGCAGCGCCAGCTGGCAGAGGAGCTGCTGGCGCACGGCGTGGACCCGCTGTTCATCAACGAGATTTGTGTAGCAATCTCCCGCATCAACTATGGCCAGAACACGGTCAGTGCACGGGACTCGTTCAGCGTTTTTTGGTCGACTCCGGTTGCATTACTGCTCAGCTCCGGAAGTCTCAGAATCTGCGCACAATCATTGCAAAATCGTGTTTCTTCTTTTGCCATGTTTCCTTCATTCAGGCTCAGTCCCTGGAACCAGGTGCACCGCTCACGACAAACAGTATCATTCGCCTGCAGTTTCACCGTCTGTTTCAGAGACAGAGAGGAGGATTGTAATACAAACCGCCGAAGGGGACTGCTCTTTGGATCATTTCCGGCCTACCCGCCTTGAAGATGCAAACACGTGATGGAAACGTTGGGGCCGTTTTGCATCTCTTCTGTTTGACCAGAGGCTGCTAGACGAGGTTGAGTTGAGGAGCAGAGCCGCGAATGTTGCCTGTTATTTCGAGGAGGCAGATTTCCTTCCCTGGGGCTCCCTGCCGTATCACGTTCGTGGTGCCCCCTTGGAAACCTGACGTTATGTCAGGCACCTCATGACTTGACAGACTGCTGACGACGAAGCTTGCAACGATCGACTGTGATACGCCGACTGTCGGCTCCATTTTCGACGAGCAGCTAGCAAGGAAATTCGCCCATTACGGTACTCCATGAGCCGGCCAGCGCTCCAGGATGACTGCAGGGTCGCCGAAAAGCCGAGGCGAAATCGGTCGCTCGCGCTCTGCTATTTCTTGCAGACGATCAGCGGGCTCGCTGGCGGAGTGTCGATGGCTGGTGGGGACGGCAACACCGTCGGGTTTGCGCAAGGCCTGCAGCGGATCCCGGAAGGCCTCCTTGCCCTCTCAGGTGCGGTCTCGGGAACGCTTACCGGTTTTCCCGCGAGCTGTGCTTTCCAGGTTCGCCAGGTTGGGCTCCCGTGTTAGGGTCCTCAAGCGCGGTTGGAACCTTCGAGAGTATGTGTTGTTCCAGAACCTGTGCGGATTTTCCGGGTGTGGTAGCAAGCAGCCTGGTTTTGAGGTAAGGGGACGATTTGATGGTTTAGAAACCTCAATCCTCAAAACGCTGTTGCACCAGAGTGGACTAAATATTCCAATCACTGCACCAAGCTTTGGAGATCCCGAAATGACAAGACGAGGTACCTATGCAATATCCAGGGTTGTGAGCGACGACTCTTAAAGACAGAATCTGTTTTCTCCTCTGCAGGTGCAACGGTGCATTTGAACACGACTGTCCTGTCAGTCACGACCACCCCCAAGGGCTACAAGCTGGAGACAACCAACCCCCAGGCTCCTAACCTGTTCGACGCGGTTCTGGTTGCCACCCCTCTGGAGAACGCACCTAACCTGCATTTTAACCCCGCGGTTAAGGTGCCTCCCCGCAAGATGCAGACGACGCACGCAACGTTTCTGAGGGGAAATCTGAACCCGGTGAGAAAGCGTAACTTTGAAAAGCGATTCTTTGACCCAGGGATACGAAGCGCAAAAGCCACGTCCTCGGCGTTTGTAGCAGGTTGCTGGAAGTGTTTGCAGACTCGGTCCGTAGGAAAGATGGAAATCATTGAAAAAGATGTGTTCAATCGCCACCAGATAGTTCCAGAATCTATAAGGCGTTGGTGGGGGTGCAAAAGTCCTCTCGATGCCCATTGAAATTTCCCACCGCACGAGCCAAAGCACCAGGAGGTACAATATACATCCAGGCGGTACTTTTGACGCTCGGCTCGACAGCTTAGTTCGGAAGGGGACTCAACACCCCCTTCTTGGCTACAAAAATTCTCCTCGGACACTCCCTCTCTGCTTCGACTTCAACTTTTTTAAGATTCTAGCGCCATTTGCGTGATGCTGTAAAGGCGGGTGCGTCAGATCCTCGGTGACCTGCAAGATGGTTGGCGGCTTCATATCGTCTTTTCCGCATTCCCCCTCATGCACTCGAATGACGAAAACGACCCCTGCATGCGCTCTGGTTGATCGGTACCTCTTGCGTCTCCAGGCGTTCTTTGGGCAGCCCTCCGGTACAGACCTCCCGAAGCTGATCGCCACCACCGAGAGCCCCGCCGTCAACTTCTCGTCGATTGGCGTCATCAGAGCGTACCCCGACCGCGGCGACTTTGCGTTCAAGGTCTTCTCGCGGGAGAAGCTCGACGATGCGGCGCTGGACCAGATCTTTCGGTAGGGTTTTTGATTGCGCTCTTCGTATACTTTTAAGGTCAAGTTTCTTCATGAAAAGATAGCAGGCAGCCTTGACCTGGTGCGAGAGCCTTCGATCGGATGCATGCCTCATTTGCAAGGGCTTCAGAATCTGCTTCAGTCCAAGTATGACTATATTTGCAGTTTCTGAAGGAACAGGTATCCTGTATGCTGCATCCTATCTGCTGCATCCTATCTGATTTGATGGTCGAAAGTTTCATTTTCATGCGCGACGCCTACTTTGGCGTTTGTTTGTCCCTGTTTGAAGTGCAAGCAGAGAAGCGGCTGCTACGCTCGTCATAATCTTGCCTTGTCCACTTCGATGAACGATTGAAGAGCCGGAAAATCAGATTATCATTATTATTAAGGAAGGCAGAATCTGAATCTTCCTCACTCGTAACCAGACCCGCTTGAATATTTGTGGTGCGACCTGACGAAGCCGTCAAAAATAGAGGAACGATTTAGTACCCTCTTAGAATGTGTTCCTGCTTGTGTGCAGGCAAAGGAACGAGACGGTCCGGGTGGAGTGGTCCGCTTACCCGCACTACTCCGCACCCGAAATTTTTGCACCAATCAAGTTCGACGAGAAGGGCCTTCTGTACTATATAAACTCGTACGAAAATGCGGCGAGTGCCACTGAGTGTGCGGCCCTTTTTGCGGAGAACGTCGTGAGATTGCTGTTGCACGATCTTAGCGCCCGTAAGGTCAATGCTTGCGGTTGGCGAGGGGAAGAGCAAGCTTTTGACGTCACGGACAGTGGACAGAAAACCTGTGTTTCTTGACGGGCGAAGCAGGTATTTGTATATACGCAATCCTACTGAGTAAGGATCTGCAACTCAACGTCTTCACTGCCGACGTGTCGGCTGAGATGCTACCTACTGCTTCGCACCTGAGAATTGTGTATGCTACCAGGCGAGCCGGACATTTTCGGCGCCATACAGGTTGCTCTTTACAAGAGCATTCGATTGGTCATGCCAGTAGAAATAAAGGTCTAAAAGATATAAGCGAGACGGTTGAGAACTTGACATCGCAGCTGCCAGCAGTTTTTGCCCCCGGCTACTCGAACCGTCTCTTGAGTGTCGCTGTCGAGACTCGCCCACTGAAAGGTGGGACGGTCCGGCGCTGAAGGCAGCCTGCCAGTGGGGTTCTGGCTAGCTATAGAGCAGCATGGATGTTAGACTAGCTAGATACAATTTGAGACTGGCTGGGCACACGCTCGCAAAAGGCCCATGGCAATGATCGGTATTACCGATTCTGGGGCAAATGGACCATGACCGAGAAACTTGAACGCATGCAGCGGGTGAAAGTACACATGGTAGCCTGCCAGTAATTATCATGCTGGCACCAGCGGCATGATTGACGAGTCTTCTGGCTAGCTGCACGCCAGCCAGAGTCATGCTATCTACTCTGTAGGTTTTGACTTGCCAGCTCGCAAGCATGCAGTGACTGTCGGATGCTGCAGAAGTCTATAGGCCGCCTCATTCGACACGTTGCCATGGGCCAGGGCGGCTCGCAATCACAGCACGCCCCAGCCACATTACATATCAGTGGCGGGATGAGACGGACCCGCCGCGTGACATTTGCGCTGTAGATATCAAGATATGGTTGTAATTCTCGCACTGGCCGCCGCCGAACCACATGCTCCAAACATGCTTTGACTACTCGCGCCGACCAAGCTCATACCAAATTACGTCTTAAGAGTTGCAATGACGAAGAAGCCTTGTGCTGACTAGCTCCTTGAATAAGTACTAGCACTACTAGCTCTAAGCTTGACAACTCTGAAAAGTCGATTAGTACGATTCATGCCAATGCACAGCCTGGCCATGTTGAAACGATGAAAGTGTTAAGGATATCATATTGACGGGATGTATAATTATTTAAGTGGATAACCAATAACGGAGTTCCTTCAATGGTTTACAGCGAGCATCCGGCAGCTTCAGCTAGCGCGGCACTAGACCCTTGCTAGACCGTCTATATTTTGCATGAGACACAATGCATCCCGCCAGCTTGACATGCCACCTATGTCATACATTTAAGCTGTCAGTCGATCCTGTTGCATGCAAGAAATGACTGAGGTAGCAAGATGCACCGGGAGTTTTGCAATTGGGCCACTGAATTAAGCGCAGCGTTTTCTTACCTTTGAATCAAGTGACATGTTAACGGAATCTGCGGTCTTCCCCTCCCGTTAGTGACCCAATCAATAGAATGATGAAGTCCTTTTGGAAAGCACATTAATAATTTGTGGCAGCCACATAGGAGTTGACAATGCACGAGTCTAGGGTCGATTGGGGGCCAAAATTGACCTCCTTGGCTGTACTACTAAGCCGAGTGCAACTATGTATCTGCAGGTAAGTGTCTAACACTTGTAGCAAATCTTAGAAGTTCGCAAACCTGGTATGAAGTACCCCGAACAGCAATCTTGTCCTTGATTGTGTAGTGGCACCTTTGTCTGTGATCAAGCGTGCTTGAAAAACTTGAGACTTAGCCAATGAAAGTAGACTGCCAGAAAAGTAACAGGCAATGTCAAAGGAATCAGGAAGCAATAGTATCTATCTTGCTTGATGGAATCGATGATCCAGTTGCCAGTTTCAGGGAGCAGCTTTGATATGACAAGCGCATATGCGGCAGAGCCCAACAAGAGTAGTGAAAGAACTATCAGCAAAGAGCCGCAAGCCAGAACTGAATCAATCCCCTCATCTTCCCCGTCAGTGCCGTCTGTTTCTTGGACAGTTTCCCTCTTGATGCCAGCAGCGCGGGGAGACTGTGCAGCCCTGCCCCATGAATGCTGCTTCCAATGCTCGTCACTGACCTGGAAGCTGCCAGCCGCGGGTTTGCATACAACTGTACGCTGCTTTGCTGTCAGCATTGAGGATTGAGTCGTCTGTGTGTCTGCAGGGGCTACTTTCGAAGTATCAGGGTCCAGTCAACGAGCTTCATGGAACATGAGATGGTCTGACTCGCCACAAAGCGCAGAGGGAGGAGAGCCTAACTGAACGTGCGCTGACCGTCGTTGCTGAGCTACGGATGCAGTGGCAGTTGACAGCTTGACGGTACATAGAAGTAAGGTGTAGAATATTTGAAAAACTGATGCTAAGACTCTGCCCCCTTTGTTTCAATGAAGGTATTGTTGGAGACAAGTTGAATACACATCAATGAATGCTTCTTCAATAGTGGAGTAACCTGTCCAGCTGCGCAGAACTAGGGCTGTGGACTGCTTGCCAATGCATCAAAGCCTCCGACAAGCAGCAGGATCCCACTTCCGATTCACCTCTGGAGGCCGGCCGTGCTATTCTTTGGATTCATTTTATGAGCAGCGTCCTACCAGTGCCGCAAAACGTACAAAACTTGTGAACTTACGCCTTTCGAAAGTTCGGACGCGGACGGTCTTTGTCCCGGCAGTGTTTTGGGTAGGACCGGCGCGGATTGGTATTGGCGGACGGTATACACCGTTTAATACGAGTACGGTACCCGGCAGAGCAACCGGGCACTCTCTGGACATTAGGGTTAAGTCACAAAGTACTGATGGTGTGTTAGGGTTACGCCACTTCCTGTGACGGTTTGTTAGGGTCACGTCCCTTCCCTGTGACTGCTTTCAGATTAGGGTTTCCACTAACGGCTGAGCACTTATTCCTAGGATTTTAGTGTGATTAGGACCACCCGGTTGGCAGGGCGATGAAAAATACCGGTCGCAGGCTTTGTCGACCTGACCGGCGACAGGAACCGTCCGCGTCCGAACTTTCGAAAGGAGTTCACAAGTTTCAATGTGCCTCTTGCACCAGTGCCACATTCCATCAAGCAGTCGTGCTGCAGCTGCACTGATCCATGCAACTTGCAAGCCTGGGTGGATTAGAAATGTTGCGCGCGCCAAATCGCGTCTAGTTGCCAGAGCTAGCTTCGACCGTCCGGCATCAGATGATGATCCAGGAAAGCCGTCCGATCAATCGGCGGTTGGTGTTCAGGCGGCAGCCTACCAAGCACTCCGGATTCAATCAAACCTAAGTTTTGTTTGAAAGTTCTGCAAGCTCATAAAGCTCACTATGTTCCTGATTTGGATGCTTACCGGATTGCCCTATCCATGGTTGCTACAGATCGAGAAATGTGCAAGGTAAAATTGGAGCGCTTGATTGCATGAATGAGAAATGTGGTAAGTACGGCTTATGGTCAGACTTACGCTAGATATATATAAGGACAACCTTAGCCTCTCCTGTACTAGTACTAGTAGAGCCGGTACTCACCAAGTAATCGGGTATCGACTCATGTATTTTGGTTGCTTAGGTTCTGGAGAATTTACATAAGGCCACTGAGATTGAGACTCACCATTCCGCGCCAGTCATTCAAGCTGATGTCCGTACAAAACCCGAGCACAACCTCTGTCGTCACCACTGTACGAATGAAAACAGGGCACACCGTACTCGGGGGCTTGAAAGTTGAGTCTTGAATCTGCCGCATGCAGATTGCGAACGAAGATTATTGGTTCAATATGGATTTTTGAGCCAGAGTCATTCTCATTAGACTGCATGATCAGGCTACAGTAAGACAGCGACTCAAGGGGCCTCGATAAGAACAACCTGTCTGCATTCTCTAGGCTCCTCGACCTGGATTGAATGTCACAGAGAGCGACCTTCCCCTCTTCCTTGAGTTGATAAACAGCATTCCTCTGATCTTGGCAAGGCTTAAGCTTGTAGAGCGCGAGAAGCTTGGCGTTCGAAGTATGTGATCCTGCGCCTAATACTGCGCGATGGTTTATTTCAAGGAACAACAAGAGATCACTTCATCAAAAGTGAGTGATGCCGACACCGGTGAAAGCAAAATCTGGGACAGCAGATTTGGCTTCCTCTGGTTTGTCTCGGGCACCAAGTGCAACATCCTTCAGTCTCAAGAAAACCCTAAGTATAAATCCTGGTAATGCATCCCCGAATCATCGAAGTGAAGCGCAGGATACGAGTAGCTCGAAAGCAAAGCCGAGTGGCAGTAGGCCAGGTACGCCGGATATGAAACGGGCAGGATCAAACTCCAGTCTTGAGGTCAAGAGATCCGCTCAGTCTGTGACGGAAGCATCACTTACTAGAATGAGCCCTTTGGCGGCAAGCACGCCGTCGACGCCCCGAGCTCAAAATGGACACAGCCATGGTGTTAAAGGAGCTCCCAACGGAAGGGTAAGTTTCTCAACTGAATGGCGGACTATGATCAGAAAACGATAGGCAAAACAAGCAGTGGTGGCTTGTGATCCGCAAAATGCGCATCAATCTGGTTTCTGCCGCTGCTCCTGATTCTCGAGCACAGATAGCCTTTGCGAGTCAACCTGTCTTTCAAGTTGCAGGTGATGCAGCTCAAAGTGGTCTGCATGTTAAGTATTTGCAAATGAGAAAGCAGATAGAAGCTGGCCTACCTCGTTTCTCCCCGTGGATTATTTCGTCAAATGAAACGCATGATAATGATATGAAAAGTGCATGTGAAAGGAAAGTGCTGCTGCACAGCGGTTCTGCACGAAGGAAGTTTGGAAGACCTTGAAACGATAGTAGATTCAATGCAAGAATATACTTCCACGTCCAGGTACGTGTTGTGGTACGCTGTAGACCAAAGACTGCAGCAGAGAAGAATGCAGAAGCAGACTTTTCCGAGGCCGTTGAGCTCGAACCAGAGGCACACCGCTTGAAACTTAAGAAGAACAATTGGGATGGCGAGACATACCTGTTTGATGATGTCCTCTCCGACACCTCATCTCAGAAGAAAGTCTACGAGATTGTTGCAAGGCCAGTTGTTGAGGTAAGGACTTAAATGATAATTATCAGTGCCGCTTGTTTTCAACAGCTCCGCTCTTCTCAGTTTTTGTCCTTTGATAGTCCAAGGCACCATGTCCCAATGCCTTAATTGAAAGCCACTGGCATATTAAGCTGCAAAATTGATGCATTTCAAGGTAGACCCTATCAAAGCTATTATTGGCAGCATCTCTGCAGTTACTGGCCCTTCAGTGATTGGTTAGTTTCAACATACAGTGCTGCCATTTGTGCACATTTGTGTACGCAAGCTGATTGTCCCGCCCTCTGACAAGAAAGCCATCCAACATATTCAATCTTACTTTGTGCTGATCTGCAGAGTGTGTTGGAAGGATACAACGGCACTATCATGGCCTATGGACAAACTGGAACTGGCAAAACTTACACTCTGGGATCGCTTGGGACGAAAGATTCTAGCCAGAAGGGAATCATGGCTCGAGCTATGGAGCAGCTATTAGATAGCACTGACCGGAACACAGACAGCTTAAGTATCTCGTACCTGCAATTGTACAACGAACGGGTGCAAGATCTACTGAATACAGACAAAGACAATCTAGCGGTCCAAGAAGACAACAAGAGTGGGGAGGTGCAAGTGCCAGGTAAGCATGGAGCACGTATGAGACGTTCCGAAAAGAAATCTTGATTCCTCAAGGTATACTGCTGCTTTATTCCTTGGGATCCAGTAAATTTAGGCCAGCAATTACGTATGATTTTCCTCGGCTTTCGACATTGACGAAGCTATCTTTTTGCATGCTATTTAGATCCATCTCCACAAGGCGTTGGTGACCCGACATTGTCGTCAAACCTCTTGTCAAAAAGCTGACCTTTGCTTTGCAGGAGCTACGAGTGTTGAGGTTCGAAACTTCGAGGATTTCCTTCACTGCTTACAAACGGGGGAAGTGAATCGAGCCGCAGCAAACACGAAGATGAACACCGAGTCCAGTCGTTCCCATGCCATCCTGCTCGTCTCTGTCCGGAAAGCCTCAGTCACTGAGGAGGGGGGAGTGCCGACATTCAAGAAGGGGAAGCTCCTCATAGTGGATCTTGCGGGCTCGGAGCGCCTGCAAAAGTCAGGAGCAGAAGGCACGCATGCGGAAGAGGCAAAGTTTATCAATCTGTCCTTGACGGCGCTTGGCAAGTGTGTCAACGCTCTAGCAGAGGGGAGCCCCCATATTCCCACACGCGACTCAAAGCTGACTCGGTTACTGAGAGACTCGTTTGGAGGAAGCGCACGCACTTCCCTCGTGATCACGATCAGCCCTTCAGCTGTGCAGAGGAGCGAGACGGCAAGCACGATCCAATTTGGCCAACGAGCAATGAAGGTGAGGCGAAGCCCTGCGCTCGTCGAAAACCGGTGTTGGTACCTTTCCCAACAGCGAGTGGTTTGACAATAAAAGTCCAGATTGCATTGTTCTCGCTTGGATGAGCAGGCTTCAGAGGATTCTTTGATTGATCCGGCTGTTCTTGAAGGTTTGCTGCAAATGACTGTGATGATGGCGAAGTCGGTAACACTGCGTGCTTTGTAAAGATTGCAAGCAGATGTTTTTAGGATCCTTGGTAAGCTCATTCACCCAACAATCGCTGCAGGTGGAGAATATGGTGAAAATGAAGGAGGAGATTGACTACAAGACACTTCAAAAGAAGACTCAAGCGGAGCTTGACCACATGACGGCGCAGATGGAGATACGACAGAGTGAAATCGAGTTGAGAGAGGCTCTGGTAAGTTCAACCCCGGTTCAGCCTCACTCTTTGGGCTTTTAAGGTGTAGGATTCATTGCAACAAAGTGAACGAACGCGTGAACATACTGGGCAACGACTCCGGTGCTTCGCTGACCATTCAAGGGAGGATCTCATCTAGCTCGAAAGCGCTCAGTAGGCCGGACTCATGTCCATAAATCCTCGACTTCCGTAATGTTCTTCTCCCTTTCCCCTTGCAGGTTGAGCAAAAGCTCGCTCAAGCCGACGCCCAGAGAGCAGAGTTCAATAGAAAGATTGAAGAACAAACGAAGGAGATCGCAGCGTCAAAAGTGAGCGTGCTCGCGAAGCATTCCTTTGGCAGACCCCCATGCCTGTAGTATGTCTAGTGCGTCTCAACTCTACTGTAGATTAGGCGCGATCTTGTGATCATCGAGGCCAGAGGTACCTGAAGATATCCTTACGCCTCAAGGAGCGACGAATATTAACAATCAATCTGAATCAAGCTGCAAGTGGCGGTAAGGAAATTGTTTGCTTTTAGCAGAGTCCGTGGCTTTTCTCTCACCGTCGCCAGTCGTTTGAATCGTCAGCGGATGGTGGCGGCGGGCTCAACAATTGTTGGTGTCCGTCTTGATGATGGTGCTAAAGTAGGCGAGGTGCAGATCGAGGATTCCCTTCGCAGGACGCCCTGGCAGCAGCACGCAAGAAGCACGCCGACGAGTTGACCCGGATCAAGAAGCAGCTCGCAACCGAGACGCAGGCGCGGCAGGCCTTGGCAGCGGACTTGGCAGCGGTCCGCCAGTCCGCCGAGCAGAACAGCGCTTCGCAAGCGGATGCGGACGCTCAAATGTCCGGGCTGCGGAGTGCGCTGGCTCAGGAGCAGGGGGCGAGAGAGGCGGTGGAGGCACAACTGGCCGAGAGCAATCAAGGCGCGGAGGATCTGCGGACAGCTGTGGAGAGTCTGACGGCCGAGAGCGAGCGCTTGCGGGCGGAGGTGGAGGGGTTGAGAGCTCAACTGGAAGAGCTGAGGTGAGCATTTCTTGCCGGCTTTCAAACCAGGAGAGAGACAAGATGCGACTAGCTAGTGGATCTGAAGACGCTTTCCAAATGTGTGCGCATTCAGATTGTTGGCAGAACTGAAGCTTGGTTTGAGCACCTGAAGATTCGAGCACTGAAAGATCCGGAAGAGCGTATGCGATTGTGTTCTTGCACGGTGGTAGATTGTCGAAAGTCAGGAAGGGGAGATGGTTCCTGAGATGGTGAGTTCCAACGGGTGTCCAGCTTCTTTAAGTTTCCGCATGCTGCGCTTAGTCTTGTAAGACAAGGCACCACGGAAAAATTCAGCAGGTAGGCGACCAACCAACCAGCCGAGGAGATGATTGTGTCGCTTCCTAGTCCCCACCGGGTCGACGAGAGATCAGCTTCTTTCACGTGCTCTACAGGTCGTCCTCGTTACACGGGAACGGGAGCCCCAATGGAGGCTCGCCGAAGAGCGACAAGCGGCCAAAGATATCGACGGGCAAGCTGTTTGAGAGTCAGGACCTGGAGAAGATTCTGGTGTTACTGGAAAACGAAGACCTTAACGTGCGAGTGCACGCAGTCAAGGTTCTCGCGAACCTGGCAGCGGAGGAGTCCAACCAGGTACGAAAGTGAAAAACTCCTCATCCCTTAGCTGCCGTACAATAGAAGGTTCTTTTACCTTACGTTCACATTCTTCCCCCTCCCGACAACCTTGTGTCGTTCCCGCAAATTACCTTCCACAACCGACTCTAACAGCAAGAGGGGATAGGAAGGAAACTCTCTTTGTCAAAGCACCTAGGACGAAAATTTGGAGAAGCCACAACCGATGGTTTTCAGTTGAAGTGCGACTATAGCTGCAACTTTACCAGGCCAACTTCTGAACTTTACAGGAGAAGATAGTGGAGGCAGGCGGCTTGCAGTCGTTACTGAATCTGATGGAAAGCACGGACGACGAGACATGCCGAAGGGTGGCGGCTGGCGCTCTTGCAAACCTGGCCATGAACGAAACGAATCAGGAGCTCATCATGAACGCGCAAGGGGTACACCTGCTAGTGGGAGTGTCAGGTGAGAATTCGAACCGGCAAGGCGTGCTAAGAGAAGATGCTTGAGAGCAATAAAACGACAGTATACCTCAATGATTCCGAGTGCTTTGCTGAAGGCTCGCTTGAAAATCCAGCGCGAGGGATCTATGAAATCTTAAGAGCAACGGATAAGGTGTAATTTGTGTACATCCACTTATTAATCTTATTGAATACTGTCATCATTGGCATAAAACGGACCTCTCCTTCGATCGTTCACCAGAATCAAACCCTTGAAAGTTTCAGCTAGGTCTTTTCTTGAGAGCAGCTCCTGACGTCATCTCGTTGCGCGCGTGCAGAAGCTGCCGAGGACCCGCAGACGCTGCGCATGGTCGCGGGCGCGATCGCGAACCTGTGCGGCAACGAGAAGGTGCAGCACCAGCTTCGGGAAGAAGGCGGCCTGCGGGCGCTATTGAGCATGGCGTCCACGCAACACACCGAGGTCCTCGCGCAGGTAAGAAGCCTTGCCGGGAGAAGAACCCGGAAGCGCTTTTGGGAAAACGTAGTCGTTGCGCAGAGTCTGTTGGGGATCCTCTGCTGCCTGTCTCGAAGGACTGCGCTTTCCGCGGTTTCCTTGAGTCTCAGCGACATTGTGCATGAATTAGGACTCTTGAGGGACGTTGAAGTAGCAACGTTGTATGAAGCTAGTGGTTCTTTGGCCAACCTGCGAGTGCTCCAATCACATCGATGCTTGAGTCTGGGTGCATTGAAGGGGTTGAGGGCCAATAGTAATTTTGCAGCGGAAATTGTTTTTGAGCGCCCAAGCAGTATGGGAATTCCCTTACCTGCAGGTTGCTCGCGGCTTTGCCAACTTTGCCAAGTGCGACAAATCGGGAAAGTCTATGCTGATAGAGGAAGGGGCCCTCGGGTGGCTGGTCGAGCACGCAACGGCTCCAACAGGTATACGTCCTAGTACAACATGTTGATATATCATTTCCATTCTTTTGTGTCGTTACGATTTGCTTGTCTCTCATCGAAAACGTAATATTGAGGTCTGAAAGCAAACCCTGAGAGTTTGTTCTTGCCGATCTTGCTAGGTTGTAGAGGAACGAAGTCTATCAAGCTGCGTTTTGTATTGCACAGAAGAGAGCGTTTTCGCTTCACGTGGTTACCTGGGTTTTTACTGCCAATGATCTCTTGGTAGAAGACACTACGATGTAGTGCTGGATCACTTTTTCTGTGCAACGGTTGGAAAGACGTGCAAATCCCTGTCATGTACAGCCTCCGTGAAGCGGCACGTGGAGCTTGCACTCTGCCACCTCGCGCAACACGAGGTGAACGCTGAGGACATGGTTGCCGAAAACGCGCTAGCGGAGCTGGAGCGCATTTCGAGGGAGTCGTTGCGGGAGGACGTACGCGAACTTGCGGCCAAAGTCATCAGCGAGAGCCCCACTTTCCAGCAGCACCTACAGTAGCAGCTAGTCAAGGAAGCTTTTAGAGGTAGGTTTCAGCATAGATCGACGGAGAGTGCACTGACGGCCGGAGGTAACCTTAGACTGTACGGAGATTCATAGCATAGTTAAAGGCCGTGAGAATGCAACACATTGATCAAACCGAACTCCACAAAGCGGAGCTCATGTAGTGAGGGAAGAGACGTGCGCCACGTGTGATTAATTGAGGAAAGCTGCGGCCTATAAACCTTTCAAGCGGTGCCTGGCTAATGCATGACGGGCAAATAGACCGGCCGGCCACTGGCTATGATCATAGATATCATATCAACACAGCGATGAAGTGCTGCCATGTTTACCTTCTGTAAATTGGCAAGGACGACTGAACTTTGCGCGCATCGGTTTAGTATGTAAAGTTGCATATGAAGTTGACCCGCAAAAAGACTCAGCATGCACCTTTATTTTCATTGTATATACGCGGTCAGCTTGTTGCACCGTCGCGGCGCAATTGATCGCGCTGTCGTCATGGCCCCGGCAATGCTCGAATCAGATTTGGATAGTGCGGTCCTCGGTGTCCACACTTTATTATTCTGGCGCGGCCCGGGGAGCTCAATCCATGTATGCGTGCCGGCCACGCGCGAGAGCATCGGCAGTCATATGTCGATGCCTAGCCGCCCGACTCCATGTAAAGGCCGCAGCTAGGTTATCCCGACCATTTGCGTGACCTAAGTGTCCCTCCAGAAGGTATAATTGCATATTGGATGCTTAGCGTAGATAAAGATCGTACGCACCAGATTATCGCTCGTGGAGCGCCAGCAAATCCGTAGTCCATGCTCCAGCCACAACAGTGCTATAAACAACATCTAGGAAGCCGAGCGCACAAGCGAAACCTTGAATGTTGGAATGTGTTGCCAGTCATGATGGCGGGACAATATCCGTACATGCATGTGCATGCTGACAATCAAGGTCTACTTTTCTTCATGGACTCCCATTGATTGGGCGCGCGGCGGAGACAGACCAATGCATAGCCCCGGATAGAAATCCAGGTCACCGAGTTCCCGCTGCCTTAATTTGAATGATTCCGAGAAAGTCGTTACCGTCTGACGACCAAAAAAAGAGCGGGTCGGACGTCATCTCCTCCCCTCCGCCGCATTTGCTGCGTCAGCTTGCGTCCGCAACTCCTCTTCCAACTCCTCAATGTACTTTTGCAATTTTGGCTCCAGGCGTGCAGCCTTTCGAACAACCTCGAGAGCCGCCGCTTTGTCGCCATTCCGGCTGAGCACACTGCATCAGGAGACCGGAACAGCACCACAACTCAGCAAAGCTGACCATTCGAGAAGGCTTCGCTTCCCTTGAAGTGAAGAATTACATTCCCTTGAAGAGAATTGTATTCTCAGGCGTTAAGAATGTAATTGCTGTGCAGTCGACCTTTAGATCGTGCCACTTGCATTGTATCATGCTTTTCGGAGCAAACCATGCAATGTTCAAGCACTATTTCAGGAAAAGCGGCCGCCTCTTACTCACTCAACAATGCAGACGTCTTTCCGAGAGCAGCTCGAGATACTGACATGCATAGAAGGCGCAGCAGCCCTCATTGAATCAGACATGGATCCGTAAAAGCGTCATTTTGGAGCTACAGCATCCTGACCATGGCACACCTGGACAGATTCTCTCGACCTTTCGACTGAATAAAACAACCACGGTCAAAGTGCTCTCGCGGGCAGCCAGTTCTTTCGATTCTTCAAAAAACTTTTTTCACATTAGACCGCTCTCAAATCGCCCACCTGGCCAGGGAAAGCTGCCCCTCGAGATCGTCAGGCCGCAGCGCAGCGGCCTCTCGAAGAGCTGCAACAGCTTCCGGCACTTTGCCCTGCAGAAAGGGCCAAAACAGGCGCCCATTTTAAGATGATTTCCAGAAGAGCCCGGCAATGAAGCCCTGGCCGAACGGCTGCTGATGTCGAGCTGATCCCGAGTGGACCGTATTTTTAGCAGGTGTGACGTTACCACATTGACGGCGGCGGATGCGAGCTCAGCGGCTAATCTGTCGACCGGCTGAAACCATCGCAAAGGAAACATTGAAACTCTGACTCCCGTGCAGCCGGCGATAACGACGATACGGGATGGTAAAGCTGCCAGCTGCCAAACATATTTGGAAGAAGCAAAGCCTGAGACTGCGTTTTTGAAACTACAAAACGCCTTTGCTAACAATCAAGCCTCGAAAAGGTCGGGCTTCTCCCCATACCTGATTGAACGCTGCGATGCCCAGCCCGTAAAGCGCCTTCCCCCGGAGCTCGTCGTCCTGTGCCTGCGTTGGTAGAGACAACGTGAGCATGACGTCAGCATGGCTGCTGCAACTACCAGTCCATTTATCGTGTCAACAAAAGCGCACGCTGGTCTACCCGCAAACCACGGGAAGTGTTCTAATCAAACGTTCTCTGACGCTTGAGATACTGCGACCAGTGGTTTCCAAGAATGATTTGGTTTTGCGAGCCGGAACCAGCCTACAGCCCCCCATCTGAACAGCAACGAAGACAGCGTTCACCACACCGTACATGATGAGGCTCAGCCTCCAAACGCTTCCGCCGTCACCTCTACCTGCCCTGAAAAACGACCTTCCCGCCATTTCCCACACTTTGCCACCAGTAGACCACAGTCGGAAACTGCCAGGATCGCTATCCGTGGCATAAGCACTCAGAAAATTACCACATTATATAAACCCCTGGTTACTGCTCACATAGCCCGCTGCTTGGCCGTGATACTCCGCCGCCTCCTCCCACTTCCTCAGCCCCACGTGCGTCTTGCCGAGCGCGTAAAAGATGCTGGCCTCCTCGGGGCTCCGCGCCAGGGCTTTTCTGTAAGGACACAGTCAGTGTGAACAGGCGCCTTGTGGGTTTTTTGTAAGGAAACAGTCAGTGTGAATAGGCGCCTTGTGGGCTTTTCTGTAAGGAAACAGTCAGTGTGAATAGGGGCCTTGTGGGCTGTTCTTAAGGAGCGGTCGATGTGAATAGGCGCCTTGTGGCCGGGATTCCGCATGAGGAGTGTGAAGGGGCCGAAATAGGCACGGATGCGAATGTAAAGGCGTGCTCGGATTATAAGCCAGATACGAGGGTTCCACGACGGCTGTCAATGAGACAAGTAGAAGCGGAAACGTCAACTTGAGCGGGCGAAATAGCCTACTGAACCTTTGTTGTTCTGGTGCACAATCAAGATTAGTCGTGGAGGGAGGAAACACATACGAAGCGCATTGAACATGTGAAGGACTCGCAAAGACTAATACGAGGTTGGGGCAGGGCCGTCCTAGAAGAATCAAGAATGAGAAAGGAAGAGCTTAGCAGTCTTACTTAAGAAACTTGATGGCCTCCTCCGGTCGTCTCTGCGCCTGACACGTGGCAGCAATCTGCAGGGTGAAGGCGGAAAAGGGGTCAGACCACTGCACACACCAGGCTGACGCTCGCGCATGCCTCTGGACAAATCCGATTAATGAAAATATCGACGAGCATCTTGATCGCATTGATCCCCGACTTGAACTCGCTCGATGACCTCGCATGCGCTCTTTTGCTAACGTCACCTCACCTGCACAAGCTCGTTGACGTCCATCTTCGCAATCATCTCGTCCGTGACCGGAACGGCTTCCGGTTCCGTTCCCGAGGGCTTCCGGTCGGGAAGAGGCGGAAGCCCGAGCGCTGCTCGGACCGCAGTGCTTCTAACTGCCAGATTCTGCACGATACGGATCGGCGATGGGCTTGTGTACTGTGTCCAAGACTAGAGACTGATTTCCTTAGGCTTCAAAAAACGTAGACTGTGGGGGGGTTTTCAGAAGATGCTGACATGCTCTTTGAAGGGAACTCGAACGGAGGGATCGGTGAGTTGTGAGCTTCTCGGACAAATGGTCAAAGCGACCAGGTAGACGGGTCCTTGCGTTTACGCTCAGGTTCGACTGAGAGTCTGTTCACGGGAGGTCGTCTTCCAGAGGCGAGTTGCTGCGTAGCTTATGGACACAACAGCCCGCAGAGTCTTCCAGATTTGGCCCGCGACTTTCGTGCTCCAATCTAGGCAGTTGCAACGAGTGAGGTGCGACAGTTATTTGGGCGCGATGAGATCACCAAAGCGAGCAACTCAAACGCGGAAGTCGATTCCAGTGGATTCGAGTCAGAACAAAAGGAACGGAGCGCGCAAGCACAAAACGGCGGCTCAGAAAAGCCCGGCGTACCTGCCCGAGGGAGCAGCAGTTGTTGGTGACCCAGTAAAGGAGCAAGCCCTGCGGGGAAGCGGGCAACCCAAGGGTTAGTACGTAACCCTGGCAGGTCTACTTCGGCAACCTCGACCGGCGAAGAACAACAGTTTCAGCTTCGACGGCGAGAGAGGACTTCGACGCCGGAACACTGATAGGTGCGTCTGCCCATTATGCCGTTTCAAGATGGATTCCCCACTGAAAGCCCATTGGATTGCAGGATTGCAATTCAGTGCTTTTGAACGGCCAGGAAGTGGACGGAGGTTTGAGGGGAAAACATGGAGACAAAAAGGAAGAAGGAGAGTGGCTCCAAGAAAATCCTGACCTGCGGCAAGTAAAAGCTTCCCACGAAAGCGGGCACGGCGAGTGCTTGCAAGGCGAACTTGTAAACCTGCGAAGAAGGACGCTCTTCGTTGGGACATAGTCCGGTCAAAATCTGCGTAATGGCCGATGGATTGACCATATCTGCGTCCCGTTTAGCTCCCAAAACCTCTTCGAGCTCCATTATTTTTTCATCCGGACGGCTCAGCTCGCTAAAAGCTGTTCGACCAGAGAAAGCATCCGGGAGTGGGTCCGCGAAACAACAGCGCTTGACAAAAGCCGAGACCGTCTCGGTAACGAACTCCACCATCTTGCTGGCTCATACCGCATATGTCATGAGGTCTTAAGAAGAGACTTCTTGCAGACTGCTCCTGTCGTCTCAGAGTCGTTTGCACGCACGACGATGACGTCAAATCGAGTAAATGATCACGAGAGGGCCGTAGTAAATGCAGGTTAGGACAGCGGAAGAACCCACCTTCAGAAACCGGCTTCTCGGGCCAATACCTCCAAATGCGAGCTGCAGGAAAAGAGGGCAATGAGAAAAAGGTTGGGTCAAGCGGACGCTCGCTGACGGTGAGCTCGTGAGGGGATGCGAACGTCCGATGATTATGTGTCTAGTAGTAAACAGGCTGCGAATGGCTTCTACTGAAACAACCTTCGCAAATCTTGCTTCTCGGTCAACCGATAGCGAAACGTCACAAGTCGGCGGTCAAATACCGCACTTGAATCAATGACCTCGGATGTTGACCATGTTCCCGTTCATGATTGACCAGTTCGCTCGAATTCTTACACTCTCCGTTCTTTGCAACAAAATTTGTTTACTCTCTGCGAAACGAAGAGCTCCAAAAATTACGACGAACCCCTTTGTCACATAACACGGAAGCTTACCTGGACGTTACTAAGATAGAGGCTGACGATTGCAACAGGAAAGATCGCCGCTTCCAGCCCGAGACCGGCAGGGAGCGTCAGGTCGGTGAACCACAGCATCCCCCCCTGAGAGTGAAATGGTTGTGAGGCGTCTGAATTTCCTGGCCCCAAGATATTGAAACAGGGAACTGCCTCACTGCCAATCGATATGCGCAATTGATACGATTAACGAGTCGGTACACCTGGTCAAGAACCAGCTACTTCAGAAACCCCCAAAAAGGCGCATCGTATTCTGAAAGAAAGGCCGCTTTATGATTCGTGACGCCACAATACTCAGAGGCTGCTTAGTGGATAGTTTCTTGTTAGCTATGACATAATGTCTCACAGGCTGATGGACCTTATACTGAGCTGCTAAGGCCAGATTGGAGTTTCGACTTTAACAGGGCAGGAAGAGAGCAGGAACTCCATCCTCAGAAATTTCATGTCAGTCGTTCCAAACTGGACTAAACCTTCGATTGGGAAGTCAGGGCATCCCAGTGTAACGAAGCAGCAACAAGACAAATTGTTGGACCATAGCGAGAAAAGCAAGGCGGCTAAGAGCGAATTGTACCAGGCTCAGGGTTTGTGAAAAAAAGTTGGACCAGATGAGCGAGAGCAACTCGGAATAGGGGCTCGACGCCCATGTGGAACTACGGCACTCTTGTTCGCGACATACGTTACTCACTGCACTGAGACCAGAACGCAAGCCGCCGCTTGACACCAAGCCACTTGTAGAAAAGGGTGCGTCCTGGGAGACTCACTTACGGTGTCAAAGCCTGGATGGCCTTCTGCCGTCATCTGTCGCAGTGCAAGCATGGATGAAACGAAGATGGGAATCTGCACCAAGGAGAAGCGTTGGAGGTGCATAAGGATACCCTTGAAAAGGCATGAGAGCTCGCTGCTTCGAAATGATTGCATCTTACGGACTGAGTCGCCTCACTCGATTCGATCCCAACATCGCAGGTAAATGCTTTGCAAGTCGTTTCCAAAAGCTGGACTCACTCTTCCATGGGATCGAAAGGCAGAGAAGGAGCGCTACAGCCACGAACTCCGTGATTGTATTGAACAGTGTCCAAAGCTGTCAGATTGAGACAAAGAAATTCATAACGTTTTTGCTTACCTGGACAGCTGGCACTGCTAGGAACCAGGCGGGGTTGGGGCACTTCGTGGCTTGCCTGGCAGCAGCAAACCTCTGGACTTGTGTCAGAAAGGGCGTCTCAGGACCGCCTAGCTTGAGCACTGCAAAAGTGGAGTTGCTTTCTCGTTAACTCCACGATGAGTATCCAGGGTGATAATCAGCTTAGCAGGAGATGTAAACGAGACAGTCTGACTAGACGGACGTCGTTCAGAAGCGGCTGAGAGCAAACTTGGGCAATGAGCGCGCAGTTGATGATTCAAAATAGGTATTGCAGGTGGATATCTCAAAGCAAGTGCTTGATGCAGACTGCCTGCAAGTTGACGAAGTTATCTTCGCAACTGAGGTCGAATCTCACCTTGTGAAAATAGCGAGCCGATTTGCGCAGTCTTCCGAATCTGGACCGCGACTAGAGGCAAAAGAACAGACCGCATCAGAAGTGTTGAAACAATGATTGTTGACCACCTGCAAGACAGATCTCAAGGTTGGAATACTGACTTCATCAAAGGGTCCATCATTCATCGTGCATAAATGCATTGCAGGATGCTTTTGGAGCAGCTTAGAACTAGGAGCAAGCCCACCCTACTTTGCTCATGCTTGCTACCGCCCACTTCATGGAATGCGCTCTTCAAAAGAAAACTTTCCCTTGAAATTGAGCTGAGTTTGGAAAAATGGATGATCCAACGAATGCCCAAACAGTCTTAAAAGGCTGAACAAGCATATGGCTCGGTCTCCCCCAGCAGAAGATGCTTAGGGTAAGAAGCATGATTCAGCAGAAGGATTGGATGATGCGGTTCTCTCTCCCTATTCTCACGTAAATTAGGGAGAAAGAACTAGTTTAAGTCCATAAGAGTGAGTCAATCCTCACCAGGGCAGGCCTGTCACAGAGTGCACCCCATCGAGCGCCACCACTATCGCCCCTGAGACAGGTGCTAAGGCCTTCCAAACCCCCCACCCAGCCGCCGTTGGAGCGCTTTCCAGTGCTTCCTGGTTCAACGCCTTCAGACTTCCCTGGGTAGTGTCAGACAACTGCTCTGCAACGTTCCTCTCAGCATCTAAAAACGTGCCTTCTGAATGTGTTTGGTCAGAGTCTTGTAGCAAGGGTGCGTCTGAAGATGAAGGTGGGAGCCTCTCGCCCCCCTTGGATGGCCAGAACCAACTAGATTGCTGGGGGGTGCTGTGGAAGCGCCGGCTGTCACTGCCAAAAGGAAGAAAAGGAGAAGCGCTGATTGTCTGATATGAACGTGCTCGACCACCACGGCCATCGGAAGTGAAAGGAGACCCAAGCCTCAAAGCCATCATTCCTTCAGGATCTCCAGGGTACCGCCAAGCTCCAAGGGCTTTGTCTCCCAGAGGACATTCCCTTGATGATGATGCTTGTTTGCTGGAAACGATGAAAGATTGCCGATAAACTTCTATTGTGTGGCAGCTTTTCGCTACAGTCTCCATCGACGCAACCCAATGCTGTGCCAGTGCAGAGCACTCCTGCTCGGATACTTTCTGCATTTGCTGCCGTTCGGACCACTCCAGGGACTGTGAACTTGCACTGCAAGAATCATTGGGCGCAGTGGAGTTTCTGGCTTCATTTTGGAAAAAACCGCTGTCGGCGATTGCTTGCTCTGTGTTTTGCCCATTCAGGTCCGGCCAGCTGGAGATGGAACCAGAAGGGGACAGTTGCAAAAATATGGATTCAGGCAGACTCCTCAGGGCAGATCTTTGAAGAGCTCCTCGAAAAAGCGCCATTGCTGGCACCAGAAACCCGGCAATCAGGAGGTTTGGCTCTGGGGCCCCGGACTGGGGGAGAATCCGACCTCTCAATGTCATGCTTGAACTTGAAGTTGACGAACCTTTTTCAGGAGTGCTCAGCGAAATTTGAGTTTTATGCAGTCGATCTAGTTTCTAGCTCTTTCTGTCCGACCAAGGCCAGCATTGGTCAATATGGCGTTCGTGCAATGGCGCTGCGCAATTTGAGCGCTTGCAGAAGCAAGCATATTCTTATGCCAGGCTGATGCTTAAATATTGAAATGGTATTGGCATCTAATACTTGCGCGGGCCCAGTCTGCTCTCATCGATTGCAGCTTTGAAGGCGTTTCTATCTGCAGAGTCCTCTTGCTCTTCTCAGAAGCTCATAAGCTAGAAGTGCAAGCGGAACAGATCCACACAAAAGCAGCAAGCCAAAGCCAATGGGGCGCTTCTTATGTGACCTGTGGCGGGTCGTTGCGCAAATGCGTGGCCCAGTCCCCAGGCTGAGGAACAATGCTGAGAAGTGGCGACCTCCGTCTGTGCTTACTCTGCCAAGCCAAAATGCGTTCTTCTGCACTGCACAAGTGGGGGGTCGGCCAGAGAGAACTACACCACTTTTGGGAGAAGCGCTCGAAGTAGAGATGGTTGAAAATCAAGTGCCAATTGCAAGTGTTGCATACTCATGTGGTGGGGCCCCACTCTTTGTGTTGACCCATAGGACGCACCGTCTTGGGGGCCACCTTACAAATGACACACAGGTCAGATACACATGACTCTTGAAAAATTTTCTCTCTGCAAGTAGATCAGTACTGTTTAATGCTTTTGATGGAATCATATATTTTTGATGATGCACTCTGCAGGATGCTCGGGAAATCCGCAAGGTTGTTTCGGGTGTTGAAGCTGCTATTGGTGGCAAATGTTCAAGATCTGGGAGCTATTAATTGGACAAACCAGGCCTGTCACCTGCTCCAAATCTACTCAATTGGACATTGCTAGCAGTTCTGATGATCCTAGTGGCCCTACGTCCCTAATCCAGATGCGTATGGGTTGCTCTCGAACCAAGTTTTCAATCCGTATGTGCACCGCTGCAGCTTCTCTTCAAGGCCTCGTTTGCGACCTCTGCGAACGTCCGGTCCCGCCCCCGCCGGCCAATGAAACCTCTGGAGGAACTCCTCAACCCTCCTGAACGTGGGACCCAGCCCGAGCAGAATCAACAGAGAGATGCGCAGCCTGACAGACCAGCAGCGACCATTGGGGCCAGAGCACCTGAAGCTGCCCTCCCTTCTGCTGCAAGAGAGACCATCGCACAGAAACCTTCACACAGGCGGTTTGGGGTGGTGTCACCACAGGAGCTGCCTTCTGGCAGTTCATGGGTCGGCAGGAATGGCGGGCCTGATCGGAGGACTGGGAGAAACGGCCAGGGCTCAGTGAATCAGCAGGAGAGTCTGAACGGGGGAAGAGCGGCGAGAGCCACAAGGATGGAGGATCTCAGGGATGATCGAAACCCGGCTGTAGCGAAGAAACGGATGGGAATGGCGGATTCCTTGCAGCGGCGTTCGGAGCCTGGTCCAAACCGCGTTTCTTTCGCACAGATCTTGAAGTCCTCAAAGGCCTCCCCCCAGAAGCCTGCTTCCGAGACCCCCAGTAAGGACGGTTCTCCCCAAGAGAGGAAGAAAGCAATACCAATCCCAGAAGAAGATCCTGAAGATATTGATAGCATCCCGTTGCGGTCAGTGGCGGCGCCAAGAGCGATTCCCTCGTGGAAAGTGGGTTTGGCCAACCGGGAAAAGCGGGCAGCCAAGGCGGCGGCAACAGACGGCGAGCAGCGCGTGAACGAGGCAATTACTGCGTCGACGGTGCGGCTGGTCGATCCTGAAGGTGAGCTTTTGCTGACTTCAGCAAGAAGGTGGATGCCTTGATTGGGAACGCTTAGCACTGGGTAGCCATTGATGTAGTACAGATTGTTTGGAAAATCCTAACCTTATTCATTGAGTTTTGACACCGTTCCTGGGCTGCGCGGTCTTTGCAGGGGGGAGCCACGAGGTTGTGTCAATAGGAGAGGCCCTGAACCGAGCACGCAAAGCCGGGTTGGATGTTGTTGAGGTGAGTCTGGCCAGGACATCGTTGAAGTCGAGTCTGAACAGCTCGATCACACCCCAGCTTTTGTGTGTCCTTGTGAAAGCTCGTCTGATCTTACCGCTTCGTGAGACATCAAAATGGTAGATGTAGGACGATCCGGATTCGAAATTTCGAGCTCAAAGAGCGTTCGACACCTTTTGTCGATCTATAACTTTGTTAGGGGGTGAACACGTTTTGTGCACTGGGATCGTGCTCTCGTTTTATGAGGGATGCACACAACACGCTACGTCCATTGTTGAGGTTAAAGAAGTCATTACTGAGTGCCGATTGTGTCCTGCCTACAACCACTGCTTCCAGGACATGATTTTATTTCACGTAATGTTTGTGGGGTGTGTCAGCTCTTGACCGTTACATCCTGGGCTTTTTGTGAAGTGGCAACGGTCACGTACTGTTTGAGAGCGACTCTGACAATGCAGGGATAAGTACAGCCGAGCAAGTTCAGAAGCCATCGGGTGTGGCATGACGTGTCACAGGTGCAAATCTTCCATCTCGACATGTACACTTGCTCGCACTTAAAAGGGAACTTCAAAATCTCTCACCTAAGATTGATTGACCATGTATGGTGGTTAAATTCCGAAGGTATTCACGCCAGAGCTGCCACTCTTTGGCCCACTGCAGGTGAATGCCCGCTCGGACCCCCCCGTATGCAAGCTCGTCGACTACAAAAAGTTCAAGTTCGAGGCCAAGAAGAAGGAGAAGGACCGAAAGAAGCAGGAGGTGGGAGCACTAGATTTCCAAGCTTTACTCAGATTAAATCATGTGGCTCAAGTATCGAAGGTTTCCGAGGTCTTTCACGGATTCATGGCTATGTCAGCGCATGAGCTTCTTCTCGAGGGGATTTTCATCAGGAGTTCTGACCGCCAAATGGAGCTCGTGACAATACTGATGGCCCTGAGGGCCTTTCAATTCGGCGCTGACATCATGAACGGATCAAAGGTCGCCGCAATCCGAAATTCTCGATCCAGGGACAGTCATCGAGTGCCAAAAAGCATCGCTCTTCAATCGTTTACCAGAGCGAAAACCCGATAGGACCTGACCCTCGTTCTGCAATGCTCGAGCGTTGAATCCGATTTCGATTTGTTGGCGTTGGGGACGTGCCGTGCTTTCGGCCCGCGGAAAGCTCTATTCCGATTCCTGTGCGGTGTTTCGCAGTTGGAACAACGGCGGGAGAAGATAGTCAAGGAGATCCGCCTCAGCTCCCGGACGGTATGTCTTCCTGCGCATCACTTCTCATACTTTCCCAGTTTATAGTTTATAACCAAATCATCAAGTCGGATCATGCTGCAGTACAAACATGGAAACATTTATCCTTTGCACCCGCGTCATCGCGCACGTTTCTCTGTTGGAATTATGCGCCCACTTGTCTGACATCAACAGGCGATCTGCTGCAGTGCTGAGCTTCAGACCGTTGTCAAACTTCGGAAGACATCTTTTCAGTGGAAATGTTCAGCGACCTTTTACCACGGTTCTGAAAATGACAAGCAGTAAATTCAACGGGCCGTCAGACCCGTCGTATATGTCTCGTGACTTTGGCACGTCTTCAGAGTCGGCAGTTGCTCATGTTGGAGCGCTCATTTGCGTCAAGGTCGAACACCTCCGTCGCAGAAGTGCTTCGTCTCCATTGAAAGACGACCTCGTTCGAAGATAATGTGAGTTGAGAAGCATCCAGGTCAATCCCGAGTGAGGGTTCTCTCGCAGGATTATCGCGACATGGAAATGAAGGCGCGCACAGCAAAAGAGCATCTGGCCTTGGGTTACCAAGTTAGGGTGAGCCTTTCGAGCCTCTTGCCAGACCCGATCTGATGCTTGAAGCAGACACTTAAGAGCTCTTCGAAAACCCTCCGTTTATTTCATTCCGCCTGAAGCCTTCGAATGCTGCTTCCCCATGGATTCTTCTGTACATGCTGTAACGTCTCATTCCTAACGAAGTCCGTCGAGTTCATTTGACATTACGGACACTGGCATCGTCAACGTTCAAATCTTTTCGATATGGATTTTTTGGTTACTCTCACGATGACACTTATATCACAAGTAGTCGTTGTTTAACCGGAGTAGGGGTCTGTTTTGAATAACCGATTGAGGGTCTTATTCCGAAATCTCTTCCGAAAAGTCTCTTGAGGACTAGAAAGCTTAGGCTTTGGTTTGTTGTCCACGTGTCGCCACTTGCCGCCTTACGTGATTTCTCAATCCTCTGAAAGAACCGCGCAGGGACCTTAACCCCTTACTAAATCCGCATCGTAACCGCCGAATCCCCCTCCAACGCAGTGCTTCTTGCAATTCAAGAAAGGCGATCGGAGGGCGGACATAGGGCTGCAGCTGCTGCCAGAGATGCTGAAACTGGTAAGGACTGCCCATCGCTTATACTTCCGGCATACGCTATGAAGCCTCGCACTTTGGAGAGCGTGGCTTCGTTTGAGCCTCAGGGCACAGCGGTTCCCTTCTGCTTATGGCCCCAAGACGACGAACCGACGAAGTTTTTTGAATGTTATTGAGGCCCCCTGTCCGACTGTCTCGCGGTATGGAAGAGGCCCCAAGATTGCGTACTTGACCCCAACCGGCGGGCAAGTCTTTCCCTATGAAAGCAGTCCTGCAGTAGCATTTATTTCTTCTGGGCTTAGGTGACTGCAGACTTGCGAAGATTGCCAGCTCTGTGTGGCGCCGACAATTCCGCTCCTGTTTGTCTTATTACCCCTGTTTTGCTCAGGCGGGCTGCGTGCGCTTCCTGTAATGCAGCTGCTTTATTTACATCATTATGACCGGGATTGGGCCGCGGAAAAAGAAGATCAGACGAAGCTTCAGAAGCATTTGCCCGCCGGCTTATGACAGGGGCGATTGCCTTGCAATACAAGACGTTACAAAATCAGCGTTACCTTTGCTGCGTAACGCTTTCTGCCGCTTTTTGAGCGCCTGAACCCCAGGAAAGGAGGACTCATGCGTTGCACCCTTTCGACACCGAAATCTTTTTCTTTCTGCAGTTGGAAAGTCACGGCACTGTGAACAAGCCCCCGCGGGAGGCCGGCGGCCGGCTGGAGATGTACCTGCGTCCGCTCAGCCTCGCTGAGCGGAAAAAGCTGCCGGAGTACCGGAAGGAAGCGGGGCCGGAACCCGCACCGGAGTCGTCGAAGAAGCGGAAAGCGATGGTGCGAAGCGAGGAAGAAGGGCTGGAAGCAGAAGCGGAAGAGAGTGGAGAGACGGAGAAAGATCTGGCGGCAGAGTCGAAGGAAGAGTGGGCCGATGAAGGAGCTGAAGAGGATGAATCGGAGTCGGAGGAGGAAGAGCCTTCTGAAGAAGTTGAGGGGACGGGTGGGGAAGAGGATGCGTTGGAAACACGGCTAGAGTCGGAATTGGAGAAAACTGAGTTTGAGGAGTTTGACGAGGAACGAGGTCGCAACGAAGGGGACGAAGAAGAAGAGGAGGTGGTAATGGCGAATGAGGACGGGCGAACAGATGAAGGAATGGGCGTGCTAGAGACGAGTGACGGGGAAGCGGCGCAGGAGGAAAAAGTAGAGCAGGAAGACGAGTCTGCATACGAAATAGAGGATGAGCTGGACGAGGCAGACCTCATGGCCGAATTCCTACGAGAGGACTTCAGGAAATCAGACGCGGAAGAAGAGTCGAAGAGCGTTTTGTCACCCAAGCGGAAACGGTGGGCGGACCGGCTTCGGCGGCCGCTCCGGCCAAAGCCCAGCCGGAAGCGGAGACAAGCGGACTCGGATTCAGACGATGAGGAGGACGTCCGGGTGCGGCGCGCGTTGGATTCGGACAACGAAGAATATGACGGGACAAAGCCCAGCCGGAAGCGGAGACAAGCGGACTCGGATTCGGACGATGACGATGACGTCCCGGTGCGGCGCGCGTTCAATCTGGACAAGGGAGAATATGAGTCGAGCGGAAGCGACAGCGACGGCGACAGCAACAAAGACAAATCGCGGCATAGACGGAGGAGGTGACGGGTGCGAGGGGCCGGATTGTAAGAGTTGAGCCTTGTTGTCGAAGTTGTGTATTGCTCTTCCAGCAACCGTCGGAGTCTGTTCCATCTTCCTGCGCAATCAATTGGCAGTGCTTTCTGCTGGCAGCCGTGGAGGCGCCTAGTGCGGCAGGAGATGAGACGGTGTCCGGTCAGGCCCGGCCAAGAGCCACCTTTCGTTGCTTTTTCCAATTCGATTGGTACTGCGGTCGGCATGTATGTTCATAGATGCCGGACTCCAGCATGATATGTGCACTACCGTACCTGCAGTTGATTTCGGCCAAAAATAAATAATTACCTGCCCTGCCGAAATTCGCTGGAAAATACTTTGAAGCGATAATGGTCGATAACGGTTCTTTTTAGCAGGTAACGCTAGGTCTGCCGCGAAAAAATTGAAAGTTTCATAATTAACTAATCGGCGTCGAACCTGCCGAAATCAAATGCAGGTACGGTAATTAGTGAACATGACAGCGGCAAGGGGCGGCACTGACCTTCGGCAGGACCTCACAATGTTGTTTTCCAACTTAGTTGATCATAGCGAGGTCCCCGCTCTACCATTTGACGCACACTCTTCGTCGATGCATGTGTACGACAGGGTTGTATGGTACGTACACTGGCAAGCATGTGCAATTGGTCGGCCTTTAATTAGACGCCGAGGTTATATGTATGCAACTTCTATCATGGCAGCATGTGCCGGAGCTGAACGAATGATCATGATGGCATCTACAGGGCCAGTTGCAGCGGCCAAAATCCTCTTTAGGAGGTTCTTTAGAGACGTTTTGGCCAACTCTGCAGTTTGGTTGGCTAATTGGCACCGTCTACACTCACCTACTCCTCTATGTCCTCTCTCGTACCTTAAGTGTCAATAATAACGTAACTTCGCAGACTGCGCCGCTGCCCGGGTGGTTTCAGCAGTCGACTGGTGCAGTCTATTAAGCAGTATCCGAGAAGCGCCCGGGTCGGTGGGCACCCGGTGCTGCAGGGTCTGCGGTTCACTCTGCCGGACAGCTTTGCCCGGTTGGTGGTCCGGCTAGTAACACTGCCTATCACGATTGGAAGTTCTTCGGTGTGAACGCTCCGTTCAGTCTATGGTAAATTGCAAAAACCATAATAGGTGGACCCGGTTAAACGGGATCCTACGGAGGCTACCGGGGCATCATCTTCGGGGCATCTTGAGGACAAACATAAATAAGATCACACACACACGAGCCCGGTATAAATGGGT